CCGATGTGTTTTATTTCTTTTGATGGGACTGGTAAACGGTAAATAGGTAGATACTTGATGTGTTAGAGTGTACCTAAAGTATTCGGTAAGGAGGCTGTAGATATGTAGTCAACGGACCGAAGAGGTCGAAGGGGCCGGAAACTTCAACGCAAGAAACACGTGTATTAATAAGTCAGGGGCGCTACAAATAGCATTAATAATTCGTCGGCTTATATATTGGGTGGTATTTGTCTGCTCCGGGAGAATGATTCGTGCTTCAGGGGTTTCGGTGAACTGATATACTTCGGTTATTAAGCAAGCCTACGCTTTCGAAAAGGAGTTGTAAACTATTGTACATAGGTATCCTTCGAGGTCCAATACAGGGTTATGTGCACAGTTGGCTAGTATTTACTCTTGATAGGACATGCTAAATAGCTCTGTCTTTGCGATCATCCTTTATATTTACCTTCACGAAATTACTAGACCGCATACGGCGTATTATATTAGGTACGTCCGGATACGTATGCATGCACATCCGGCTCCGCAGAGCAGATGCCGTAGGCAGTATCACGGCCCCCAGGAGTAATACCTACATGTCTGCTGCCACTTACTCTATACTCCGAGTCAGCCAGCCCTCCTAGGTAACCGAAATGTGATAGGTGAGGTGAGGTAGCCGGTGATTAAGCTGCGGAGGTGAAGATTGAGTTATGAGGATGGCTTCAAAGTCTCGTTCCCATAGGCCTGATAACAAGCGTATCAAACAGGTTTAGTTTAGCGATACCGAAGAGCTCGGCTAACTATTCGGTAGAATAGTCGTGGCAACGTACGTCTTAGACGCGCTAGGCGGGTTACTTTGGCTCGCTCTTGAATATCATTGATCCAAATGCGAGCGGCTTAATGAAACGTCCGGCTATAAATATATAGAAACGTCGGCGCTAGTCCATCCCCAGGTTTTATCGAATAGTGCGTCTGTGATGCGGAGTTTTTACCGCCAGCCTTGGGGGACGCGTACGTCGCGTTCTGAGTGGCGATGCTGCCTCCTTTCGAGCAGTGTCCGTTCTAATCCCTGATAATGATATTCCAGCCTGCATGTATGCTATGTATGTTATGTATTTTATCTCGTGTTTGTATGAGATCCTACGAATCTAGTTCGCAATAGTTTTATGATCGTCTTAACTCTACCTTTGGCTGCCTCACCAGCAGACGATTCAGATCGCGGATATGACGTAGTAAGGTAGAAGACCACGGACCACTTCTACGCAACCCGAAACCTCTCCGTGCCCTAACGTGAGACATGCAGACTTTGGCGTAGATTGGGTCTTAGATGAATTCGGTATCGTTTATCTAACGTCCTCGGAATCACGGGAGGACCCGTAACTCCACGCTTCATGCTCCGTAGCCTAGGGCTGATTAGACAGGGTTTGAGCCGAACAACGTTGAAAAGGCTTAGGTTAGTATCTAAGGTACGTATTGTACATAGCGAGATAGGTAGATACAACGTTGCTTTCACATAGAAAAAGTCTTTCTCTACCAATGAGATAGAGACTTCTTGGGCTGAGATGTAAACAACTCTAAAAGGAAGATGAGGCTCGAAATATGTAACTTAGGGCTAAAGATAGCTACAACAGCTGTATCGCCTCAATCGCCTCGTTTTGGTAGCTGAGCCGCCTTAAGCTAAGGTAGGGCAACAGCTCCGACCTATGCGGAAGGTAAGAAAAAAAGAGAGAGAGAGAGAAAAGATAGAAAGAGTATAGCGTAAGACCCTTCTTGCGTATTGTCAAGCTGAAGCTCGCTTAAATTGGGTTGAATTAGAGTAAAAGCGTTGTCATCCCGACGCACAGCTAATCGATATAGTATTAACATAGCCTCTAAGAGGGTTACATGCAGCACTCCCGGCGGTAAATACTATGTAGCTGCATGCGTTATGCGTGGGTGAGGTGGCTGGATGGCACTGTTAGCCGATACAACCGACATACTTACACGCTGTATGTACCTTTGCTTAGGACATTGACAGTAGCACACGTATCAGACCGTTGACTCGCAGAGACAAGAAAAGTCCCGAGTAGGTATGGCGGCACGACACCTATCTAGATAGGGCTGGTATTTCCTGGTCCATGCTGTCCCGAGAAAAATTTGAACCTTGCACAAGACGCGGTACGAGGGTTGCGGCTGCGGCTGTGCTGCTCGGCTTCACCTCGATTGGTTCCTCCACACATTCTTTCATCCCAAGGACCTGGGAAGTGTCTAGGGACGATGCATGTGGCGTCTGTACAAGGTAGTATGTATGTATGTATGAAAGATGAGACGATATTCTCTGAAACCTTGACACCTTGACACCTCGGCACATCGTACTTGAACCCTTGTACCTGGATGATCTACGGCGACGATCCCGTTTGGTATTGTTCAATAGGAAACGAAACTTTACTATGTGATGTTCGGTGGTTGTGTACGTAAACTGTCTTTGATTCCGTTGGTTACCTCCTTGGTTACCTCTGATTGAACTTGACTAGCGGAGATCCCCGTTACCGTTATCGAATACCTTACATACGAGTAAAAGTAGTCGTAGTCTTCTAAAATCAAAACCGAGGATCGTTCTGAATATCCGCGGAACTGAATAGGTTAATGGTTTGTTAACGGATGCATCTCCGGTAGAAATTCGGGTATGATGACATTTTTACATTGAAGTCATAGCTGCATAGCCGCATAGCCACGATGATTTTGCAGTTGTTTGCATTTTGTTTGCATTTGCTACGTTGTAATCTTGAGATAGATATGCGGGCTAGGTAGGTAACGCATGCGTGGTGTAAGAAAGCGGAACTCGGTCCAGATAACCGTCTAATAAGATCCCCACGTATTGCAGAATTGGTGGGTGTCCATGCATTTTTTCCAACTACAATGCATGTTGCAGCCACACTAGGAAAGTATAGGCGCAAAGTATAGGTGCGGTTAAATTCCGGCCGGAGAAGCAAAACTTTAGAGATGCTGCACGTCAGCCACCACGTTCGGGTATCCCGAGCATTGTTGTATATCCTACATATCCTACATAGTAAATCGGCTTGAAACCAACCTTGAAGGCTTGAAAGCTTGAAAAGTCCGGATGATTCGTTATTCCTTGGCCGTTCTGCACTCCCGAAACAAACATACATCATATTGAAGATACATATCTAGGTACATACCTAGGTAATCTTCATGCATGCAATGATGTATGTATTGGCTTTCGAGGCGGCTTATGGCGTCCGATATTGGGAATATACCTTAGGTACCTAACTTAACCCAACCTACACTAATACCTTAGTATGCGATGCGACGCGGCTGATGGTCTTTAGTAATATGACGGACATGCGAACACCAAGTAGTGTTACTACCCGTGGTTATACCGTAGTGCCATATAACGCCATACAAGACGGATTTCGCCGGTGAAGAGCTTGGTGTATAGTCCCGAATAAACTGAATAAAGACGTAATTGCAACTGGACTTATGACAAATGTATAACTAGAATAGTGACTAGAATAAGTGAATGTTTGGGTATTCGAGCTTATTAGGTCGCCGATCGGGCTTGCGGTAACAAGGCAGTCCAAGAGTCTCATTCGCCCGAGGAAGATGCTGTAGAGAAATTGCATTGTAACAGTACTGACGTGTTCCGCCGTACCGAGTGCGTTTAAGAGCCGCAAAGGCTATAGTTGCTATGTTAATTGGTAATGCCCAGACATATTCTACTATTGTATAAGCGGAAGACGGAGATGCAATCTTGGTCTTGTCTTCAGCTCCGAGCTTGAACGTCGAGGATTATCTTCACCTGATGGCCTATAAGTGTCGATCATATAGATCATATAGCAAGTATCAAGGGGGATTTCTACGCTGCTGAATAGTAAATAGGTAAAAAAGAAAAGTCTAATCCTTGGTGCTGTGAATCCATTGTTAGACTATTGGATTTTGCTGGTCGTGGTGTTAGTTAGAAGGTGAGAGTATGGAACTTATGAAAGTACGAAGAATACCTACCTAACTGAGGTATCTACTTAGATGTGCATTGGATTTGATGCTAATGGAGCTATGAAGAAAAAAAAAAAAAGAGAAGCCACGGTTCAATCGCCGAATTGCTTTTTTCCTGTCCATTCGGTTTTTGTTTGTCTTTTGGAATCCCTGTGATAGCCTATTTAGGATTAGATCTTACGACTATAATCCGTAGTGTACAGGTACCCGTGTATGTAAGTATGCATGTTACATATGATGCATTTCCATGTGGCTAGACCTCACTATAAGATGGTTCTACCCTATCTCAGCTTAATGACGATAGCTTATTACTCCTTAAGGTTACTTTACTTAGGTACTTATACTAGGTACAATACGTCTCTTTCCATATACTGCGCAGCCACGGCGTAGAAGAAGTTTGACGTAGGCCAACCACGACCAAGAACCCCACACTTGTCGGCGTGTCGGAGTTGGAACAAGCGCCAAAGTTGTCCAAAGCTAAACGTAGTTTATTATTGAGCATCGTTATCCTATGGTCCATATCCTTATCTACTAAACTCCGCACATCTTTAGGGTCGCTTTCGTCCGTCTCCTTGTTGCATCCACGACCCAACTTTTTCTTCAAGCCCACATTATTCTACCCTTCTACCCTTCTACCTCCCCCTTGTCTCTCTCTCCTACACGGTTACTCGGGAAGGTTACTTGGAATACTTACCGTTTGCGACATCTCCGATTATTTGGTACATAATATTTGGTATGTATATCTGGTATATTTTTGGAGAATATTAACCTATACCCCTGTTTGCAGGTGAGTTGTGTCTATGTGTGTGATGCGCAACTTGGCTGCTCTGCTTGGTCAAGGTTCCCTGCGCCGCAACGCTTGACCGCTGTGCTGGTACACTATTTTCGTTCCCTTGCTAGTGTGTATAAGTGTACACACATTTACACGCATTCATGTATACATTTATAACCCAACTTGGAAGTTCTTGGCATTACGATTATTTTCATAAAAAAACAAAAGGAAAAAAAAAAAAAAAAAAAAAAAAAAAAGAGGTCATAGTATGTAGCAGTTAAGTTACATGGGGCTGCGCTTACATCCATAATAGATACATAACTACTTTTCTACTTTCAACTTTCTACACTAACCAGCTCCGATCAATACATACAATACATCATACCCGTTATCCACACGCGAGACGATATACAAACGATATAACATCGTGAACACCTCCCGTTCCTCTCTCCAACGAGCTTTATGTCTTGCCTATAAGAACCTACTACCTTGTCTAACCCCCCTTCGACGGCAAAATCCTTCCCCCGCCTATATTCGCCTATATACCCCCCCACGAGTTCATATCACGAATTCCTATTACGAACCTAGCCTACCAACCCCCGTACTCGTTCGCTCGTCGCGCTAACTACTCGACCCAACACCACGGATAGTATACATACATACACACACACAGCTTCGTTTTTTGATATGTCAGGTTACGGTTACCCGGGAGGATACGGTCCGCCGCAGCAACAGTATCACGGCAATTATTATCAACCGTATGATGGCCTACCAATTTCTCATATCCTACGGTCACGAGCATATCGCAACGGCTACTGACATGGCCCTAGTCCACCCCAGCCATATAACGGATATCCTCCTGCTCAAGGAGCTCCTCCCGTACCCTACGGATACCCACAGCAACAGCAAAACCCTCCTCCTCAACCTTACGGATACAACCAGGTAAATTGATATATTATATGGGTGATATATACGGGTGATAGGGCCCCGTGCTAACATAGCATCGTCAGGCTCCACCGCAACATGGCGGCTACGGCCAACCTCCGAGTCAATACGGTAGACCTGGTAAGACAACTCTGAGACTTACCTTTCTTAGGCGTGAGTTTAACAGAGAGCTTTAGGATTGCCTACGGCGAACTCGAACTCCTACAACCATGGGAATTATAGCGCACCTCCTCCCCCACCTTCCGGGCCTCAACATTTCGGTTCCGGCGCTCCTCATAACTACGCATTTCAGTATAGTAACTGTACCGGTCGAAGGAAAGCTCTACTGGTTGGCATAAACTACTTTGGTCAGCGTGGCCAACTTCGGGGATGTATCAATGATGTCAGAAACATGTCGCAATACCTTGTTGAACACTTCGGTTATAAGCGAGAAGATATGGTCATCCTAACTGATGACCAACAAAACCCAATGAGCCAGCCGACAAAGCAAAACATTCTACGGGCCATGCATTGGCTCGTGAAGGATGCGCGACCCAATGACTCGCTATTCTTCCACTATTCGGGTATGATGACGTTTGGGTCGGTCGTGTAGTGAGTGATATCTAACAGTTTCTTAGGACATGGCGGTCAAACCAAGGATCTAGATGGCGACGAACCCGACGGCTATGATGAAGTTATATATCCTGTCGATTTTCGGCACACTGGCCACATCACCGACGACGAGATGCACCGTATCATGGTTAAGCCGCTGCAATCGGGAGTACGGTTAACAGCCATTTTCGATTCATGCCATTCCGGAACCGCGCTCGACCTCCCGTATATTTACTCCACTCAAGGCATTCTCAAGGAACCAAACTTGGCCAAGGAAGCCGGCCAAGGACTTCTCGGTGTCATATCTTCATACAGCCAAGGCGATCTTGGAGGAGTTGCGAACAACATTATGGGTTTCTTCAAAAAGGCCACCAGCGGAGAGGACGCGCACCACAGGGCCATGGCGACCAAAACCTCAGCAGCAGACGTTATTATGCTTTCCGGAAGCAAAGATGACCAAACTTCGTTCGTCTACCACTTTATTTAGATTATCCCTTCTTTTTATTTCGCAATTGGTGGGCCGATATATCATGAAATTGCCTAGTGGCATGAAATATGTACACTTTATCATGTATTGGTTTAATGACGGCTTTGTTATTGGCAGGGGGCATGAGACTTATACAATTTGGGTGTCTGAGTTAAGACGAGGGGCTATTTGTATATTATTATTTTTTCCTTTTTTTTTGGACGCTCTAGATCAAAGCACAGCTATTGATGCTGTGGCTTTGCATCTGGGGCGGCGGGTTACGTTCGATCGGCTTAAGGGTTGAGATAGAACACTCCCCCATATTCTTTTTCACCACCACTCTGTTATTGTGGTTGCACACTAACTGAGCTTATAGGGCCGATGCAACAATTGCTTCTCAAGCCACCGGTGCCATGTCGTGGGCCTTCATTACCGCCCTAAAGAAGAATCCCCAGCAAAGCTACGTACAACTGCTTAACAGCATCCGGGATGAGTTATCCACGCGGTACACCCAGAAACCTCAGCTCTCGTGCAGCCATCCTCTGAGTACGTCTGGATTTTTGGTCTCCTCTTTTCCCGGACGATGACCACCGCCCGCTATCTGCTAACATACTAAACTCTGATATAGATACTAACCTGCTATTTGTGATGTGACAAGACGGAACGGGACGTTGACGGGCGTCTCCTGGGCGGACATCGAAATGAAATGAAGTTATGCATGGGCTTTTCTAACGTGTAACTACGATTGCGTTCGCGTTGCGTTGCGTTATTCTATATACCGCTATTACTGCGTAGGTTAGGAGGTAGTTGCTGCGTTTACGGTTCTGGTACAGCATTCTAGGCTCTTGGGGGAAAGGGTCCTTCTTACTCGTTCTTCATTTTTATGACAAGGCTCTACAAAAAGAGGGAGAACTGAATTGGGTTACGTGGGTGTTCTTGGTTGCCTATCTTTTTTTTAATGAAGTTGCCGAAATATGTTCTATCGCTTAGGTACCTCTTAGCTGAATTGATACCTGCGGTTGTTTCTATCTCCGTTGCGGTTTTGTGATGTGTACGGTGCGGGTTGAAATACGGGTTTAATGAATCTGGTGGTTGATTATCATTGGGAATTGTGTGACGGACAGTATAGAATGTGTAGAACGTGTTAAATATCTCAATCTAATAAGCTAATAGCCTGTCTGACGTGTTAGTTACCTACCTCATAGTATATTCGTGTCGAATAATCTACTCGTATTAACCATTCGAGATGAATTATAGTAGACTACTTCACTTGTACATGTTAAGAACGTATATATAACTGGACATGTCTCTCTACTCGGGGATAGACGTAGGCCCCCCTTGCTATATGTATAAATCCGGTCTGGATAGGACTTTCAATGCTCAACGTTCTCACCTGATGTCTTGCGCCGAAGCTTTTCTGGGCTATGAATTTCCTTCCTATCAAGCTAGGAAAAATACTATACCCATAGCTAGGTGTACTTACTATACCTATGCTTATTCGTATCGGCTGATATATGAGGAATGGCACTGTGGGAAGTTACTTCCGTACCCTTCTCATATAATAAATAACCATGATAGTTAGGTTCCAATGGTAGGGAGTACAATATCTTAGGATTTATATAGACCGAGTATATATACTCTTGATTCTCTCCTATTACTTCAACCGATATAGAATCGCTGAGCGGACCATATTCACAAGCATAACGGTGTTAATACACCCAGTAAACACCAGCCCGAATAATGTCACCGTCCTCGAAGACATCTCACGCACCACTCACAAGTCACATAGATAACATGCAATAGACAAGACACAAGGAACGTGAATTCCATTCCACTCATTCCATTCTCCGTCTCCTCGCTTGCTCGTAAAGCTTTACTTCCTTTTATCTAGACAACCACTCCGTCCAAACGATCGAAAACCAACCAACCGCACGTATCATATCCTTAGAAAGGTGCCTAGGTATTCAGAACCGTCCTTCCCTCCTATGCCATATTCCTCCTCGCTTCCCCGGCCTCCTAGCCCCTGTCCCAGAAAAAAAACATAAAGGCAGATGATAGGTATCAACACGCAAACGCCTAACCCGTGCGTGCACGGGCAATGCTAGCTAAACGTAACATAACGTAAAGTCCAGTCCCATGAAGAGAGAAAAGAGGAATATCTATGAGGTTTGAAGACAACATCAACGAAAACGGGTATAGGCTTAGATCAGCTCGACCTCCTCTTCTTCTCTCCTCTTACTCTCCTCCCATGCATTGACCAGCTTCTTGCGCGTCTGCTCATGCTGACCCCATTGCTTAGCGCTGATCCGCATGCGCGCCACGGCGCGGAATACGCTGGCGAAGACTTTCAGCTTGCTCGGTTCCTTCTTGGCCGACTGCTCGCGTTTTCGGGACGAGAGCAGTGCTTCTGGCGATTTGATACCCAGCTGCTTGTGGATGTCCCTTAAGATGCGTAGGTCCGCCTTGTTGCTGTGGGATTGTTAGTTATTTTATTCATTTTGATGTAGGGGTAAATGTATAAAAAGGGTAGATAAGCTTACCAAGCCTCGGCAATCTCCAGTTGTAGTGCTACGAACTTCTTGGCAAACGCGGCGTCATTTCGTAGCTTGGCTTCGCGCTCCCACCTTGCCTGCATCCACTGCATTTGCAACGCTAGGCCGCGGATCTCCTTGGTATGTCGTTTCTCTGCCGCGTCCGCTGCGCGGATTACAGCCTCGTGGTCCCGTTGGTCGACCACGTCCATCACGATGTCGCCGTACCGGAAGCTGGCTCTCGTGCCCCTCTTGTTTATATGTGGCGTGTAAGATATAGAAGAGTTGTTGGGCTCAGAGTTCTTCGCTTCGATCCAAGCTAGTGCTTCCTTTGCGCCCTCTTGCAGCCGCTCGCAATCAGCCTGGAGCTTCTCGGCCGACGCCTTATAAGTAGCACGTTCGTTTCGTGCTCGGTCGAGCTTTTGGCGGAGTTCTTTACATAGCGGGCCAACGTAGTTTAGATCCTGCTTCGCTAATTCGAGTTGTTCTCGTAATTCCTCGCATAAACGATTCGCCTTCTCTGACTCCCTGGTCGCTCGGTTCAGGTCTCGCCTGAGCCCTTCGGCAACACGGTTGGCCTGCTCTACTTTCTGGTCCGACTGTTTAGACTCGTGCCGAGTAGCACGTTCCGCTTGCTGCTTTAGACGTTCGCACTGGCGCTCGACGTCGCGCAGCTTTCGATTCGCGTCTTGGAGCTGTTGTCTAAGGTCTTCAGAAATCCGATTGGCTTCTTCCAGCTGTTCCCCGAGATCCTCGGCTCTCTCTGACTGATTACGCCTCGCTAGTTCAAGCTGTCGTCTGAGGTCTTGACAAACTTGGTCAGCTTCGTTCAGCTTTTGGGCGGCGTCTTCCGATTCCTCGTCCAGAGTAGCTTGAAGAACTTCAACCTCGTCCTCTAAAGCCTCGATTTTTTCAGCCTGTGCTTGGTAGTCTAGCTGACTCTGCCGAAGGTCTTCGCGAACAGCAGCAACCTCGTTTCGTAGTGCCGTCAAAGATGATTGTCGCGTTTCTAAGTCTTGTCGCAGATCGTCTATCTGGCGGCTGAGTGCTGCCTCCTCATTCTTGTGGCGCTGCGCTTCACTATTCAGAGCATCTTGCAACTTCATCTCTTTGCTAGAGAGCGTACCTTCGGCGTCGCGCAACCGGTCGATAGTCCTTTCAAGTCCAGCAGCCCGTTCCTCGAGGCGATCTCTTTGCGCCTCCAGATTACGCTTCTCGGCCTCCCATTTTTCGCTGTCGTTCTTATAGAGGTTGTCCTTTTCGCGAATAGCGGCGTGGAGTTGGGAAATATCATCGTTGAGGCGATCGATTTCGGATTTGAGCTGGTTGCGAACGTCCCGCTCAATCTGGCGACCATGGCTTCTTTCTTGATCTAGACTGAGTTCTAGATCGCTGACTTGGCTCCGTAAACGAGCGATCTCCCGTTGTAATGAGATGGATTCGTCTCCAGAAGTGGATTGACGAACTCGAGCGTTCGCCTTTTCGTGTTCAAGATTTGTCTCAAGTTCCTTGACGCGCTTCTGCAGACGCTCCATTTCTCGCTCCAACGATGCAGATGCTGATTGACCTCCCGTGGCTTCTCTACGGACCCGGGTGATCTCATCCTGAAGGTCGGCAATGTCGTCGTTAAGGCGGTCGACCTCTTCTTTGTGCTTCGTATTAGCTTCGTATAGATTCTGCAGGGCACGGGCCTTCTCTTGGCTTAAACTTGTCTCTAGATCAATTATGCGTTTTTGCAATCGTGAAACTTCTCGCTCTAAAGAAGCCGAAGCCGACTGACCACCGGACGCTTCGTCACGGACTCGTTGAATCTCATCTTGAAGATCTGCGATTTCGTCATTCAGCCGGTCCATTTCTGCTTGATACTTGCGGTTCATGTCGCGTTCAATTTGTGACCCGTGCGCCTTCTCCTGATCCAAGCTGAACTCAAGCTCGTCAACCTGCTTTTGGAGTCGTGCCATATCCCTTTGTAAAGAGGCCGATTCGTCTCCTAGAGCGTCATGACGAAGCTGTAGAAGGTTTTTCTCATCCGTGCGCATATCTAAGTCTTGCTGCGCGGCTTCCAGTTTCGACATGAGAAGTTTCCGTTCGTGGTCCCAAGACTCCCGTTGTTGTAACAGTTGTTCAGCCCTGGATTTTACTTCTGTGCTGAACCTATCCTTCTCAGCTAGATCTTGCTCAAGAGCTTCATACTTCTCCTGCCAACGGTTCACTTCGGTTTGCAGGCGGGTAACCTTCTCTTCAACTTGACGAGAGAGACCTTTAGTGACAAGGGACTTGTTAGACATCTCTTCTTGGAGTTCCTCGAGGTCTGCTTCGGCTCGGTCTTTATCTGATATTGCGGCTTCAAGTTGTTCTTTCATGCTGCTGAGTTGCTGCTCGAGCTGCCGGACATCAGACTTGAGGTCTCCAATAGTGCCTCTGGCTTCGTCGAGTTCCTCGCTTGACCGGGCATTGGCCTGAAGCTCAACTACTCTTTCCTGGGCAGACTTCCATTTCTCTTCTGCCTGTCCTAGCTTCTCTTCTAAGTCGTTTAGTTCCTCGTCACGGTCGTTGATTTCCATGTCCTTTTCTCGTAAGTCTGCTTCTAAGTCGCGAATCTTGTCCTGTAATTCGTCCAACTTCCCTAGGTCCTCGGGGGACTGCGCCTGTGCTTCAAGATCGGCAACCTTGTTTTGAGCAGACCTCCACTTCTCTTCCACTTCTTCCAGCCTATTTTTTAATCCATCCACCTCTTCTTCGCGTTCATTAATTTCCCGGTCTTTTTGGCGTATATCCGCTTCGAGGTCGCCGATCTCGTCGTGTAACTGATCAATTGTACCTTGATCCTTACTTCCCCTTTGCAATTGTCGTTGTAGGTCCTCGATCTCCGCATCTTTGTCCTCTAGACTTCGCCGTAATGCTTCGATCTCAGCCCTCTGGTTTTGATCCGCGTATTTTTTCTTGGCCTTCTCCTGAACTTCTAATATTTGTTGCTGATAGGCCTCAAGGTCCTTCTCTGCTGCAGCTAGGTGTTTCTTGTACTTGTGAAGGTCCCTCTGCATCGTGACTTTATCGACTTTGAGCTCCGTGTTTTCCTTTAAGGCGGCCTCACTAAAACCGGGCCCAGTTTTCCTCAATGCTTCCTCGAGAAAGTGAATTTTCAGCTTCAGCCCAAAGTTTTCCTTCTCGATCCTATCGATGACGTTCTCTTGCTCCCGAAGCGACAACTGGTTCCCATCCTGCAAGGGTCCCTTGTTTCCACCACGTCGCGGTAATACGGCTAGTGGTGTAGATGCTGCGCTGCTGTTTTCTACCTGAGGTAGAGGCGTGGACTCGACGTAGGATTCTCCTCTCGAAGGACCATATAAAGAGGTCTCGACAGGAATGTTAGTCATGTCCATATCCTCGTTTATCTTGCTTAAGGTGGGCGTAGATACGCCATTCGTGTTCTCTTTGCCGAACCGACGTGCGCTATTTCGCGTCGCAGACTTGAGCATAGGTGTAAACTCTGCGCCGGCTATTCCAGCTGGTAGATTTCTCTTGTCACCCAAAGGCGCGCGATTGTTCCCACGAGGTGTTCGTAAGTTGACGCCGCGGCCATTTCGTAATTGTTGTACAAGATTGTTATCTTTAGATGGAGAATGAAAAGAAGATTCCTGTGTCATATCGAAGTCGGGAGGTGCCCGACTTAGGTAGGTGGCATCACCTAAGTTGGTTCGGGGAGTATCCATCTCCGCGGCGCGAGAGGTGGGATGGGTATAATAGTGCCGTATAGGTGAGATCGAATATCGTGATGTACCGGCTTGCAAATTTGATTAATCATGAGACGGTAAATATAATTAACCAGGTATGGTATCTAGGAGTAGAGCGTTTGAATTGAGGGAGGGAGTTTGAATGTTGAATTGTTGTATTGTTGTATTGTGTAGAATTTCTTGAAAAAGAAAGGTTGATACTTTCCCGTCAACACGGCAGTTTTCGTTAACGACGCGTTTTGGCCGTGTTTACTTCCGTAGCAAGGTTCAATCAATCAAAGTGGTCCGGAGCTTAAACAGTCAGAGCTAAAAGATACTTAGGTACCTAAGGTACTACGCTAAATGTACTTCGTACCAAGAAACTTTGATCTGTAAAAGATCAAAAGTCACTAAACCGTAACCGCGTTAGCCCCATGCATTATTGTGTGATAGCCTTCTTTAAGACTAGCGCACTCTACAAGAACCCTGAGGACCAGTGACTGAAGGTGGGGGATTGAGACATGGATGCTACAAATGTACTAGCGTCATGTGTCCCACTAGAATTACCGCCTTTCGCCTGCTCTTGACGTATCAGACCCATTGAAATTCACATTACATCTTTCTCTCATCACAGTTGGTTCGTCGCATAAGATTCGCATAAGATCCGCATGCTTCCCTTTGTCTACCTCTACACAATCTCAACTCGGCGCAAACTTGTTAGCCCCTCTCAGTGATAACATACGCCATACGCGCCACTGTTCAACTATATTTCTCCTCCCGAAGACTCGGTTGGGTAAGTTAACTTTCTGCTTGGACGGGAATCAGACTTAGAGGAAAATATGGCGTCTATCAATTCTTTACCGGACGAAATCGTCCACCATATTTTACTTTACGTACCTCCGGAAGAGACTTTATCGAATATCGCGCTCCTATCAAAGCGTTTCAACCGAGTCGCGCATGAACCTCTCCTGTGGAGATGCTATTGCGAGCATAATTTCAAATACTGGGAAGCCAGTCATCACTTCAAAGAGAGGTTGAATGGCTACTTACACGATACCGACTGGCGCCGACTATTCCTGTTGAGACTTGGACGTAATGCCTACATCGCGCGCCTCCTTGATGGGATTGTCGCGTCTCGCGTCTCCCGATTGCAGAAGATGGAACAGATCTGTCTATACGGTTACGATGCGAAAGATTACCTTTTAAGTCAGTGCCAGGCTCCGGATTCGGCTGAAGATGTTTTGGCGCGAAGGTATGCTCGTTCAACCTACAATACATATGTTGAATTGTTGAGCCTAATATAGTCGCGCTCGATCTGAATTATAGATATTATTCGTGCTCCGTTCTTGACAGCATACATCGAAGCCTTGCGATAGAAGAATGGGCCAAGTATCAAAAGTTTGCGGCACGTCGCATTGACGAAGATACTCCGTATAGCGAAAGATTAAACTGCGGCATGCGCCTCGAGCGCGCCCTTGGCGCCTTTGATATGTTTATGCTCCACGATAATGAGGGTGATTTAGAAGAGGTTTGTTTAGCTATCCCATTATATTTAATTATGTGACTGACCTGTAAGATTACCGAATTGCTAGATGATATTGCAGACCGGTTCCGAAGTGCTCACCCTTACTTCGATGAGTTGACCACCCGTCAAAAGGCCATCGCTTTGACTCGATGGTTGCGCTCCAACAATATGACGGGCTTGAACGATCCCACAGAGCAAACGTATCGTTATCTCCGTAACTGCCTAATCGGCAGGGCTCTGCGAGATGAGCATCACCCATCATTGCCAATCATTTCTGCCGCCATTTACTCCGCTTTAGCATCACGACTCGGATTAGAGGCATATCCCTGTGCTTTGCCTAGTCACGTTCATGCTACAGTTTTGTCACGACCGGGCATGACGCTAGATGATCAACCCCTCGAAGAATCGCCGTCCCAACTTCAAGAGAATATGTTCCTAGATCCTTATACTGTAGAAGACGAAGTCCCTCTGGATCGAATAATCGACTTCCTATATAGGCTCGGCATCCATAAGGACCATGCTAAATTGCTAAACCCTACGCCCACGGACCTTATTGTGATGCGTACGGCGCAAAACATACGAGCGTCATTCACCAGTTTTCGAACTCACGAGCGACCTTTCGCCCAGATTGTCCCCATGATTGAACTTAATCGTGGCGACTGGGCCCGTAACCTGCAGCCGGCCTTGTATAGCATGATCTGGGCGAGCATCATGATGGTCCCCGTGCTACCGGAGAGCGACGAGATCCGTTGGGACTGGCAACAAGACGTGCGCGACCTGCTCTCGGCCTTCTACGAGCATTTTCCCGAGGACGCGTGGCTCGTGGAGAAATATGTGTGCCCGATGTATGACACCTACGCAGCTCCGTTGCGTCGCCGGAACAACTGGGAGCTCCCTTCGAAGAGCGTCCGGGACCAGATTAGGAGTATGAAACGGGTGGATGCATCAGTGATACCCGCCCGCCGGCGCAGTGAACTCGCCAAGGGTGTGGTGGTTAAGTATCGCGTTGGCCAAGTGTTCAAGCATAAGCGCTACGAGTACTACGGCCTGATCCTGGGCTGGACCCTTGAGGCCTCTTCGCTCGACGACCACTTGTCCCCAACACAGAGGCCATGGTCTTATCACACTCAGCCGTATTACCGGTGCATGTGAGTTTATTCTCTATTTGCTTTTTACTATCGTGTATCTATTTTTATCCTAACATAATTGTAGGTCCGGTACCGATGGGCTAGACCAACACCTCATCGCAGAAGAGAACATTGAAGTGGTCGACTTCCGCGGTGGCCCTGAGATGCTGCCGCCAGAGATCAAAGATTTGATTCCCATGGCAGGCAAATTCTTCAAGCGCTGGGATGGCGAACAGGGTGTTTTCATCAGCAACATGAAGGAGCTGTACCCTGAGGACTAACGGATGACTTACTATTACCTACATTTTCGATTAGCTGCTGCTGACTTCGCATGTTCCCAATCCCGGCTATTGCCTACTACCCACAACGCCGAGGCACGGCATTTCCAGGCGCTCTTATACATATACCCCCCTTTTTATGATTTAACTCTAATAATACTTAAGCCTTCAACGATACGGCTTCGAAGATACTCCCATTCTACGTTTCAATTACTGCTCTCACCTCAACATTAATATGTATCGATACGATGGATGGATAAATGGTCTGTTTGGCTCGTCTTAAGCGTGCAGGCGTTTTACGGGAATTCTAGTGTGGGTTGACAGTAATATTGTGTACGATAGGCCATTGATCATACGAACGAATTAATGAAAATTTACCACTTGGTATTTGATGGGTTTTTTGATGTTGTAAAGTGACATAAGACGTGAGTTTACCCTAGAGGTGTGTCTAAGCTTTGATAAATCCGAATTTGTCGGGGCCGAGCTATCGGGCTCGGCCGTCGATTTTGAGACAGTTTAAGAGGAAACTGATCCTACCAGCTGGTCATATTCCTACGTACCCCTTTGATCTGGATATCGTGTGTTGAGGTAGTTATAGTATGATGCCTATCTACCTTGACTGACCGTACGTACAATCGGATGAAAGCCCAATGGAGTCCATTAGCTGGTTGTTCCCTAGATGTAGTTAACCTAGACGAGTTTCCCAATAAACCTAGGTAGTCAAGTTAGTTCCATTACTTGAGGCTATTGTCATAGTAGCATAGTATATATAATTCAAAGTCATTGATAATGGGGGGTGTATATTCACACAAGCGACATAAGTTAGACTCGTCTCCCCGTAACGTGATGTAGAAGCACTATCAACCATCCATAACTTCCTACGCAACAACCTAAGAAGCACCTATTCACTCACATATTCACTCACCTATTCACATTAGATAGGAGGTACTTATCTACCTCTTAATCGCCATCAAATACATCATGTCAACAAAGTGTATGTACGGCTTATCCAGACACTGGTATCATCATCATTAATGCTTATCTACACGTACCTAATCTGTATATGCAAACCATACTCTCTAGCCACCTCACCCTTTTAGAACAATGCATGCCTACCTACCTAGGTAGGTAGTAAAAAGTCAACTATTCCCTAACCACCTCAATCTTCTCAATAACATCCCCCCCAACCCGCGCGATCTCCGCAAGGATAGCATTCCTATTAACCTCGTACATTGCACTCTCCCCATCAGCATCCTCACCGCCCCTAGAAGGCATAAGCGAACACGGCATATGCGCCGTAAACGCGCGCGGATGCAGTTGCGGATTCCACAGCCCTCCGATCACAGTGTCATCCGGGCCGCCGTGGAAAAACAGCAGGGGGCTGGAGTACATCGTGTTGAGCTGCTTGAGAAGACTTTGGGTAGGCGGCTCTAGCAGCGGAAGCGCTCTCATCCCCGTTTCCTCGTCAAGGTTCTTGTACTGCGAGCGCCTGGATGCATCGCCTCGGGAGATACTCTTAAGTGCTTTCGAGGACAGATGCAGTAGGACGTCGTAGTCGCGTAGCGGGGATTGGAAGAGGCTTCGCATGCCGAGGTCGACTCCCTTCTCCTTAGCGGCCTTGCATGCGGATCGCGCCAAGCTAGTCATTCGCGTAGCGACGACCTTGGTCGGGCCGTCGTGAGTATACGCGATGCCACTTACATCGTGAGACGTAGCCACAAAGAGAATTGTGCGGTTCATATTGGGATCGATTTTTCGCCAGGCCTTTAACCGGGTACCGATTTCTAATCGCTGCGAAGTGGAAAGGGATCCCGCTGAGTCGACAACAAGGGGCTCGTCGCGCCAGTCCCATCTCGATAACAATAAAAGCGTTCGAAGGAACCCGGTTATGGCGCTGGTGGGAGATTGCCAAGGATATGGCTTGAGGAACGCTTGTAGAACAAACAGCTCTATGACCTCTTCGTTAAAGTGGCATGATAGCTTGTGAGAGTTAAACCAGTGCTTAGTGAGGCGTATGGATGAGGATAACGCAGGGAATCTAGTGCAGAATGTAGAGATGGTTTGGTTATGGAGTGGTAAGTTGGTATACATCCGCTTGTACAAGGCGAGTAGCTCGGCAGCTTCAGTACGAACGTGACGCTCAATTGTCTGATCTTTCGTGCGCTTGTCAAGTAGGGCCTCCTCAAGATCGCTAAAGACGCGGAGCCTGAAAGAAGCACCATCTTCGTAGACTATGTCTAAGAATGCCAGGTTTTCGTCGTCGCGGGTTGTATTCTCCAGCCCCAGATGTGTCTTAACATCCTCCTTGACTTCTTCCAAGGAGCTGGCAATTTTTAACAAGAACGCAACCTTGGCTCTCTGGATAGCTGCTAAATTTTCAGGCCATTTGCCGGATACCTCAAAAGAAACCACGACTTCCATCGGCTGCAGTAAAGGCTTTCTGAAGTTGAATTCTGGTACGGATATTGATGTGCGCCGTAAAGCTGTGCTGATAGGTGCTACTTGCTTTACATGCAATGGTAGGTCCTCTAGATTACGAATATCTCGCTCAAGATTCTCGAACGCTTGTCTAGCGGAATCGAAGGCCACCTTTTCCGAGGGTGCAAACGATATGACTTTGGGCATATCTTGCCCGTAGAACTCAAGATCGCCATCACCTACTTGGAGTCGTAGCTTGAGGATGTATCGTATAATAGCCTCGCATATTCCGGGGAAGCCCAGGTAGCTATATTCTGTCCAGTCAAGGCTCTCAACAATATTCCCGTCGGGAAATTGCCAAAGATCTGCCTTCTCGCCCCAGAACTCACGGAATTTGGCTGATTCTTTCTTCTGTTCATACGGTGGACCATAATCACGACCCTGAGATGCTTTCAGGGGATCTATAATAATCCCAACGAGAAGGCTTGCCTTTTTCGTCTTCGGTATACTTGCCGAAACTGGCCACGTCGCCGTTTCTGGTACGCTAATGTGGATTAACTGTGCTCGCTCGCCTAACGCCCTTTTTACTGTGTTATATAATTTGGTGCTGAAATCGCAAACGAACCCCTTGCGGTCGACCGATTCGACCCCTTCCTTTGAGGTAGGAAGTTTGACACTCAGGAGTATATCAAATATCTGCAGAGGTTGGTCGGCTTTGACAATGAATAAAGGATCGAACTGGTCATGTGGGCTGTCGTTGATTGCAGAAAGTGACCACTTGGCTTGTTCGGTTAGCATGGCTATAGACCATGGTGTCATTTTGTAGAGGATGTTTATTCCACGAGCCGTATCATGTAGGACTGGCATCGCCTGACGAAGAGAGTCTGTATCGACAGGGTCCTTGCCAATAACCAAAGCCTTCTTCTGCAGGTTCGCCGAAACGATGTATTGCAGAGTAGCCTTGAATAGCTGTGTACTATGTAATGAAGACGAAAGTACCGCTTCTCCTTTTCGGCCTCCGCCCTGTAAGAGAAGAGCCATCAAGACTGCCCACTCGAAATGACCAAACCCGCCATTGCTGATATTACCGTTGAATCCGCGCTGCTGGAGCCATATACGTCCTAGAACGCATGCATCTTTAAACGCAGAACAAGACTTCACAGTTCGATAGAGTAATCGCAAATAAGAGGGGAAAAGGCCCTCGGCTTTGAGAGTTGTGTTATAAAAAGGTGTAGGCGCCTTTGTGTCCTCACCTCCTTCGGATTTGCCTGGTCGTATAGCATTGCTGACTGCCGTGAGTTTTCCTGCTGGGAAGTAATCTTCTGGGGCGCATGGGATTATGCGGATCGCCGGGATAGATTTTCGACGGGAATTAGACTTCTCTGAACCATCATCTCCGTTCGCGGTGTTTTTTGGTCGAGCAACCAGTATCGGTAATAACATGTTCCCATGCATGTGATCGAAAACGAATTCAATAGTGGTACCCAACTCTTCGCGAAGACCAGCGGCAATATAAGCCAAGTAATACGCCCTTTTATAGAAATATCTCATGTTCAAGTAGTCTTTCTCCTGAAATACGGAGGAAGGCATAACAACGATCATGTCAACTGCCATATCCGGTTGGGACTTTGTGTTGGTTTTCAGAATCCAGCTGCCGGCCACGTTGACCTCAGCTGGCTTGTCGAAGGAGAGCTTATACGGGGCATCTTTCGCGGGTTGCGGATCAGGATACGGAATAGTAATTCGATTCGTCTTTTCAAACTTCGCCGACACCTCGCCAATCTAAAGGAGCGAAATAGACATAGAAGTTAGATATGCACGACATCCAGCTAGATGGTCTTTGTAAGGGGTTGGACTCACAGGAAGGGGCTCGTGAGGTTCCGAAGCTTCAATGACATCTTTAAGCTGTCGCAAGATATCCTCGACATCGGAGGACGTTTTGCCATAATCGAATTTTACTTCCTTTAGTAACTCTTCTGTCTCTAAGATGAATGCGCTTGCGCCGGAAGCACCCATCGTTGAAGTTGTCGCATTTACAGCTTCGAAAGTTGGTCCACCATCTGCATGTTCCAATTTGCGTCGCTTTGCTATGCTGGGCTCCATTTCGTATTTGAACGGGTCCGAGATCCGAGAAGTGAAAGCGCACGGATCTGGCTGTTGAAGTTAGGTTAGGTAACTATTCGTATCCCCTGGCCAATTTTTGAGATTTTGACGGTACTGACCCATTCGATGTTCAAGTTCCCATCCCGAACTTCAAAAAAATTACTAGTCGCGGTATCGATAAAGACCCACGCTGTGGCTTATTTATTTATTATTGATTGTGGCTAATGGAATTGGTACCTGGCTGGCATGGATTCCCCAATTCTTGCATGATCCTTCAACGTCATCTGCCGAATGGCTGCTGTACCTTATGTTTACATAATCCTTAATAACATTTGTTTGCCGCTATTTTCCGAGCTGAAAATAAGCATCGCAAAGCCGCAGTAGTTTCCCTAGTGACGGATAACCCAATTTTCTCAAGTACAATACAACGATGCGATGCGCGTAGATCTAACCGGTTTCCCCACGTTCCGCATTGCCCTCGAACTGCCGCTGATTGCCTCCGGCGCATACAGTCGCGGAATCTAGTTTACCCCATCGGAACATGCCTCTTTTTCTTCATAACTAACCGTAAGCGCATACAAAGATGACTAGCTCTTGGGTAATATCGAGTAAACCGTGTAACTCTTTATATTGGTCGTGAGCGGCTTAGTTGAGTTCATCCCTAGCCGAGCACTGCCGAGCGTGGAGACGGAGTATGTAAATACAAGGGGCATGACTATTCCGCCTAGAATAGAAGATTCTTTTAATTCGTTCATTTGTTATGCCTGCGATTTCGTAGAATAGACTATAAGCGAGTCCTGCGATTTTGTTGCTATATGTACTCATTCCGAGTTGTGTTTGACGTCGACGGTTGTTCATCCCTGTCACATAGACGATTATACTGAGTACTTGTCGCAATGCCTTCTGCAGCTGTTTGCATGAGAACGCTGAGAGCATATTCTCGCTACGGCTCGAATGTTAGTGAAGCAACTTATCTAATATAGTATAAGAGCATCCATTAATCCATTTTTTTTTAGCATGCTAGGATACTCGCTAGGACGTTCTCGGCGACGTCTAGACGCGCTGAGATTAACAAGGTATATCCGTCTGCCACTGAGGCTTTAAAAGATATGAAACCAGATTCTACGTTATTATGTGGCGGGTTTGGTCTTTGCGGTGTTCCAGATACTTTAATCAACGAGGTCTTAAAGAAACCCGAAATCACAGGCATTACAGCAGTCTCCAATAATGCCGGAACGGATTCTTCTGGCTTAGGAAAACTCTTGAAGACTAAACAGATTAAGAAGATGATCGCTAGTTATATAGGCGAGAACAAGACGTTCGAGCAGATGTACCTCACAGGTGAAGTTGAACTCGAACTCACGCCTCAAGGTACGTTGGCCGAACGATGTGCCGCTGGAGGCAAAGGCATCCCGGCTTTCTACACTCCTGCGGCTTTCGGCACCGTAGTGCAAACCGGCGAGCTACCCCTGAAGAACAAGAGCGACGGAACTCCTGACGTGTTCTCGTACCCGAAAGATGTGAAAGTCTTCAACGGCAAGTCTTATCTTCTGGAACACGCCATTGCTGGAGACTACGCCTTCGTCAAGGCCTACAAGGCAGATAAGCTCGGAAATTGTCAGTTCCGCCTCGCTGCTAACAACTTCAACGGTGCCATGGGTCGAAATGCCAAGATAACCATTGTTGAAGCCGAACATATTGTCGAGCCTGGTGAGATCCCGCCCGAAACCGTTCACTTACCAGGTATCTACGTCAAGAGGGTTATCCAAAGCACCGCGGAGAAGAATATCGAAAAATTCACCTGGACGAAGGATGAAAACGACGCAGATGCCAAGAAGGTGCTGGGCTCGGGCGACACGGCAGCTAAGAGGGAGAGGATTGTGCGCAGAGCAGCTAAGGAATTCAAGAACGGCATGTACGCAAACTTAGGAATAGGCATGCCTATGCTCGCGCCCGGATTCGTGGGCCCCGAAGTTGAGGTGCAGCTCCAATCGGAAAACGGCATCTTAGGCCTTGGGCCATACCCAAGACCAGGCGAGGAGGATGCTGACCTTATCAACGCCGGAAAGGAGACCGTAACATTAAAGCCGGGTGCTGCCGTCTTCGGTAGCGAGGAAAGCTTCGGTATGATCCGTAGCGGTCGTATTAACTTGACAATCCTAGGAGCCATGCAAGTTAGTGCTACGGGTGACCTTGCCAACTGGATGCTGCCCGGAAAGGTTAAGGGCTTTGGTGGAGCGATGGACTTGGTCAGCAACCCGAGCGCAACGAAAGTTGTTGTCACAATGGAACACACAGACAAGAAGGGCAACCCGAAGATTGTCAAGCAGTGTGCTTTCCCCTTGACGGGCCGGGCTTGCGTGTCTAGGATAATTACGGAGCTGGTAAGTAGCTGGTCTACGTATTTAGACCATAGGGGTTTGCTAACGTATTTCTTAGGGGGTCTTTGATGTTGACTTTGCACACGGCCTTACCTTGATCGAGATCGCGGACGGCGTGACGGTGGATGAGATAAAGAGTAAGACTGAGGCGCCATTCCACGTTGCGGAGGATCTCAAGCCGATGCTATAAGTTACGGGGGTGCAGTTGTAGATATTAGGTATATAGGTCAATAACTTACATGTATATAACCTACTTGTGATATCGAGTATATGAGAGTGGGTAGATGCTTTTAGGAACTTGTGTTGTCACCGAATAAATGGTGGAAGTAATAACCTGGACTTACATAGAAGGTGGGGGCTACGTGAACATACGATACCTAAAGTACCTAGGTAAGGTACCTCTCAAAACGCGTATGTAATTGAATCCACAAACCCTAGACTTAGACAAAACAACAACATTCAGTCTACGTTATGGCCACCGCTATCTATATAACTGCGATTTTGATATTGATATAATAGCAGCATGACGAATGGATTATCTTTATGGGCAATTATTCGCGTCTGATACTGCTCTTCTATTAAGCAGAGGTTCGGTATCATCGCTACACTAATAAACACACTTATATCAGCATGTCTCGATCTGCCGGCTTCGGTCCTGCGTATACCTACGACAATGCAGCTGGGGTGGGATTTCGTCAGTGGGAAATACGTCCACTTAAGCATGTTGGCGCCGAATGGCATCGCCGTCCTCCCAGACCCGGCTCAGTTGGAAGGGCACCAACTGAAGCAAGGCCAGGCCGTAGTAAAAAGGGGGCCCGCAGTTTTCTTGACATGATAATCAGAGTCGTCGCGGACAATGCTGCGGCTCTTGAGATAGGGCAATTAGACGACATCCCTTTTCGAATAACATACCGCGTTTGGAAAATCCTTGTTGGAGAGCGCCAGTAAGCTTGCTAAAATTGATTATTCCATCACGCTTCTCTAGTCAGTCAATGCTAATCACTCGTATTGAACCAGGCCTATACCGTTACAATCATATATAGTTCTCGCAACGTGTCTTGCTAAGCAACACCGGCAAGACGAAATGCCCCGGCCAATGCCAGGAGGCCTTTTTCGCTTCAACTATGCCGTGTCATCTCCGTTTGGGCCCTTGAATACCTACTTAAAACCACTTACGTCAAACTCCTTCGACTTCATCGTACATCTTACTTTTGCCCATTGCAACACCTCGTTTTCTGAACATGAATTTTTATCGCTAGCACTTCTCAAAAATCTGGGCGTGCTGGAAATATTGCAGCCAAGGCGTTCCAATATCCAAGTATTCCCTCGCATAACTGACTCCATAATCAGACACTGGTCCGAGGTGCCAAACCCGTTCCCCGTCCTTCGAGTCTTAAGGATTTGGGGGTATGATTTCACCACGTTCAGATCGTTAACTTACCTGTTAAAATTTCCCTCTCTTGTCGTTTACGATGTCGCCGGCTGGCGTAGGGACTGGGATCAGCAGCTGTACCTTCCGGACCCTAATTGGGACTGGGATGGAAGTCGTTTTATTGCTGAGCTACACGATTGCATGTTTAAATACTTCAATGCGCATTACCCAAGTTCCATCCCCACCCCACTCACGCAACATCATAACAGTAGTGAAACGGAACATCCTATACTAAACCATGAGGTGGGAAGCTATGGGATGCCAGGCGCCCAGGCCCAGAAGGTCATGATCCTAAAGAGAGACCATATACCGTCTCAACCCGATACCATGGTATCAGAAATAGATAACCTATGTCATGATATTTGTCTTCACTTTTTAGCATACCTGCTTTATTGCCAGATTGGCCGATTATGGTCGGATAGGGACTTGGCCTCACAGGGCGTGAGTGATACTGAGAAGGCCTTTGTTACAGATAACTTTCGTCTTATTCCACCCAGGCCTTACATCTCGATAAACTTTGGTTCGTGCTGCAACCATATGAGTAACCGATTAGCGGAGATGTTTCATCCCACTCCGGAACCATCATGCCCCTGCGAGGGTTATGCCACTCTTTTTCAGGGACACTACACTTTTATACGAAAGAAGAATGACACGGGAAAACGCGAGTATCAGCCTAGTTCAAGCCACGGGCTATCCGGTAGCAACGGTCCATCCGACAGGTCAGCCTCCAATCCAAGGCTACGAAAGAAACGGAAGATGTTCTCTATGGAGGATCTTTAGGTTAACAGATGCTTAATTATATTTAGACTGGGGGACTACGCGGCTAAGATGATACTTAAGAAGATCTTATCTATGAGTATTAACGTCACTAGATACTTTTAGATACGTACGGTACTATTTTACTACCTACCTATATTTTGAAGCTGGTAAGCTATAGTTAATTGGTATGGAGCTAGAAGAATATCCAAGTGTTAATCTGGCATGAGAACCAATGGAAGATATTGAACAATGCTAACTTAGGCCCTTCATCGCCAGATATTTGGCTGTGATATTTTGTGATATTCCCGCCCAATCTCTTCATTTCTACCCCGTCTTTGATATCTAGGTACTTAAGCTTTATCAAGAAGGGACTGGAAACATAGGTATATTATGTTGAACTTCATTTACTCAATTTCATATTATCTTCCCATACAAACATAGGCACATCATATCCTATAATCCTACCATCTTAAGAATCATCATACTCAATCGCCAGCGCAACACCCGTGCAATTCCACCCGTCTACAACAGCCGTCCCGTCCCCATCACTCGTGATATCTAGCCCTAACCCACACCCAACCCAATACTCCTTGGCTCCTTGCGCACAGGCTAACGTCGAAGTACCATTAGACGCAGACGTAGAATTCGCCCCTGAATTTCCGCTAGTATCGCACTCAAGCGGCGCATACCACCCCTGCCGATCGTTCTCCATATCCGTCAGCACATGCGGCTCGACGAAGTACACCGCGCTGCCGGAGACGTCGGCGCGCGCCTCGGCGATGGCTACGACGGTTGCGTTGTCTGCTGTGCTTGTTATTCCCGCTGTTGCATCTGTCTCGCTGCCGCTGTTGGGCGTTGAGCATAGGTGTTGGTAGCTAGAGGAAGAGGAGTTGGTGGTGGAAGAGGAACTGAATGAGAAACGCGAGGCGCGGCTCGAAGAGGGGTTGAAGAGGACTCCTGTACCGCTGATTTGTAGGTACCAGCCGTCGAATAAACTGCCGGGTTGGGAGACGCGGATGTTGAAGGGGTTGTTGGTGGGGGAGGAGCAGAGGGGGGTTTGGGATGGGGTGGGTGTGGATGTGGATGTGGATGTGGATGTGGGAGAGGTAGTGGTTGTATTGGCGAAGCGGAGGGAACTGGTGGCGTTGAGGAAGCGTGGGGGGACGGTGGTGTTACTATTGGTGCCGTTGATAAAGGGGGAGATGCGCGTGGAGTTGAGGAAGGGAGCTAGAGTGGTGGTGTTTAAGATGGGAAAAGGCGTGCTGGTAACGTTCATGAATAGAGCTGAGATGGTGGCGTTGGATAGCTTTGTTGGGCCAGCCGTTGTGTTGGCGACTGTGGTATGGGTAGAGTTCACGAATGGTGCTGAAGAGGCGGTGGTGTCCCGGAGAGTATTAATTGTGCTGGCCGTGCCGCTGTGGAAACCCGTTACGCTTGCTGCGGTAGGCCGAGTTATGGTATCGGTTGAGTTTAGAGATCTACCGATGCTTGTTGTAGTGTTGGAAACGGCCTTAGAGCTTGCCGTTTTATTGAGTCTGGCAGTGCTATTGATGGCAGCGAGTGAGCTCAACGTCGCCGACGCCGTAATAGACGTAACGTTGACATCACTTTTAGCACTTGACGTATCTTCCGTTATAGATGGTCTCTTTAGTCTATGCTTGTCGGTAGATGCCGTCGAGTCGCTTGATATAAATGAAGATGTCGTAACAGGTAGTGATATGCTCGAACTTGTCACGTTTAGAAAGGATGCCGTTGAGTTGCCAAACTTTGCACTTGTGGAATTTCCATGTGACGACGAGCTATTAACGTATCTTGTAACGTTATGGATAGTTGTAACCGTGGCAATCTCCACGATCCGGACTACATGTGTAGCACTTGGTGTTGGTACAGTCGTCGTGGCCGGAGTAATACCAAGACATGAGCACGCCGATTCGTAGGCTACGGATGAAGCGCATGAAGAAGCATATTTTGGGATCGAAGTACCTTTGATTGTATTTGGACCTTTGTTGCTTACGGCTCTATTAAGTAGGACATCGACTACTTCGTGCTGTTCCAGCCATCGTCTTGACGGCTCTGCGGAACTAGTCGTAGTTTGCGTGGTTGTCCTAGTTGTAGTTCCAATTGTCGTGACCACGACAGTACTGGAAATAGTCCTATCTTCAGCGTCAGTCCTGATTTAGCTTACACCCTTCTCCCGCTGGTAATACCTAATGGCTGGAGTTACTGTGGCTCGCATAAATGACTTGCAATCCTCCTCTTGGAGTGACGGGACTGCCTCCTGAACAGCTAAATTATTAATATCAGTATGATGTAGGTCGAGGGTATCGAACGCTCTTAAGACTTACCTCGGAGACAATCGTCAACTGCACATTTTGCGGTAGCTCCCGTCGCTAACGCTACCGCGACGAAAACATCCAAAACACGCATCTTCTATCATTTACCCAGCGCGCAGTCATCAATCCATGTTCGCGTTATACACGAGAAGACGTCGATCATCGTGACTCCAGCTAAGACCCGCATGGCAGCAGCTACCCTCCTTTTAAGATAGTTCTCAAACGTCGAAAACCTGGAAGACAGCGTCGCATTCGACATTGGACTTTCATGCGGAGATTCCAAGGAACGACGGTCTCGCTAGCTTCCTTTATTCCTTGGGACCAATGGTATGAAGTCTTACCCCTGGTCTAAGTTAGACCCTTGCGACTTATAAGTGACGCGTTATTATGGACTCGATCTGTTATGAGAGATGAGATCGGACTCATCGTAGCATTTGTAGAACGCCAAACTAACTTAATGAGTTTGTTTGATTTCTCAGGACTGAAAGTAATTATTAGTTTAGTTAAAATAACCCAATATGACTTATTGGCGCCGAATAATAGTTAAAGCCCTGCCATAGTCTTTATAAGAGAATGTTTTCATACTAGCGGCATTGCCCGTCCGCTCAAACGTAGACGGGAGAAAAGGGGGGAAGAGGAGAAGGAAGCCGGCAATTATGCGCAAAACTAACGCCACAGCTAAAGTTTAACCTTTAATTAATTAATTATATTTTAATATACGTTTAATAAATTTTTTATAAAATTAATTAACCTATTTTAATATAATATAAAAATTTTAATAATTAATATTATTAAATAAAATTTATTTTATATAATTTTTTTATATTATTTATATTTTTTATAAATATTATATAATAAAATGGCAAAAAAAAAAGTCGTAAAATGCAAGGCGATTTTAAATATTTGATTAGTTAAAAAAATTGTGGCAGTATTAATTAAATATATAAGATTTAATAAGAATTATATAGGTATCTCTTATATTATAAACATTTATAAATGAACATATCTATAAGAACTTGGCCTACATAAATAAGGTCTTGGCCTTAGTCTCATAATGAGACTCGTCGTCATATATACCGTATCTTCATCCCCCATATAACATCCCCTCATCTTCCATGTACCCATACGTCTCCACGTAGCATTTCAAAATATAGACGCATCACGCTCACCTTATATGCCTTAGATTAGGGAAACAGTCAAAACCCCATCAAGCCCTAAATCTTAGTCTTCCATCCCCTCCCCGTTCTCCTCATCCTCACAAACCGCGCACCAGACAACAACATGGCGCCCACAAGTAGACTCGCGCCGGTAAACCCTTGCGCGCCCTCATACCGCCCACCCATACTCCCAATAATCGCTCCCGCAATCGGATTCCCCGTGAGAACTGCAAAACTCACAATCGTAAACGCCATCCCCATGCGCGTGCCCTGCTTGCGCAGGTCCGTCGTCAGGCTGCCCAGGCCCGCGGGGAACAGGCTCTGTATCGCGCCCGCCACGATCCCGTACGCGACCGCCCACCCGTACAGCTGCGATGGCGTGTGCACCGCCATCCAAGCCAGCACCGTAATCCCGCACCCCACGCACGCCGGGATCATGAGATTGAGCGGCCCGAAGCGGTCCGCGAGATGGTTTGGTAGGAGGCGGCCTAGAATGCCGACGCCGTTTAGTATGAGCAGCAAGTTAAGCGAGTCGGTGTATTCCAGCGTGGGCGTGATTTCGGACCGGCTGAAGGCTGCTAGGTAGTAGAAGCCGAAATACACGCCCCAGAAGTTGAAGAACATGCCGATGGCGTAGAGTGTGTACTCGGGCTCGCGGAATGCCGCCCATTCGACCAGGCTACCCGTGCGCCGAGGCGGCAGCCGCGACTTCATAAAGGTCACGGCGAATATCAGCGTAGTCAGCTGCACGAATCCGATGGCGCGAACGGCCCACCCGAAGCCGACGCTCGGGAGTAACTGGCGCGCCATGGCTGGGAAGACTAAGCCGCCGGTTACAGAGCCACTAGCTGCGAGACCGATGGCGAGGGAGCGCTTCTTGCCAAAGTAAGTCGATACGGTGGAAATGAACGGACAAAAGATGCATCCGCTACCGATGCCCATGCAGAAGCCTTGCGACAGGATGAGCTGCCAGTACTGCGTCGCGACAGAAGTAGTGAAGATGCCAAGGGTCATAAACACGATGCCGCAAACCGATACGGGGCGGAAGAAGCCGGCGTCGGTGAAGCGGCCGGTGAAGGTACCGATAAAGAAGGTTAAGAACACCTGAATGGAGCCGATCCATGATATGTCCGAGGGTGGGCGCCCGAGCTGCGCTACGTAGTACGCCTGGAATACGCCGAACGAATTGATGAAGCCCCATGTGTTCATGATAGCGAAGTGCCCACAGAGACCTAGTTACGATTAGAGTTAAAGGATTGATCATAAGCAGTTGGGATACTCTGGTAGCCCAAAGGTGAAGAACCAAGGAAGAAGGAGACTCACATGCGAGCCACGCGACTTTGCCACCATCCGGCGGCGGCCCAGGGTTCCAGCTCGATTTCGTCGACATCCTACTCAGCACCCGGCTTACGGCTCCGGTCATCCCATCGGCGTCCGGGTTAAGGATATCGGGTTCGGGCGAGATTTGCCAGTCCTCCGCCCCCTCGGCAGGACTACCAATATTTATTTCTTCATCCTGTTTTCTCTGGCTAGGACCTTCGGTTCCTGCAGGAATAGGAATCGCCTGCTTCTCGATATCCACCGGAAGCTCGCCTTCGCTGAAACTGGGCGACGAAGAAGGCGGCATTATCGCGAGCGGCTAATCGATGTATCGATCGGTGCAAACCAGGATTTTCTTTGTCTTATTGTAAAGCCCTTGTATGCCGAACTCATCTTAAGACAAATAAGAATAGGTATTAATACCTTATACAATTACTCTTCCTCCAGATCGCTGGCTACCCTACGTATAATATAGTAGCAGCCCGCGATGAGTCGACTGACGTTGAAGTAGGAATCAGAGGGCACCAATCGCACTGAAAGCTCGGTAAATCTACATAACAAAAGGGACTTGTTCACCCGGGCACCGCCGGCTATCGGCCTCACACCGCTCGGGTAGAGTGAGTCTTACACAACGGGGTTTAAAGCGGAGATGATAAACACATCGCGCACGTGTAGACGGCGCAAAATTAAGATTTTAATCAGGCCTCGCCCCTAGGTCGGCAAGGGAGCGGCGGCGGAGAACGGGAGAGCCACCGAAATGTAACTTCTTTCAGACAAGCTCCAACTAGGATCCCGAGGTTTGGTTCGCTATGACTACTACGAATATATTTCCGCGGCGCGCGGAGATGTTTTAACTCAAGATCCTCTACACAGCATTTATAATCGGACTCTATATTTTCCCCTAGAGTTTCACGTGTATCGTTGGCAATAGAGCCGGCCTTCCGAATCCATTACAATGTCTACCTAATTATCCTGGTAGTCATATATGGAAATAGTTTACGAGCTCATTCAAGACAGTGAATTATTCCCGGCACGTCTATATCATCCGCCCCGCACTCAATTTCTCTCCACTTGGGTAAATAACTACCTCTCGGTATGTAATGGAAATGGCCTAAGGCCCGAGAATAAGCTAATGGTTAGTGTAGAGGCTCAACAACCATGAACGTAACGTGGGCCTATGGTCATATGTTTCTTCGTACTACGCAAATATTTACATACCATTATACATCTATTTTTCCGATGTCGCTGATGGCTCGGCCATACACATACCGAGGTAGTCTTAAGCTTATGGCTAGGTACGTCTCGTATTATTCTAACCAGGTACGCTGTTGTTATCCGAATCGAGGTTGGACATCACATTATATTTAAAGGAATAAAGATGGACATCGAGCAATGGCTGGACAGCGACTCAGCACATGAGAATGCATTTGTTAGCCTCGTATCTAGGCGAATATGTCTAGTGACATTCCTCCCATCTAATGTAAATGATTAAGTCATGATAGTACATGAGGACACAGAACCGACCAAAAATGCCACCACGTTGGACTTCATCTCTTCCATCTCCCACATACCTATTATCCCATAGACCAGGGCAATAACCCCACCTACAAACTGGGCTCCTGCTACATCTCAAGAAAACCTCCCGGCAAGTAGCAAACTAGGACGAATGTTTAAAGGGGGTGCCTACCTGTGGCACTCCAGTGCGGCGATTCAACCACGGAACAAAGCAAAGTCCAATAGCCTCGATCTCGGTTTTCGACCGCTAGAAACTCCGTCACGTTTTCGAACAGAATCGCGGACCTTTGATCGGCAGATGGCCTTCTCGCACTGGTTATCGGACCATCCAAGGGCGAGATCATCTGCCCACCAGACCTTGGCCTTCTCGTCCACCTTGAGGGCGACTTGGACTGATGTCAAGTTGTCAAATCCCTTGAACACAACTGGAACAAGTTCGCAATGATCCGTGCTGGTACATGCTGATACATCGACCGTCAGCCAAGCCACTTCCTTCTCCTGCTGGGACTGTTGGTCGAACCGCAGTCCTGTAAAGTTGAAAACGCAAGGAGAATCCTTGGAGTCACAACCAAGGCTGAAGCCGTTGAGATTGAATGAGAAGCAGGGCGACGAGGCTTGGGGTCCGACGCCAATCCTTGCTGTGTCTCGGGGCACACCGGGATCAGACAAATTCGACATGGACGATGGTGTAAATTGGAGCATCAGATTTCCGGAAGACGGTACAAACGGAGTGGGAGGTGGGGGAAGGACGCTGAATCCTTGCGAGAAGTAGAACCGATGGTGTGGGCTCAACATTGGCATCGGGCCAACGTCGTGAGGGTCTACACCAGATCCGACTCCAAGGGGTGGTAGATCATCGAACTGGTTGCAGTATTAGTCGTTACTCGGCACCATTTGGAGATAGGATGCTCGCCACTTACATTGAGCGTAAAATCTCCCACATCAGCTTTGTTACCGCAAGCAGTTGATGAAGGAGCCTCACTACCAGCGGTCGATCTGGGGGCTAAGCTAGGCGACCTCACAACAACTGTTGACAGTGTAGAGGGGACAGGAAGCTCAAGGTTATCTCGGGCAGAAAAGGCATAGCCTCCAGAATTGGGAGTCTGGCTGGGGGCCGCGTTTGCGTTGCTTGGCTCTAGTGTTGCGACCTGAGCGCACCATGAGAATGTCCTCGAAGACATAGTCAACGTAGTCATTGATATGCATTCGATGGTAGCACCAGTAGGGAGCTCCGATGCAACTCCAGAAGCTGTCGCGGCGGGAAATGACTCCGGTGGGGCGGAAACAGGTGGTGGTAGATTGGGCGTGGGCGTAAGGGGCACCGTATGGACGGGGTCCGATTCGGTGCACGATGTCGAGATGGCTACAGTAGAGTCAGCGCTGGATGCAGTTGTGTTCCACCCATTGGTTGGCACAATGGACCATGGGGTTCGTGAAGAGGTGAACGTGCCAGTTGGAAGATCTCCCGACCTACCAGTGCCAGAAGTCTCATCGCATGGAATGGAGCCGCTGTGGGCTAGAGGAGTCCCGGTTACTATAAGTAATATATTCAGCCGTCATTCCATTTTCTGTTCCAGCGGGGTACTTGAGAATACAGAAGAAACAATGGGCATGATCTTACCTGTTGCTGTTTCCTCGGGAACTGTCACAGTGTGGGTTAGGACACCTGGTCTGGTTGATACATTGGTGATAGTCTCCGAAGGACTCGCCCCTGCGCCCGTGTTCGAAACTCCTTGTCCTCCAGCACCAGCTCCGGCTGGCCCGCTGGCTTGAGGTGTTGGATGGCCAGCTCCGTATCCCCCAGGTGGAATTGAGTCAGTGAGTGTAGCAGAACCAACACCCTGACCGGCACCAGCACCCTGACCGGCACCAGAACCCTGGCCCGCACCAGGAGTGACTGAAGATGCACCAGAACCTGCGGGTAGCTGCCCTGAAGGGTTTCCTCCATAGCCTCCCGGGCTTGTAACAGTAACAGTAACTTCACCAGATCCGACAGGAGTGGCGTATGGCAAAGAAGGTGAGTTAGAAAGGCCTTGGCCCCCCGCACCACCATTCGATCCTGCTGACGGGGCGGTCACAGTAATTGTAGGCAGAGAGCCACCGGCTCCATTACCTCCATTGCTTCCGCCAGAACCTCCGGAAGGATTGCCAGGGCCAGCTGCAGAGGACTGCGGCGATGAGCCACTACCTCCATTGCCACTACCAGATCCTTCTGATGCACCTGGCGCTGTCACAGTGATGGTCTGGGGAACACCTTGGCCACCAGGACCTCCGGATGGATATGCGGGAACAGTGACGGTGACTGCTGTCGGTGAAGAGCCAGCACCTCCATTGCTTCCGCCAGGGCCGTTGTTGGTGCCGGTGACAGTGGTAACATACGGGTACGAAACTGAACCAGATTCACCCGTGGTGCATGGTGTTGTGCCCTGGCCATTGGAACCTCCGGGCGACCCTCCAGGGTTACCTGCTGATGCACCTGGCGCTGTCACAGTGATGGTTTGGGGAACACCCTGGCCACCTGGACCTCCGGGCCCGCTCGCAGAGCCGCTTGGGGATTCACCTGGCACTATTAGTATGACGCCCTGCAGGGGGAACTGAGTGGTTCTTACCTCCCGAGCCTCCGGATCCCTCACCAGTGTTGCTTGGTAACTGTCCTGGTGCTGTCACAGTAATAGTGTAAGGAATACTCTGGCCACCAGCACCTCCGGATCCACCTGCAGGGTTGCCTGACGGCCCGCTGGGAACTGTAAAAGTAATGGTTTCTGGAGCACCTGGAGTAATTCCAGTACCAGTGACAGTGATGACAAACGGAGCAGAACCCTCTCCCGTACCCGATGACTCCCCGGGAGCTGTTAGAGTAATGGTGTGAACATTGCTGCCGCCTCCTGAACCTCCAGACCCGCCAGAAGGATTGCTAGGAGATCCTCCAGGGGCAGTAATAGTGATTGTTGGAAGGTTTGTTGAAGGGAGGCCTTGCCCACCAGCACCACCACCGGGAACATTGCCAGTGCCGGTAACTGTAATGACATTCGGATTGGAAGAGCCGGATCCACTTCCTTCTGGGCATGGCGAAGTTCCAGAACTACCAGGCGATACGCTCGGGACTGTGACTGTGATGGTTTGTGGAGTACCTTGTCCACCTGGACCACCAGGACCTCCAGGACCTCCAGAGCCTCCAGAGCCTCCGGAACCACCTGCGGGGCCGGTTGGCGATGCCACGGGTGCAGTGATAGTGAGTGTATCGACAAAGCTTGGGCCGCCAGAGACTCCAGGTAAGGTTAATGTAACCGTTTCGAGGGTGCTTTGGCTGCCAAAGCCCCCAAGACTTCCAGGGCCTGACCCGCCGGCGGAGTTGCTGGGTGAACCGCCCGGTGCAGTCAAAGTGTTGCTTGGTGGGATACCCTGGCCACCTGCGCCGCCGGGACCACTACCAGTCTCAGAAGGTGCGGCCCAAATGGTGGTCTCAGAGGGGACACCTTGACCGCCTGGGCCAGTTTCGGACCCTGAGCTTCCGGCATTGCCAGTAGATTCACAAGGGGTAGTAGTGGCAGCTGTTGGTGAGATCCCTTGACCATTTGGCCCACTTCCGGAACCAGAACCAGAACCAGAACCTGAACCGGAGCCTGAACCGGAGCCTGAACCGGAGCCAGAGCCAGAGCCACCGGGACTTCCGGCAGTCTGTGAAGGGAAGACGACAACAATTGTCTCAGAACTCTCTGGGCCGTTTGGTCCTCCCTGGCCAGCACCACTTGGTGAACCTCCAGGAGCTGTGATTGTGATTGTAGCAAAAGGAGTATTCCCAGCGCCTCCAGAGAGAGTCTCAGTATAAGTGGCAGGATACTGGCCTGGGGAAGAAGAGATACCAAATGGGCCTGGAGGACTAGCTGAGACTCCAGGGTTGATTCCTGTCGATTGTCCACCTGGTACACCTTGTCCACCAGCGCCACCACCGGGGCTGACAATCGTGTAAGTGATGGGAACGCCGGGAACCGTGTTGCTAGCAGCGGGAGGTAGAGTGAGGGTGAGGAAATCAGTAGACCAGGGAACAGTGCCAGACAACTCAGTAGAACAAGGGATAGTGATCGTTCTGGACGGAGACCAAGCCACAGGTGAAGTAGATTGAAAGACATTGGTACCAGAATTCGAGCCAAAGCCACCAGGGCCACCTTGACCAGGAGTGACGGTAGAAATGACAGTGGATATGACAGTAGAGACAACAGTGGGAAGATTGGCCGGAGTAACAGTCACGAAGATGGTATGAGCAGGGCAGGTTCCAGCGCCATTCCCACCTCCATTTCCACCACCACCATTTCCGCTTCCGCTTCCGCCTCCAGCGGTTGAAGAAGGTCTTCCAGGACTTGTTAGCATCACCGACAGACAGATTGGCATATTATCAAGCTGGTCAATCAATCACTCACCCGTTTCCATACTCTTGAGCTGTGGTCAATCCCACGAGCCCAGAGGCCCCTAGGACCCCAAGAAGGGCGTTTCTTCGCATCTTAATGTGATCTGCAGTTCTGGCTATGTTGGCTAGATTGGTAAAGTGGTGGTGAATGAGAAGATTGTTGGTAGAGACACAAGAGGATGAGAGATAGAGACGAGTTGAAGAGACGGAAGATTGAGAGATTGAAGGATGAGAGAATAGAATAGAAACCTAGGGGAGTAAATTTTTGGGTTGAAACACCGCTTCTATTGCGCTTTCCCAAATAATATGGAAGTCTCCCTCCAAAATAGGAGTGGGAAGGAAAGAGCTGGTAGCTTAGCATCATATTGTGTGTCATAGTATGTCAACTTGGCAGTCTCGATGGCAAGTGAGAAGTATGTTCGGCATATTCCGGCCTAAACTATGTCTGTTGGTCTCGCTTCTATACTGCGCTTGCCTTCATATATACTCAACTGCTGGGGACATGTAGTACCTAACTCTACGAGACAAGAGCTCGATCTGGGTGTAAGTAAAGATAGCAGGAACTCCTAGAGGCGACCGGCGTTTACTTTAACACCCCTTAGTTATAAGTGTCTCTGAGCGCTCTAACTTGTCACATATCCAGGTATACATATATATTTATTACGTATTCAATCAGGATGCCCAAACTGAATGTGTAAGGTATATTTGAATTGTGCACCTAGACAACGGGTATTGATGGGGGCATGTAAATGGTATAGACAATGGGAAGGTGCCAACATCTCCATCTAAAGTTTACTTTTGTGTGATATGGATATGGCGTGATAGTGTCGACTGTGACTTCTAAGATATCGGAACTTTCGAGGCATAGTTTCTTCGATTAGGAAAGATGTCGTAACATTATACTGGATGAACATGCTTAACTAGGTAGTTGGTACGTCTATGTAGGCTCTTTCCCAAGGCTCTAAGTTTGGGGGAACTTTAGCAATTGGTATGACCACACACACTGTGGGATGACTAAGGAGGTGCGTAGGCATAGTGTATTTGGCGCAATGTTTCACAGGAAGTTGCCGGTCTGTATAGAGATGGAGAGTTGGTGAAATGGCATCTTCGACGGTGAAACTGTTGAGTTGAATGTTGGATATCGGCAGGCACCTGGGTCCTAGGTACATACTGCTGGCACAATTGGACTGATGACTTCCATGCCGTCTCTGATATCCAATTCAGATGTATAGAATATGATGTTGGCTATAAATATAGGCGCCTAAGTTAAACCGGTTGAAATAAGATATCTCGAATCTGAATTGTTTTCATGAAGCATATGGTGGCTAGTGAACTCGATAGATAGAACTTGGAGATGCTCACATACCTGTCACGTCAATGTAGAATGTTGAACCCCCCCCTTCTCCCTACCCCCTATTACACCTAGAAAGCGGAGCATCCCTTAGATGCTCTATTGAGTAATTTCATTGACACAGCAATCTTAGTTGGGGTTGAGCTTTAGTGAGATCTTCAATATGAGTTGTACTCAATGCCTATTACACCCAACCGCAACACCAACTCAAAAAGAGTACGTTTAAGTTCATAATTCATCATAAATTCATCATTAGGTAGTCTATGTACACAAGTCGCACATAATCATACAGGGTTATCTACATAGGGTGGAGGAGGCTCATCAGGATCATACTCCTGTGAGTCTCTCAGCGGTACAGCAGAAGCAGAAGCAGAAGCAGTAGTAGGGGCGGGGGTAGGTTGTCCTCTCGCCTGCTGTTCGAGCTTCGCTGCCCAGAGCGCAGCTCCCGCCGCCGAAGTAAGGAGGAAGAAGAAAGATAGAATGGGTATGAGCTGGAGTATCATCGCTATGGTGCCGAAGCATGTGTACTCCCACCTTCTACTCCTAATCTCCTGCTTTTGCTCTTTCTTCGTCAAGCCCCTCAGTTCAAACCACCTGTAATGCGCAAATGTTCCTAATCGGGCGCCCGTGATTATAATGAAGGCCGGGGTACCAACCTTTGGGATGAGATTGAGGGGTAGGAACGCGATTAGCTCGACGATCTGGATCAGACTCCACGGCTGGTATACGGCAGAGCTTGTTGGTTTGCCCAATTTCTTGACGGAGTTGGGTGCATCCGGGAATAGTAGTCGATGCGGCGCAACGAGGCTTTCGAGACCTTGGTCGAGAAGGGTTGCCTGACAAGAGTTAGCATTTAACACTGCCATGAAAGCTGACAATAAATGTCTATATGAATCCCCGTGGGGTAGATTAACATACATCAAACACATCTACGCGACATTCATCGACGAAGAAACCTTCGAACAAGCCCTGAATAATGACTAGACCCTCGCCTAGCACCAACACCACAGCGTTGATCCACGCACTCCAACCGTGGAAAATGGCTAAGAATGCATACTGAGGCAGAAACGCAAACGCGAAGAGGATGGTATAGACCAGGAATGAAATGATTGAGAGAGGAAGTAGTCGACTGAGGAATAGAGGATAGTATGCCGGATGACGTAAGAAGTAGTAGATGCCTTGAAGAGGGTATGAAGCCGCAACTAGCCCTCTCCAGATATAGGAAGCAAACCTTTTTAGTGGTCGCATAATGATAGCTCGGGGAGGTCGGTTTTGGGACTCCATATCATTGTTATTTGAGGTATTGTAGGATGAACAGGCAGAAGGGCGATCAACTCTACCTAGAGTTTGACGTTGTAACCTGTAAGCTGGCTGTATGCAATAAAGCGATAGCTGACGACACTGCTGTGACACATGCTGAGACACCCTTAACGCTTATCGATAGCGCCTTTATCAGGCATGAAGGCATGCGAATACGTAGGTACAATACACGGACCCCTACGCGTCTCATCTCTTGTAATGGCGCACGCTTGGCATTTTCTACCCAAGACAACATCACCAATTATATTCAAAATACTTACCTGGTACCAGTATGCTTCATATCATCCCTTCAACATCAGCAGCAAATCTAGAAAAGGCGCGATGATAATTTATCCGACTTCCTGGGTGTTGTCAGCGCCTAACCTCCAGGAAGCTATTTCTTAGAGCATTGGTCTCAACATTACTAAAGCACAAAATTCATCAAGTATCACATATGAAAGTGGTTGTCTCATAAAATAGAGCAGTTAGTTCTATTGTCGGATATGGGTGGTAAGACCCCTAGCTAAAATCTTAACGAAATCATTGCTAGTAAGACTATCTACCTAGGTATTTTGAAGTTAAACTGCACGAACAAATTAACCTAACCTTCTCGAGTACCGTGTCCATCTATTTTTCACATTTTCCCCCGTAGCCTTCAACGCCATGCATAACGCAAAAACTCAATTAGACATATGCTCCCACCCCCTATCCCTCAATTGATTGGGGATTCGCAAAAACGTTGTTCGGATCTAAATCCCTTTTCAGCTGTTTTAGCTTCTTATGAAGTTCTTTACCATAGTATAGATCATTCGCTTCTTCTCTTGGCAGACTCGGGTCGGTATAATTGGAGTATGCGCCGTAACTCGGGAGGCGCGCTGTCATAGCGCTTGCTAGTCCGTTGATGAAGTCAAGACCTTCCGATGGGAAAACTTGCTCGTTGTCAACATAGCCGTATAGTTGGGTGACCCACAGAGTATCGCGATGTGCAAAGGCGGAGAAACTCTGGTCTTTGGCGTTGATCTGGCTGTCGGCGCCACCGTACAAGTCGGCTAAGATGAAGTACGAGATAGGCGCGCGTGCGCCTTGGTCGAGAAGGTATGTGAAGAAGTCTGTCAGCGATTCGGCAGTGAAACCCGGCTCGGGTATGGTAACACTCTTGGCGAAGAAATTGGAATGCTCTGAGGAATCCGTCGGAGAGTCCAGTTCTCGGCCTTGGTTGAGTAGCTTGAGAGATGTTGCCCAATCCACCTGCTTGACTTCGATAGTTGGGAACTCAGGAATTCCCTCTAGCAATGCCGGTATGACCTTTCGTACGAAATCATTCCGAGACCCTAAGAAGGTACCCCCTACTGCGAAGTAGTCCGATGACAGAGTCACATTGAGTCCTAGCTGGCGGTCGACGACAGAGTGATCGTGAACGAATGTTTGGATATGTTGGAAGGCTCTGACGGCACTCTCGATGCTTTTTGTTGCATCGCTGACTTTAAAGTCCCAGTGTATGATGGATTCGGGTGTAGGCACTGTATTGAGATAAAATGCTACCGCGATGCCAAAGGAGTCAGCCGCGCCTCGCATCGCCTTATTTGGAAGTCCTAAGGTTAGCAAAAGCTCACTAGTTAAGGGGGAGAATGCAATAAGAGCATTAGGACTTACATAGAATAGATCTTGATTCTGATTTTCATCAGCAAGGACCAGTTGGCCGTTTGCCAATACCACCATGATCTTTGCGATGCGATCCATAGCAAGACCCCAAGCACGGGAGAAGAATCCATATCCTCCATGTGTGAAATGTCCGCCAACTCCAACGCTTGCGCAAGTGCCATGAGGAAGAGCGCGTTTCCAGCCCGTACGTTGGTCAATGGTTTGAGCCAACTCGCCCAATCGCGTGCCGCTACCAACTATAACACAATTGGGGTCATCTGAAGCCGAGATGGTTCTGAAATGAATTTTCCTGAGGTCTATTACTATAGAACCATCCACCCCTCCATTGCTGTAAGAGGCATATGAGTGCCCACCAGATCGGGCCTGCACTTTGAATCCGTGTTTGCCTGCGAAGGTAATGGCGTTGCTGATATGTTCGACTGTGGATGGGACAACGACAACAGCAGGGGTAACCGGAAGGCGTAGGTTATAGGTTGATGAATATGTAGCCCAATCAGGATCTGTCGGTGTTTTGAATGGAATTCCTATATCACTTAGCTGGCCTATGAAGGAAGCGACGTCGGTCGAAGCCATCTTGACTACTATCAAAGGCGACAGGGAAGTGTTAGAAGATGAGCTCAGGAGCGTAAAACGGATAGTATAATTATCTGTTCCTATTGATTTGTCTAGCGATGCGATCTTGCTTTGGAGTTTGCTTGGGTCGCGATAATCATAAGTAACGACCCGTGATTTGTGGTGGAAAATACCGCCACTGTTTTAGCAGATCGTACTTAATCGACTCGGTTGATAAGATAGAAAACAGATAGAAGAGAAGAAATCTAATTTATTTAGGGTGACTTTATAAGGATGTCTAGTCGGTTTGCTACGGTGTGTTTGGGTACAATGGTTCTAGCACCTGCCTTATGACATCTCAACTTCACCCACGATGTCTTGCAAGTAATTGAGTGGATCTAGTGATACATCAAATATCATGAGATCTGGAAGGCCGGCCAATGACCAATCACGCATTTATTTATAAAATATTTAAACGGGAAACGCCAATAATCAGATGGACATCCTATGCCAATTTATTTTCTTTCTGTGGAATAGTATTATAGTTTGATTCATCACTTGAGAGAGACCGTTTGGTTATTTAATGATGGTGTGGTTTCAATCAAACAGCCACATGCAAACTTACCCCTATCTAGCCCCCTTTTAGATTTCAGCGCCCGCATGTAAGCACCTAGCCGAAGTATTTGATTCTTTAAACAAGACGTAGACGGCCTTCAGAATTTTTAAAATGAATACACTATATAATCTATTGATACAGTACTCCCTACAATCCTCTTCCAAGTATGCTGGTGTCGCCTAACCCTATGATGATATTCAATGCAATTACCTACCTACCTAGGTACCTAGATTATACAGTGTGATATTATGTTCGGTAGCCTTTCTGAATAGATCATTGATGTCCTTCAGCTCAACGCCTCGTGCGTTGGGTACGTCCCGATAATGCCCCGCGAATTAGCGTTCTTCCTTGTTCGTTCTTATTGTTACCCTTTTCAGTATCAATTGGCTTCAGTCGCTTGAATACCTCAAATATCCCCTATATCTCCTGATATAAAAGATAGCCAGATACTGCAACAGTTAAGACGATAGCGACAAGTAGGAAGACCCACCAGTGCCTCCACGCACTTACGCCGCCTCCGATTTCCTGTTTTACGAAGTCCAGCGCGTTACTCCCAGAGATTGTCTGCGGACGCGCATTGTAGTCAGGGTCGTGATCCGAGACGTGCACACTTGGATATACACAAGGCGGTTGGGAACTTACAGCTACCACGGTAATAGGAAGGAAACCCATTGTGGCCACAGCTATATTTAAGCGAGATGCTGTCATCTCGAGTATTCTCGGCGATATCGAGGTTAAATTTGGTATCATTCCGAGTGACAAAGTTACCAAGCTATAATTAATCAATTTAATGCTGCCCTGGTCTATTATACATGTTGGTTTGGGAACACTTACAATTTCCACGTATAATTCTGCCCATTCTTCTACTCCTTGTTGTCTACTTTGGCATAACCCAGCTGCAATTTGTAGATCTTATTCTTTTCGTGGATTGATTTCGATTCGGCCCTCGAGCACTGAGGCATATGCTGTATGTCCTGATATGCCACCATTGTGTCCCGAATAAAGCGAAGTGCCGATAGTTCGAAATTCAAGGCGTACCTAGTCCAAGTTTACCAGCTCGCGCCTTAACATATTAAAGCTATGAACCGAGTGGAATGCAGAGAGGTTACAATCAGTGTAGATAGCATAACGGTCTCTGCAGAAACGATCCATCTGCTTTTCGCAGATCTGGAAGCTGCGGCGATGCTCGTCCCAGTATATTTCATTGAGCCTGTCTAACTCCCCACAGAATATGTTCAGCACATGAAGAGGACAGGTTCTTATCAGCCAATAATCACGCTGGAGGACCCCGGTAATGGTAATGCATACCGCCGAATTCGTCTGAGCTGATATTCCAAGAAGTAGTGAAAAGGGTGCCACTGCAGGAGGCTTAGTCTCTAACGATGGGGTCTGCATGGATATATCTGAAAAGGGGGTTAGCTATATCAAGATGGTATATCGGGTTTTCTTACATAATGAGGTGGGAGGCTCTTCTGGGACATCATGGGAGTATTCGACTGTAAGAGAATGCCGACCATCTCTATGAACTAGAGTTCCTACGGAGGATATTGGTATGTTTACTTCTCAGGCCGCCGTATCATCTAACTGTTTACGGCGGAGGTAAGACTACAGTCGAAGTTCAGTGTAGTCATAGCCCGACATTAGAGCTTCTTGCAGAGTATCTGAAGAAATGGTGCGAGGTCAATCATCAGGATACACGGCATGTAAGTGTTTCCTCCCAAAAGAGCGATAACGTATGCGCAATGTCTAACGAACAGCGGATTTGTACAGCCTCCCGCGGTCGAGGTCGAGGTCGAGTTGCACCAGTCGTCCTTTGGGTTTGGTCTTACGTATGACCGCCTGACAATGTCTGTCCAGAACCGTATTCCACATTCTTTTCGTATCACCCATGATTGTATTACCTTTCGTTGAAAATGTGTTGGGTTACAAGAGTGTATCGGTTGACGGGTCTTTTTGGATCTTCCGAAGGGACATCGAGTTAAGGAAACCTAGACGGTAAACGTGGATGATAATGCGATTAAAGGTTTCTGGGAGTCAATGCCAGCAATAGAAGTAATTACAAATCCATATTTACTCGTCTGAGAGTTAGAATTTAAGACTGGGAACATACCTGAAGCAGTAGCTTAACTGAGCGTCCAAGTAAAATATCTTTTAGTACACCAAGGAACTCATCAAAGGGCTTTATACTGGCATGATATTTGGTCTCCTTTCCGATTCCCTTTCTACCCACTTGATCTTCCAAGGACCAAGAGTGCCGCAAATCTGGATGATACTAGCCTCATATATATTCAACCCTTATTTAGCTCATTTGGGTAACTATGACTTTCTTCCTCCATTATCGGAATAGAAACGGTCTAGCTCGCCCCGTATAAAATATTTAGTTTGAGTTTCTACTAACTTAGTGGTGTTTGTTACCCGTCAAATGTATGTTTTGATCAACGAATGATCAAATGCTAATATTGTTAGAATCTGAGAGTTTTCTCGATGTACCCAGACAATACCTATATCCGTACTCGACAAGGATGTCAGGGTATAGCGGGAGCTAGTACGTATTAGGCATAGATCGGCGCTCACTTGATATATAAGAGGCGCAAAGCGCCTCTCATAGAGAATATAAGGTTATGCGTTAATAAATTCATACTACTATACGGCTACTATACAGCAACTTCGCTGCCGCTTCTAACATTCACTCTACGTGTGACATTCATCAAGGGTTCTCTCTGACAAAGGAAATCATAATGTAACCTCGGGTCTGATAACGTTCTTTAAGTTCTAGATACGAATCCTTTTTCGGTGATAGTGGGCAGTTCTACCACCAGTAGCGCTACGTATTTATTAATAGAGGGTGTCCCCGGATTGTAAGAGACACGGATACGAAGTTATCATCCCCTATAATCAAAATAGTGTTCTAAGTAGTGGCGGGGCTTACATAAGCCCGGTTTGATAGAATGATCGTCGAACGGTTTATTGTCAAGGGTCAAGCATAATCTAGTTACCTAATTGCCGAAGTCAGCTAGACTATCGGTCAAGAATATGTCCTGGTTTAGGCCGATATATGTACATAGTAGAATTCACAATCTCTATATTGGCATACAATTTCTCCTTGTCGCCGTTTGAATGCCCTGCGTCCCTTCTCCGTATACTATCATGTTTTCCCTGTTCTAAATTTGGTTGCAACCTAACCGCTCCTTTCATTCCTTTAATACAACCTCCTATATTCCCACTGGATCTAGGCACCATATGACTAAGCACACATAATATGTGGTAGCAACCCAATATGTAAGTGGTCCCTTATAAGCGCCGGATTGTATAACTGCCCTAGTCCAGTTTAGGTTTTAATGAAGCGGTGTTTTGCAGGCGATGAGGGCTGCTGAACCTATATCGTATGGTTATACTTAAGGCGCATCGCTCGTCAAATTTAGCTACTTAGCTTTGACACATAGGTAGTCGAAGAGGATCTCTTAATTTCCCTCCAAGGACATACTCTGGACCTCCCCCGTATACATCGGCAATCATGTTATCCAAAACCGAGATACGGATTCTAGACCTGCTGCCTTCTTTAGGTTCGAATAATAGCGATGTCCCGATACAGTGCCAAACCCGAGTTATTCCTTTTCCCACCAATATAGGGTTTGAGACCATATCATATGTATGGGGAACAGCACAGGACTTCGTATATATCAGCGTCGATGGAGTCGATGTGCCCATTACTACAAATCTTGCAGCCGTATTGAAACGAATTCGGCTGTCGAGCGACATTCGAACTATTTGGGTGGATCAGCTGTGTATCAACCAACAAGACGAGCAAGAGAAGGCTAACCAAGTCTCTCTTATGGGCCGCATATACTCTATGACAAGCCAATGCTTGATTTGGTTGGGCGAGATTGGGCATGATATTTCACTCTCTGACGCTCAATCAGGGCTAGACTTTATTTATTTTATCAGCGAGGGCAAGCAAAAGCAAGAGGGAGCTTCGGAACTGAGCGTAGAGGCTCTACATGGACCGATGCAAGCGTTAGATTCAATTGGCTTGAAAAACAACCCATGGTGGACTCGAATGTGGACGCTGCAGGAAGCAATTCTTCCTCCTAAAGCCTGTGTCTTGTGGGGTCAGTTATCCATACAATGGGAAATACTGGTTTCTGCAGCTTCAAGGTGGATATCTCTTCCCTATGACCCTATCATAAACACCTATGATGACACTCTCTTCAATATTTTCACACAAGTAATAGGCTTTGTTTTTGCCAAGGAAAATCGCCAAGGACCTCTCGACACAGCGTTCCGCTGGAGTTTTCGCAAGGCATCAAACCCCCTTGACAAGGTCTATGGGCTTATCGGGCTTTTCCCGGCCGGAACTCTCCCCCGGGTTCGAACATGTGATTATGGACTATCCCGAGCTACCCTCTATGCAATGTTCACCGCGGACCTCATTGAATACCATCAAAGCTTGCATCCCATCGCGTTACGATGTTTACGCAACCTTCCAGAGAGTACGCCAGAAATACCGCGCTGGGCTTTAGACATGGGCGTCAGTCACCCTCAGTTCGCGATGACTTTAGATGGGAATGATTACGCCTGGTATTTAATGAATACTTATGACTGCTATAACGCCTGCGGTGCAACCACGATTGATTGGTCCCGATTCCGGTATGACCAAACATTGAATACCCTGGAGTTGACAGGCTGCATGTTAGATTCTATAATAGTGGCTGGGCCAAGGCCATGCAGCGATGAGCCCGGCACTTGCAATGTTTCGCGTGCCGGCGTGGCTCGGATTATTCAGGACTGGTATCAAATTGCCGAAGAATTTTATCAAAGTCAACTACGAAATGAGTTAATCGACGACAAAAATTTATGGCCAGAGTCTTTCTGGAAAGGCTTACTTGGTAATATCAAACTAGATCCAGAATTATTCCCCGAAGGTCCAGCCACATCGGAAGATATAGCGTTAGCAAAAGAATTTGTTCAAACGGGTAGCAGAAACGATACATACTATAGCATATTTGCAAACCTTGCCCACAGGCAAATGGTTATCACTAAGATGGGCTTGCTGGGCTTTGGTCCTCATCATGCAGAAGTTGGAGACCAGGTTTGGATTCTGCCTGGTGGCAAAATGCCGTTTGTATTGAGACCAAGTGAAGGGCAGTCATTGTCAAACAATGAACTTCTTTTTATTGGATCTTCTTATATAGACGGAATAATGGAAGGTGAAGCAATGGAATTCGTTAATCCTGCTACTGATATTGTCTTGAGGTAGGAATGGGGATGGCGGCTAGCCTGTACTCCCGCGTTGTCTGCCGAGAAAGGTAAATGAGAAGGAGGAGAGGTAGTCATGGTCCTACTCGTGGTATATAACGAATTTGCTTATACGTAACATAATATTTGAATCATTCTATAGCGGCGGTTTCGACGTCTGATATAAGTCATTGGAACGAGCAAATGGCAGCACACATTTTATTAAAATGAATCCTCAAACCCAGGAAATTATCATGGCTAGTAATGAGATATTAAGTCTATATACAAAAGGCCGACACTATTGTCCAAAATAACCCCGGAATCCCGTATGAAGGGGTTATCATACGTCTCCACCAAGTCTCATCCCAGGGGTATGTCTTCTATACAGATAAACATATGGAACTTCTCGTCTATTCAATCCTCCTATCTTGCAGCCGTTCTATTTATACTAACCAACTGAGAATGCATTTTATCCTCTTCAGATTCTGTCGAGATACTGTCGTTATCACTACGATTACGAGAGCGTGTAATTGGAAGTGTCGCCATATTTACGAGGGGGCGAAAGAATCGGTTATACACGATGAACGTATCATGGTCCCCTGCAAAAGCATTCACCGGAGTCGCCATATAGATGCTCCTTCGTCTAATCGTAACTGCATCTTCGGTAATCGGTCGGACGTTGGTGTATTTGTAGATAGCACTAAGAATTGGTATTGAAAGGCCGTGTACTACGATAGAGAAGAGGACGAGAAAATATACAACTAGAAACTATATTAGTTAACGCGTATGGGGTTGTTAAATAAATACGACTTACCCGGGCATATGGCGTCAAGGAGTTCCCGCTCTCTCGCACTCGCTGCCTTTTCCTTCGGGAACAACAAGCGCGTATGTTGAAGATAGTACACCGCCCCGACACCTATCGGGCCAAAATAACCCATAAATAACGCTTCCCTCCAGTTTTTTACAACTGCTGGCATCGTCTTATATGTGAGAAGTAAGGCAGGGATCCGTCGAAATAGGAGGACGAGGATGCCTAAACCAAAGAGACGAGGATAGGTAATGCCCGTAGTAGCGGGCTGATGGAATTCCTGCCAAGGCATGGCAATACCGATATACATGAAGCCACCAAAGTTGAGCATAACGTCGATGCACGAGTTAACTTCGTCGTGTCGGCGTTCCGTCTCTGCAAGGAACTGTCCATCCCAGTTTAATGCGCAACCTGCGACAAAGCAAGCAAGTAGATCACTTGTACCGATAGCTCCGCAAGTTCCAACAATAAACAGCTTTTATTTCATCAGTATCGCTTAAATAAAAGGCAGATAGCTGTCAGAAGCACTTACACCTAACGCTGTCGGGAAAAGTAGATAGCTCTCCGAGTCTATCCATCTCCGAGATAGTGAAAATCTAACCCCTATTCTAGCACAATACCCCGTAACCGCACCGTATATGACGGCTAGTAATACGATGTAGATAAGAGTTTCGATGACCCAGTTCCCTAACGCGATGCCGACATCACGCGTATCCTCGCCAACACCTCGACCGCGCTCAACAAGCTTTTCCTCTCTGTTCTCCGTAAGGCGTAGGAGGTTGACGGCAAGCATGAGGAAAGGCGAAGCGAAACCATCGTTAGCGCCAGCCTCAGCTGAGATAATCTCTCGGAGAGGCCGAGCCACATATTTGTCAGCAAATGGGCCTTTGGCGACTGCTTGTGAGAGGATTGGATCTGTAGATGTGACACATGCCCCCATAACAAGAGCTGCGAGTAAAGAAACCTTCGGGATCGTCGCTAGTACACAAACGGAGGTTGCCAACCACATCAACGCCATAATAGGAACGAGGCAGACGATTAATGCTTTACGGTGCAATTGAAGATATCTGGCTGGTAGCTGGTATCCCGCGATGACCCTGCGATAGTCGGAATCGAAACCCGGTCAGCCGTGTGAGTTCATTCGACTGGGCCGAATACATTTCAAAGTAAACAAATTTATATTAAACTCACAATTGAATACCAATCATAACCCTCATCACACCAAGAGTTATCGCATCTTGTTGGTCTGGAGTAGCTGATCCCCATCTTTTCGCGTCCAAGAACCTTGCAGCGATAGGGCCCAAGATCGTTCCCATGAGAACTGCCGGCACTGGTGGATAATTAGCAGTAGGTAAAAATAAAGATAGAGTATACTCTAAGAAGCGCACTAACATGCCTCCCCAAGATACCAAACCCCCTTTAACTTGACAGCTACCAAGCCATATATCACAATAAAAGCACCTAAAATAAGTCAGGATTATTATTCTACTAAGATTTTTGCGAACTTACCAAGTACGGAAACGACTATGTTCAGCTCACTCACATCTAGGGACGGCATCGTTATCGCTGTAGGTCAATCGTATGTGCGTAAAGAAGGATCCAAAGGTTTGCTTCAACTTGGATTCTTGATATGGAACAGCCAAGGGGAAGTGCCAAGGAAATACAACGAAGTAGGCAATCACAAGCTAGAATGAAATACATAACGATGTACGTGTAGGTCTACACCTGCTAGTAAGGATAATGTGCGTGTAAGTCAGTAAAATCTCCGGCTTGGCAATGGTGTACCGATCCATTCCAAATTGAGGAATGCATCTTCTCTCGATGGTAGTTCTTCAGTAATGATGTCTCGCTAAGGAGTCACTAAGTCTCCCTGCGAAGACCCGGTGAGCACATGCCCGTGTGCTCCCCCTTTTGAATCCTAGACATGTCCCAGCTGCCCTTAAAAACAAGTATCAGCAAATTTGATCGACTAGATATTTCGTCGAACGGCTCGCAAGGAAAGCATGTGTCGCTAAATAGTACACTCATTGGAGGGATTATCTACGTGTATCGAGTAACTACATCATGCGGAGCGAGTAGCTGACGAAGCATGTAAAACGGCAAGTAATGGTCGTACGGGGATCATGATATCATAAGGGCAAATATGCGATAGTTAAAAGCCTGATGTTCCTAAGGGTCTATAAGAGACAAAATGCCGAGAGTATCACAAGGCGTACGTGACGGGTGAACAAGGGGGATACAAGATCATTGTACTCATTCCAAACAGGGACGGTTCTTGGCAGTACGTGGGGATTTGACTATGGTATCTTACCTAGATAGGTTCGGTTAACTGTTGAACCATAAGATATTCAGTATATGGTAATATGAGTATTGACATGTTGGCTTATTGGAGAGAGGATGGTAGGTAACTTGTACAAAGGCTATCTTCTCCCATCCTATTATAGTGACTAACTACCTAAGATACCAAGCCATGTCACACTGTGCCTGTGTCTGTACCCATTGCATAGAATAAATTATCCTCGTCAGCTTGACGACTGTCGCCTCTTCATTAAGGGTAAAAGGATCAGATGCAAAAACTCTGAATCCTCAAGCCAAGTGGTTATATGGGAAGTTCCTATTGTAGACACTCAGAATCGAAGAAGGTACACGGTCGATAAAGCCTAGGGGTGGTATCGTAATGGTCTATGAGCTTTATGTCCTCCGTAGGGCAACATAAATAATACTAGGAGGCTTTTTATTCTGGACCACCGGGGGTAGATTGTCGCATCGTCATAATGACCTATGGTACTACGCACGACGTTCGATTATTTAATAACAACCCAGCTGTATACGGGTCATGTTGAACAAGTGTTGTTCAAACCTACCTAGGAGGTATCCTAGGCAGCTAATGGATTTTGAATCAGACCTCGAAATTTCGAACACTCTAGCCTCTAGATAGGTCTTTATGATATGGCGAACAGTAAAGTATTACAATAGTAATACAGCTATATATTTTCCCATGTTAACTCTTGGCACTATCTAGAATACCAAAACGGATATAGTTCCTTGCCTCGTAAAATTAATCCTGTACTAGAAAGCATAGCCCTTGTTTCCTGAAAAGATCCTATCTTGAGAGCGCCGCTTGTTTGTGAAGAATGATACCACGCTTAGGTAAGCTAGAAAGCTCCAGCCTCCGAGCTATGATACATACTGACATATCAACCTCTCCTATATATAGAATCGCCCCGCAGTTGGCGACATTTTCCTTTGCCATTCTATCGCATAACATCTGCAAAAGGTGAAAATAGTATAGATATGTCACGAAAAATGAGCACTATCCAACGATACTAATTATTAAACTTTTTATATAATATTGAAACTAGCGGCGTTGCCCGTCCGCGCAACCGCGGACAGGGGAGAAGGGGGTTTAAACCGTACCTAAAGCGGTAATACTACCACTTGAATATTTGAGTCACTTAATTCTTTTAACGTAAGAATCGGGAGCCGCTTATTGCATTGAGTGAGATAAGTACGGCTACGATTCAATAAGCGGTATATATGCGGCTACTGCTACCCCCTATATTACGGTAAGGTATATAAGACTTGATACCTGTTTAACTGATTTTATAAAGTTCATCGGACGTGCATTAAGGTGTGGCTAGGTAGCTAATCAGAGGCTAGACTTATCTGTGGTGTGAACTCATCACTTCAATACAAAAGACTCTCCCGTACCCTAACTATCGCAATCCCCATTCCTCTCGTTTGGGTGCTTAGGTCCATACGTCTCGAGATTCTCTACAACCGGCAAAATGCGGTTGACTGACCAATCTATGACCATTTCAGTTCTCTCGAACGAGCTCTTATTATGTATATTCGACAATTTACTACCTTCAACATTGCTTCAATGTACCCTTTGCTGCAAACGATGGTCACGTCTAGCTTCCCCTGTATTATACAAGCACATCGCATTAACCCCAAGTACCTTCTCTAAATGGACCAAGAACCCTTCAGACTCGAATGATGTGCTTATTAGTACATTCACTCTATACATAAACCTGGTGAGAAGCAGGCCAGACCAGAAGAATGATGTATTTCGCCAACTCTACGATGACCTTCTTAAGCTTCCCTCGCGACTCGCGAAAATGGCAAACTTAAAATCCTTTTCTCTCACTACGTCGTATGGTGCGTTTGCCAACTTATGGGTACCGGGGAGATTGGTTGTTCCCATTATTGATCACCTGCCCCCTACTTGTATATGTCTGGAAATCGATATTATGAGTTCGAGCTGCGAGACCTATCGAGGCTACTATCAGGAACATTTATGTCATTCTATTCGCCGAGTGCTCCCTCAGTTACAATTCCTACGACTAAGCTACCCAAGATTGTGCCCTGAGGCTTTTGGATATGGCTTTGCGATCCAGCCATCATGGGAAAAAAAACACTTTCAGCCTATCCAAATGCCGAGGCTAGAGCAGTGTTTAATCAAAGCAGCCCAGACTAATCACGCTGTTTCTACAGTTTCCCGCTCTACAGCATGTTATCGCTCCGATGTTCACGCCGTGACCATTTTAACGGATTACTTGGCCATATTAAAGTCTTCGGGAAACGCGCCTAGGCTCCAGAAGTTATGGGTTATTGACGCTCTACCCTCTGGCCATTATTACAACGCATTGGGGGCATGGGTACGTCGTAATATCTTAAAAGGGAATAGTGAGACCCTACCATCCAAAAGCCTGATTAGAAATCCAACTAGAAAATTCTACGTGGAGGCATTATTCATTCGTACTCCTAGAGATGAAGGTGGCCAAGATCTTATATCAACTAGAGAGGGCGTGCAACTTCTTGCAGAAGGCTACGCCTGGGTCCAAGCCAGCAATGGGGCTCGGATCCCTGGTCCATATATCTCTAAAAGGACCCATCTCGAACCGGTTACACCTGTGATGCGAACGGAAATAGAGTGGCTTGCGTTGACGAACGTCTCGTGTAACTTATGGTTGTATGAGACGACTGTCGGTGCCCGGCTATTAGATGTAGCAGAGGGAGAATTGACCGAAAATCGCGTGCCAATTATTCGACTTCCCGAAGGCTGGACTTTGAGCTATGATGGCTGGACTTTGAGCTATGATGGTCGGCTCCATGGTCCTTGAAAGATTAGTATCTTGGTCGGGAATCTTGTTGAGCCCCTGAAAATGGGAGTTTACAGTGGCTTTTAAATAACTAGCTGATACGGACACAAGGGACGGTTCTCCTAGACAAGTCAAGTAGACCAGCGGTTCACTAGTGATTGGGAATTAGGATGGTTGCTTTGTCAGGTAGATGTTGCTGATGGTAATATCTCAATATAAATGCTGTACCACTCAGGCTAAACCAAAGTTTTTGCTTACTTCTCAAGATGCTATGCTACAAATTATGCCACGAAATTCATAACAATTTATAGGTACCCAGGCGCCTACATTAATTGTTAAGATGCATCGTCTAGGCTACCCAGTGTCAAATACTGCAACAATAGAAAATCCTTTGTGGAGCGTGATCGGAAAGGCCCAGACGGAACAGAGACCCATCCGGACCGGACGCGCCGCTTCAGGTCCACTAAATTCCGGATCTCACAGGTAGCATAATTCTACAATCCAGATTATTCTTCTCGTAACTTCTAGTTCCATAACTTCTTTGACCCAATTATCAAAGATTGTGGTAATTATGGTAATGACTAGCGACGTGAATTTTTGAAATACCAAAAAGCGTGAAGAGTAAATAAATAGAAAGCTAGAGGAGAGATTCCCCGAAATATTCGTTTAACCAAGAATCAGCTTTGTTGAAGCAAGAAGAGCTCGGGACCAATATAGGAAAGGACCGTTCAATATATAGCTGCAAGGCCTTTGTACTTGACGCCTTGGTGCCCGGCGGTTCACAGATTCAGCAGTAGAATGACGGGCTACCCTAGATACCTTATTTGTGGATGTGAAACTATAGAAAATTCTATCGCTTGAAAGCCTACAGTGCTAGTAACTTACCAGGCAGTGAGGGAAGGCACAACAGGTTTACCACATTATCAACAATATCTCTTGAGTTACGACGCGTACTATAGCAAATACATGGCAAACGTAACGCGTCGTGTGAAATCATAGTACGTACCTACGTAGTTTAAGTCCCCGCATGGGCCTAAATTCCTCTGCGACAACATCAACAATCATGTTGTCGCCTAGGTAGAAGGCTAACGTCGTTACCCCTCGGTCGTACGGGACACACCCCTTGCCTCAGGCGTTAGGCTTCTATTTATCACCCTCAGTACGCGCACAGGCGTACACACACATGCTTATTTCCTTAACACTTTACTTCCTCTACAACCTTTCGCCCGCAAAGCCACTCATTACACCTCAACAAACCATACTACCTACATACAAACGGATCAACGTCTTTATCAAGTCAGCATGGCTCACATGGTTCCTGTCCCGGAATGGGTATCGACCCACATGCTCCCTAAGGACCTAGATGAGGCCAACGCCAGGGTCACAGCTACCCAGGAATTGGTCGACGTAAGTACTACGATTTTCCAGGATCCAGCTATTACTCTAAAGCGCCTAGCACACTAACGTTGGATATAATGTACCAGAATATAGAAGACTACCTCCGCCATTGCAATACGCCTGCCGACACAATGGCAGTGGTCACCGATCTTGCCAACATGACTCGAGCTCTTCACTCCACGCTCAACGCCTTCGCGAACATGGACGTCAGAGCTGCCGACCTATTAGAGACAACTGCCCAAATAACAGATTCTCTTCGATCCAAAATTCAGTACATCATCACGCTCTGGTTGGAATTTGCAGAATTGTTTCAGGGACGTCTGGCCGCCCTCCAAGCCCTTAACAATAGCATGGGTGAATAAAAGGACGGACTACTTTCGCTGCTGTATACTTCTGCCGTCATATTTGAGAGCCTAAGATAGGATGAAAGAGGCGGAGGAAATAGGCATAACCTTTAGGTCATTGGTGTGAGGTAGCAATACCACATTCTTACGTGGACTAGCAAAATGCAAAATTGATTTCAGTCCCCAGCTGCAATAGATTGTCATTGTGATCTAACTAAGGTGCCAGTGCGACTAGAAACTTTCGTGTCCTTTGCGTAGTACCATCAAAAGTTTAATAAGGAAGCTTGAAGTTGAAGAACTCTTCAACCTTCCGAGCATTCTTGTGGGAAACCAGAGCAGGATCCAGCTTATGCAACCCGGTAGTGACATCTCCAGATTCCTCAATCCTATAGACATATTTTAATCCACTAGCCTGCCCATCTTTTAGCTTGTTCAGGCCTACCAGAATACCATTTAATCCGCCTGGAATAACTTCGTACGGGTGTCCCTTCAATTTTCCAGCTTCCAATAGACGCCCGAAATATCTGGACCAGATGAACCCGAGATCCTTATGCGTCGTGAAAACTTTAAGAGCAACGGTATTATAAACCTCTACGCCGTCCGGGAACTTGAAATCTTCCCGAGTGTTCGCGAAATACTGGAAAGGTAGTACGGTGGCAATGCTGCCGCCATTAGGGTCAACAACCCGAGTCGTTACTTCGAACGACTCGCCCTCGCTAATCGCATCGAAAATGAAAGGGACTTTGTTGCCCAGACCTTCCTTCGCGAGGATTTCTTCAACGCCTGCGACTAGTGCATCCTCTCCCTTCCGGTAATCAAGGACGTGATCAACCAAGGTCTTTGCGAAGTCGCCGGATCGACCAGCAACTCCTATGATAGGACCAAGACCCGAGAGTCGAGCAAGTTGAGCAGCGAATGCGCCGCAGGCCGACGTGACGCCGTATATGAGGAAAGGCACTTTCTTTCCTTCTGGAAACCCCCTCTCGTCAAAAGGAGAAGGAAGTTTTAAGTTAACGTATAAAGCCAACATAGCAGTGTGCGCGGCGGTGGGAATAGTTGCAGCTTCTTCGAATGACACATTGTGCGGAAGATGAAAAGTTGTCCAGTCCGGGGCTACGGCGTATTCCGCAAAGCTTCCATTTGCTGTCATGGCTTCATGGAACGCTGCCACACGGTCACCTGGCTTGAACTCATAGACGTCTTTGCCGACGGAGTGAACGATTCCAGCAATGTCATCACCGCTGTTCAGAGGCTTCCCGCTCCTATGTAGAAATTAGCTCTGCCGATTTCAAAAGGCACCGGTGTTAACTTTGGAAAACCATACCAGTAAGGATATTTCCAGTCCTTTGGGTTTGTTCCGGAGACAATGACTTTAATGACGACGTATTTGTCTCTCGGGGTGGGAATAGGAGATTCAATTACCTCGAATGTATCGAGAGAGCTTTGGATAACTACTTCTTTCATGGTGATATATTAATGAACTTAGGATTGGTGGAATTTCTGAATGGTTGTAATCTGGCTGCTGTGAGATGTTGCTGGTAGAGTTGGTGGTAAGTCGTTCATGAACAACATATTTATACCCCTTTCTCTTACTGTCACACGGACAACATGGCTGAGACCTGTTAGTTAGAATACGAATACAGCCAAGAGCCAGTAAGGCGGTTAGGATAGTTATTTTCAGAATCATTGGATGACATGCATCACGAGACGATGCGAGGCAATGCAAGGTACCTTGAGACCTTAGAAAATTATTAGTAAATTGAATTCGTTCCAAGCCCTGAATACAGACCTTGTTACACTTACCATCTTCTCCCCATCATTAGATCGAGGGTCCGCGGAGGCCAATTAACCCTATTCCGCAGCATATTCGGAAGATGCCACCAACAGGAGGAACATATTATTTGTAATATACTCTTATGATTATATATCATATATCTCGGAGTTAACCATATACTGGGTCGTTCACCAGGCATGTTGATGAGCCTAACCCTAGAAGTCTGACTAATGTTATCCATCTCCCCATATGCCGTGCTCCATTTTAGTCAGGGGGTTGACAGGGATTTATCGGACTCCGCGGATCCTAAAGCGGAGCTCCATGGACCTCACACCATCATCCTCTATCTAGCAGTTCTCGATATCGTTGAGTTATTATGCTGTCAAGGGCAGTGTCAAAAGAGAAGGCCCGTCCGAGCCCGGCGTCGTGTCAATCATGTCGGTGGAAAAAGTTAAAATGCAATCGGATCCAGCCGTGCTCGAATTGTGCTGCACGCAACATCAACTGTCATTTCCTAGTTCCGCCCCAAAGACGAATAGAGACGGCTACTACAGAATACAATCATGCGGAAATTATAGGACGTCTTGAAAGACTAGAATCTATTATTCTCCAGTCGCATCCTAACGAGGCTCATTCACAGGACACATCTAATAATAAACATCGTCAAGCAAACCTACCGTTATTCACACCCACTTCAGGTCACACCACAGAGCCCGATGTCTACCACAATCGAGACAAAGACTCACGGTTCCTTGAGAATATTGGAACGAGAGAAGATGGAATAGTATGTAAAATATTTTCCATGATATCCCAAGTGCATAGGCCCCTAATTCTAGTAGATTTCTCCCTTGTCTTGTGGCCTAGTCTTCAGAATAGGCAGAGCACACGAAATCCATAAAGCACGAGTTCCTACCCAGCAGACAGGAGCTATCCCGGATCAATATCCGTCGAGCAATACCATCGCGACATTCCCAACGTACCGAGAGGCAACCCTACTCTTCCAGAATTTTGAATCTAATATAGATCACATGTGTCGCATTTTACATATCCCTACTATTAGGTCTCTTATAAAAACGGTGTATATGAAAATCGGTCAAGGCGAATCCGTTCCACTCGGACAAGCTGGATTACTACTTTCGATCTTTGCGCTTTCTGGGTTCTTCTATCGGTGCTCGGAGGATTCCGAAATAGCAACTAATGAACAAGAGGCGGTTCATATCTCAAAGACCATAGGCAAGACGGCCTTAGATGTACTAGATCATTCACGGAGGAATACGTCGGGCACATTAGAAGATGTCCAAGCTTACATCTTCATGTCTCTCCTTTCATTCCATCTTGATGGATTTTCGGCAAGAGGACGTCTTCTATCAACCACAGCGGCCTCTATTGCTAGGGATCTTCGTCTACACCGTTTGGATGCCGAAGACGGGAACACCGTTGAGAAGGTGTCCAGCGTCCGTGTTTTGATAGATCGCGAGGTTAGACGTAGAGTATTCTGGCATATTACAGCCGAAGACTGGTATGCTTCACCTCTCATATACTACCTTTTCAACATTAATGTTTCCATAGGTTACAGTCAACCATTAGCGGACCCCAAGAGGGCATGTACTTCATTCATCCGAACCATATAGACGTCAAGCTTCCAAAATACTATTTCGAAGACGAAATTTCCTTAAGCGAGGAGAATGAGTCTATAGATGGTCCTCCACCAAGTGGCATAGCCTTTCTTCTCGAAAGGATCCGACTTGCACATCTGTGCAGAGAAGTGGCCGACATAGTGCCATTAGAGACCTCAAAGGCTATGCAGATGCCATACGAGAATATCATAGCTCTGGACAAGAAACTAAAAGATTTCATCTCAAGTCTGCCGTTATTCTTTAAGACTGATCCCGAAAGTCGGGAGAAGAGTAAGAGATTTGAGACAGTATATCCTTACATCCCTCATATGAGATACGCCATCACCAACGCAGCTCACAGTAGACGGTGCAAGCTACACCAAAGATTTCTACTACGACAGTCTCATGATTCTCGGTATTCTTACTCGAGACTAGCTTGCCTAGAATCAGCATGTGCAGTCATTGAGGGGTACGAAGATCCCACCGAATTTGATTCTCCTGCTTACACGACAGCCCGGATGGGACTGGCTATGCACTACATGCATCTTGCGTTAGTAGTTATGGTCATGGATCTATGCTTCAATAGACACGAAGCAGACGAGACAGATATTAAGGCCAAGCTGAGGGCGGCTTTCCAGAAGTTTGATGATGACAGACACGTCTCTCCACTTCCTAGTCGTTTCCTAAATTCATTGCGTGATGTCTTGCAGAAGCATGAAGTATATCTTACCCATCAAACTGCTTCACAATCCGAAAATGTTTCTGGCGTTACAAGCGAGAGCAACGCTGGTGATTTCAGTCTTCTTCATGATTTCCAGATGCAGCCCGAGCTTGGTCTAGATATGCAATCCACGGAAGGTGGCCTTGACAGTTCTTTCAACGAGTTCTGGCAGTTTACAAGTCAAAGCGAGATGAATCCCGATTCGATAACGTGGGATAACCTGTTCGCGTCTCTCGATACGAGACCTATATGATGGAGTTTGGCAGAATAATTCGCCCCAATGAAACCTTCAAGGATATGAGGCGACATTTCTCGAGTTTTTTATATCGCCCCATACCTTGGGAAGTTTATGATCATATTGCTATTTGCTACGGAGGTTATTACTAATTGCGGTCCATGATCCTATCCCCTTGACTAGCATTCAACTACACCTCCATTATTTTCAGTATCAGTACATAAGACTTGACGTCGTTCATTAACATACTAGGAAAAGGTCCAACAATTAGTATAACCGTAGATACTATTGCTCGATTTAGCCATCTTTTCTTTCTTGGCCAGTCCTTCTGTATCAATACTGAAAATAGTGGAGGTGTAGTTGAATGCTAGTTAAGGGGATAGAGTGGCGGGTTATTCTTGCGGGCCGTAACCGATGCTGGCCCAATTAAATAGCTATCGAAATGCAGTTGAGAAGTACTAACGACGTTGCTCAGGGAAGTGATTGGTAGTTGGGTATTTGACAGAAGTTAAAATAAACTGTTGCCGCATGGTCCATTTCATAGAGTTGGGATATTTCGACCTGACTCCTCTGCCGGACTACGGCTCCGTTATGTCGACTACAAGGCCGTTGTCTACATATTTAATCAAGAGTCTATGGAGTAGTTATAATTGGCTATTTAGTTCTAATAGCTGCTAGGCAAACGTCATAGAGATTCACCGATCTGAATACGGTACTGCTTATGGAATAGTATCACACGATGTCAAACTTAAAATAAGGACGACGGATACGTCAAGTACTCGGCTGGTTCGGGGACGGTTTATATCTCATAATATAGAGTTTAACATGGATTAGGGGTAGGGAACGCCCCGTGAGGGCACCCCGGTCGAATCTCAGAGGGAATATATGTAACTAAGTCACCTCGAGGAGCTATTTCTAGTAATATTAACCAAGAGTGTATCCTGTCGGGTAAAATGCGATTCTAAGTATGGTTAGCATCAAAAGCTTAATCATTCTCTAGATACGATATTGACAGCAGAGTTCCCTTGTAGGGCCGAATAACATCCCTTTTAGTAGAGGAGGAAGTCAGGTATTAGGTATTAAGAAGCAAAAATTAACGTCTCATGGGATATCTTAAATGATTATCTGGAGTTTACTATTATGAGCCAGTCCTTATAGAGATTTGTTCTTAAAGCACTAATCAAATCAAGGGTACCTTTTAGTAATATAATTATGCTGCGGGTATAGTCCACACTTTGATATTTTCGGACGAAACTACACCATGAAATATGTGCTTATTCTCCAAATCCTCGACGTCGTGTATATGTAGATTACACTATAATCATAATCAGGCACTCAACATCTCAATACGGTAAGAGTACCTGTTTACGCGACTCAGTCAGTTAGGGGTTGACCAACGTTAAAATACGAGCCTCGCATAATGCACACATCATTCCTCTATTCAAATTGCGTCAACATATTATATCTCGTCTGACTTTGTGAGATCTAACAGCACTATGCGGAGCCATTTTGCCAATATCTGCTTCACGAATACCAGGATGTACGTCTCTGTGCCTAAGCTTGGAATTGTGACTATAGGTCTTGGAATATCATCATTAGACCCTCATGAACATCCAAACTCACCTAATGACATGGCCCGTAGTACTGGAAATGCCTGCGGAACAACGAGCCGCACCGTGAATTATCCTATTTACTAATTCAAGTTTTCACCTTATGTCAGACTGTTAGGTAGTTCATGACGTTGTTTCTTGAATATTTCTAAAACTAGAACGGAAATCAAGATTTTTAGTGTTGTCTTATTAGGGTCTCCCTCATCCCTGAGTATCTGAAATATAAACTTGATGGCTTCTCTATCCTTTGCTTCAGCTTAAGTTTTCCTTTTTCTTCAGTTTATCGTTTCGGCGCAACTTTCTATATTTGACCCCAAGAATTTTCGAAAAAGAGCCCGAGTGTTTTGCTGCGATTATATCGTTAAAATGACACGGGCAAGCAAGCCGCTTGTTCTATATTCCATAGTGAGCGGCGCATATTCCTTTGTTGCGCGCCAGAGTGGATGTAACTTCACGCTTTCGACAGGTGGCTCGTTCATCGGCCAAGTTGGCCAATATGACGGTGGTCAGACCAAAGGTGGACTTCCCGGGACTAGCGTCGTACAGTCTGGGTTTGTCCTGAATGGCGATACGATATCCGACTCCCAAGGCCGTGGTTGTGGGTGGACGCCGCCGAGTACGGTGCTCCAATGTGACGCCGGCCAAAACCCCGAAGGTGGATTTGCTATCGGTTGCAATGGAGAGCTGACGTTCAATGGCCAGTCTACTTTCTGGCAATGCGCCACGGGAGAGAATGGTGTGGTGATGATATACCTCTGGCCTGGAGGAAGTAACTGTAACCAGATTTCCTTGATAGCGAGCGGGTGTTATCCTCCATCGTGTGATTCCGGAGCGCCCGGCACTATGCCGCCCGGTGGAGGCGGCTCAGGTTCATGCGTACCGATGACAACAACCACTGTTTTCGTTACTGTACCAAATACGAACTGCGTTTCTACCGTTACTGAGTGTCCTCCCACAATTCCCACCACCTCGGGATATCCAACCATAGTTGTACCACCACCGGAGACGCCTTCAACTACGGGAGGAACAAGCCCCGCAACGTCGCCGCCGGGGACTCCTACAAGTCCAGGATATCCTACGACAGTTGTTCCTCCGCCTGAGTCGACCCCTTCCATAACCTCCCCAGGTGTTCCTACAATTACCCAAGAGACAAGCCCTGTAATATCTACTACGGAAGTCCCTCCAGAGACACCGTCGACGCCTCCTACACCAGGGTACTCGACAACAGTTGTACCTCCACCGGAAACACCTACTACTACCCAAGAAACAAGCCCTCAGACATCGCCACCGGTAACTTACCCCACAACGGTCATTCCTCCCCCAGAGACGCCTAGTACGCCTCCGGAAACACCACCGACTACGCCACCGACTATGCCACCGGAAACGCCAAGCACACCTCCGCAGACACTCACAACAACCCCGGGATATCCTCCTCCCCCCCTCCTCCCCCCCTCCTCCCCCAGAATCGCCAACGACAAGTGTCCCCGGCACCACATCTCCACCTGTGCAGACTAACGAGACTTATCCGGGTAATTCTCCAGGGCCATCTACATTCACTAGAACTGAGACGGTTCCAGGCACAACTCCGACTACCAGTATACCAGGTGTACCTACCACCACGAGTGAGACGACTCTAGGAACGACTCCCGGCACGTCTCCGACTACTAGTGTCCCAGGTGTAATTACTACATCAATTGCGCCCACAGAAACCCCCAGCACTCCAGGCACTTCAACCTATCCTGGCATGATACCCAGGGTGCCAACTACGACTCCTGGGGCGCCCGGGACGACTTCGACTCCCAGCACGACGCCCCAATACCCTACTACATCGCCCGAAGTTCCTGCGACGTCGATTGGGATACCAGCCACATCACCTGGATACCCCACTACGTCGCCTGGGGTCCCTCCTACAACACCTGAAGTTCCTGGAACATCGCCTACAACGCCAAACGGATATTCCACTACCTCCGCCGGAATCCCGACTCCCTCGTACCCGCAGCGCGCCCGACAGTCAAACCTCATTTCGGTTCGCGCAAGACTCGACTGACGCGTGCCCGCTTGGCTTATTCTTGGTGGCGAGCGCGCTGGAAGACGTGGAGTTGTGAGCGGAGGAGATTATAAGAAGAAATTGATTGGAATGCATCTCATCTGGTCTACAGCACGGAAGCTGAATGAAAATGTCACCGCACATATCGACCTAAGTATTAGCTTAAGGTGCGGGACATGCAATATATACATGGCTTATATGAATGAAAATTTAGGCAAGGTAATAGGGATAGCAATAGGTACCTAGCCATCATTAAGTCAGATTATTTATTTTGTCATCTATGACAAATTTTCCTAGGTTTGAAATATGGTGTTTGTTACGCGGAAATTCGACTCACTTTTCGAGGAAACTAATTGACCACCTCTAGCCACTATGAGCCTTGAAATTGATCGATTATGTGGCTAGAGCATGTGGCTAGTGCGTACCTTTTTATCCCTGGTACCATCCGTGGACCGCTTCAAACACGCAATCGAAAGTCAAGACGTTTCTAACAAGATGTAGAGGTATGATACCGATATAATGGTCTCCATATTACAAAAGTTTATTATAGTCCAAATCCGCGATTAAGAAGTGCCTAACACAATATGTTCTCCTTTATCTTTACGGAGTTTAATTTCCAGTGGCACAGAACGCCTAGGTACAACACATCCCAGTCCCTTTACCTTCCACTTAGGGAAGACGTTATCGCGACCGCAAGCTCTGTACTGTATCAGTAGCGCCGGAAATGGCCGGTCAAGATCGACCTCATTGATTCGCTAGAGATTGCCGCCTCGGCTCGCACTACATACCTAAACTACCTGGTAGGTAGGTATTTACAAAGACCATGCCGTCGCCGAGCGAGCAAGAACCGCTACTTCAACATAGTCAACCAGAGTCGAGCCGCAGTCACAGCCATCTCACTATGGCTGTAACAGAAGATAATTCCGTGCCGAATGGTACCGCCGATACCGTTAGCAATATTGGACCTGATGAAGCCCGCCTTATCTTGCGGCGCATTGATTGGCGAATCATGCCGCTCCTTTTCCTCACTTACACCTTTAATTTCATGGACAAGACTATCTTGTCGAGTGCGTCGGTGTTTGGCCTGAGGGAAGATACTCACCTCGAGGGCTCAAATTACTCCTGGGTATCTAGCGTCTTCTATTTTGGTTACTTCCTCTGGGCGTACCCCACGACATTGTTAATTGCTCGCCTGCCGATAGGAAAATATCTCGCCGCCAACACATTCGTATGGGGCGCGGTAGTCGCCTTAACTGCTGCATGTTCGAGTTTTGGTGGCTTGATTACGGTGAGGTTTTTCCTCGGTATCGCCGAGGCAACTATTTCGCCGGCTTTAATGTTCATCACGTCTACCTGGTACACCCGAGACGAGATTCCCGTTAGGACTGGTATTTGGTTTGCAGGGAATTCTGTAGGTGGCATTATCTCGTCGCTCCTCGCCTATGGAATTGGTCACATTTCCGACAATATCCACCCGTGGCGTTGGATGTTCATCATCCTAGGCGCTGCCACTTTTCTCTTGGGATTTGGGATACTCTTCCTATTGCCCGACACTATTTCGGGGACCAAATTTCTAACTCCAAAAGAGCGACAGTGGGCGGGGGACCGAGTTGTGATAGCCGGTACAGGTCGCACAGAAAACGCGACTTGGAAATGGGAGCAGATGCGGGAGTGTCTGCAGGATCCCAAGACATGGCTTATATGGTCCGTCGCACTACTCTGCCAGATCCCTAATGGTGGCACGCAGAATTTTGCAAACTTGGTTATTAAGTCGTTCGGGTTTACGTCACTTGAGTCAACACTCATCAACATCCCCTACTCTATCATTTCTGTGATAGCCATCTCTGGAACCGGGTGGATAGCCGGACGCTTCCGATCGATGAATTGTATTCTCGTCGGTCTTATCGTTATTCCACCTGTTATCGGATCTGCGTTGATTGGGAGCCGAAGCTCGATTCCCCATGGAGTCTCCCTGTTTGGGTATTTTCTTCTATCCACCGGTCCGTCTGCGTTGCCTCTACTTTTGTCTCTTGTCCAGTCAAATTTTCGAGGCGTCACGAAGAAAATGACCATGACCGCATTGCTGTTCATTGCCTATTGCGCTGGAAAGTATGTAACAATCCTATCAAGTATACCATCCCTCACCGTCCTAGTTTGTCACCGCCGAGTTATCGGCCCTTCGGTTCTTTCTTCAGAGGTCGCCTACTAACTTCCTTAGTATTATCGGTCCTCAATTATTCATATCCGATGAAGAGCCTACGTATGACACGGCGTTCCGTGCAATTATGATATGTTACGCTTTAGTGATATGCCTCATCGCAACCCTCAGAGTATACTTACAACTAGTCAATAAACGGAGACAAGCAGAGGAAGGGATTCAAGGTAGCGCCGGAACTTCTGGCGCCGTTGGTGGAGGCAAAGTGGTCGACATTGCCGATATATGCAATGTGACTGAAGCAGTCAACGAAGTTCAACTAAGGCCAGAAGACTACGAAGATACAACGGACTGGAACAGTTTTGGGTTTCGCTACAGGCTCTAAAGCACCACATAGGTACCTATACAAAGAATACCTACCTACCTACCTAGGTATGCATCTATGAGACACTCGCTCGGAGTCTGGAGTTTCCTCAACCTGCAACCTATAATCTATAAGGCAACCTCAACCAATGATCAACCTCCCAGCTTCCGGTAACCGCCATCGTTAGTTCCTAATCTATATAGATTTAAGTTCTAATAGGGAATATTCGTTGGCGTAGCTTCGGACTTAATTTAAGGAACGCCTTGAGTGCTTCCCTGCATGATATTTTCTCTCCTCTTCCCAACATTCCAACTCTAAATTGATTGCAAAAGTGGTAGTTAATTATTATATCACATTACAGCACCATCATCTCTCATTGGAGACCTTTAACGTCCACAATGGGTAGACATGCAATCGGATCACCGGAGGAGAAAGTCAACCGGGCCAAATTCGAGTTCCGTGGGTCCTGTGCGAAAGCACCGAATAAGGAAAACATTAAGTTGCTACTTGGTGAAGAATGGTGTAGCAATGACATCAATATTACACTCTTGTCAAATGATTCCCATGCTTATAATTATCTAATTACGAAACCCAAGGAAAACAAACTTGCTAAAACTATCATACGAGTGATGCTACCGGTCGACCCCTATTTTAAGACGCAAGCCGAGGTCTCTACTATCGAATGGGTCCGACAGTATACGTCGCTACCAGTTCCCAGAGTCTTAATATTCGATCCAACCGGTACTACTCAGATTGGTCTCGAGTGGGTTGTCCTAGAATGCTTCCAAGGCCAGGTACTTCCTGTCGCGGCCGAGGCAGGCGAAGTCAACTGGGCTATAGTAAGTAACGAGAAGAAGCGCTCATTAATCCGACAATTTGTGTCCTTCTATTCCACAACTTTCGACCACCAATTATCCGCAATCGGCAATCTATATATGGGCCGTGCGACAGGAGTCCGGGAAGATGATGATAAAGTTGGCGCCATTGTCTCGCCAGAGTTCTATATGGAGGAGAACCAGAAACGTGATCATTGCCGTGGACCATTTAGAAACAGTGCCGAATGGCTCAAAGCACGTTTGGATATGAAATATAGAGACTGCCTAGCTATCCAGAAGGCAAATTCTGTTCTTAGAGCTGAACATATCATCGACCGCTTGAAGAGATTAAGAGAGAGGCTCTTTGATTCCACACTTTTCGAGCCCACCGTACTCACGAACTGTGACATAGGCCCGAACAATATTATGATGAACCACAATAGACTAGTCGGGGTAGTGTATTGGGAGCATACATCCGCTCTTCCACTGTGGAAAGGGTGCGAACTTCCTAAGTTCCTGCAAGGAATGGCACGTACCAAGGAACCTGAGGAGAGGGATTATCTAGACGAAGAGGGAGAATGGTTGGCTGGGGCCAGAGACGACTTCGCAAAGCACGTGCTACAGTGGTCGCGAACAATGCTTCAAAGAATGTTCCTTGACGAGATGTCCCGGAAGTGTCCTCAGTGGATGGCCATTTACAATTCACCAATTACTCGTCTAAGGAAGGACTACGAGATTGCCGTGAGCTCCTGTGACAACGCAGCTACTCAAGCCGCAATTGAGAAGTGGCTCTACACTATAGAATCGGGCTTAGAAAATATTCGGCTTCAGGACCCAGGAAAAGCTCGTGCGGATATCTCGAGTCTAGGCTTCACCGTTCGCAGCCTTCAGGATCGTATCTACGACAGCGCAAACGTATCCGACACAGCAAGACACCCTGCCGCAGGGCCAGAATCACATATATGGAACCTATCTTAATAAGGAAGGAAATTGTTTACAGACTAGGCCCCTGATTATTATTGCATGAACTAGCATCTTTACAATAGTCTCAGAGGCTAGCTCGCGAGAGATCTACGCTATATCGTAGCCGCTGGTAAATTATCACACCAATCACCTAACATGATTAAAAGTACGGTAGAGGCAGCCTTTAAGAAGAGATTGGGCCTCATTACTCGCAGTATTATTGACCGGAGGGGTCGAATTGCATGCTTTCTTTAGGAGGATCCAAAACCAAGGTTCGAGAGAGTAGCCAATCAAGCAGCCATAGTTAATACTAAGCCAACCGCTGCGTACCAGAAGAGCTCGCTTTCCTGGATCTCGGAACTAGCAATTTACAGAGGAGCACGGAACCGACCCGAGTGCTGCATGTCTGCAATATCGAATGGCAATGCTGGTAATTGTCATGACTCTAGACTCTCAGAGTTGAAGTCTAGACTTGAGCTCGCCCACGTCGTCTGACCTTGCCATAGTAGTCAAATCCCAAAAATAGCTTATTCAAATTGTACCACGACGGATTCCAAGGCACGGAATATGTCTAAAGCTCCACAAAGCTTCTCTATTACAACTCTTTTCCGGATACTGTGATGGCGTTCCCCGAGCTTCTCTTCACGATGCTACCACGTAAGCAGCTCAAGTTCCGGACGACGTCGTCGTTGCGAAGCTTGGCGGCGCGGACACGACTTAGTCAACCATGAGAAATGTCACGATACGTCGCGTGTGTAACGGGGCGATTTGAAATATGACGCTCCTGCTTGGTCTATTCGCCAGCCACCGAGCCCTCCCTTTTTTTTCGTGGAACCGATGGATGATGATGATGTATCATCGGTCTGCAGGCACGAGGTTATCCCTACAACAAGGGGGATTTCTTCTTATGGGCCTTCCCCTGTAACCCCCGTGGCTGACCCCTTGGTGTCTTTTTAGAGACAATGCTATTCGCTCTGCTATAATTAATGCAGGTAGAAAAGGGAAAAGGCTTTGTTTTGTTTTTCCCTCGCTCGCTTCTATTTGCATTTACCCCGGCTTTGATAAATCTCTCCGTAAACCATCCCCCCAGCTCGTCAATATACGGCTAAATAGATGGCGCGCTCTCAACGTCACCTTTCTGCTACCCCAACCGCCATTTCCTCGGCCCTTGCTACTCCAATTGATACCTGTTACGGCCTTCCGTTTTCCGAAACGATGTGGCTGTTCGCGGGACGGAGGCTATTTTGTCAGCGTTGGCCAAGACTCGACGCTGCTACCGTATGTAGAATGCTTTCAAATACGCAATTCGAGATGCCACGGTGATCTTGCAGTTTAGACGGGTCAAAGCGTGCTATGTCCCCCTTCTCTTAAGCCTTGCTGGCTGGTACCTACCTAGGCATGCGGGCTCCGGCCCGCACTCCTTGTTATATCACTGCGCATCATTCTACGACGTTGGGATCCCCGGGGGTCGAAACTAACTCACGTTATAATGAGCCATTCGATGAATATTTAATTGCTATGTGCCTGGAATATCTTCTTCTGCGCATGTGAACTCGTTCCTATCTCCGTTGCCTCCAATATTCTTCCCAGATCAGGAGTGGCTGCTTGATACCCACGTGTAATCTGTAAGCCCCCTATAGAAGAACTATATATCAAGGTAGAGATCCTTATCTAATATGGTTCTCAGTACTCTCAAGTAGTATTCAAGACCACGGTAGTTGAGTACTCGTCAAAGCTCATTCATTTATCTTCGATACCTAGTTCTTCGAAAGCTCCAAGCTAGGACGTTAAGATGCGTTGGAACTTGAGTTTAACGTGCGCAGCTGCGCTATTCGGTTTCGGTGCGTACCTACTATGAAACATCTTGAACATATTGGAGGAGCTTCAGAAATCGATGGTTATTAAGAGCCTTTGTTAACATTTACGGCGGAGGCTTGTTTGCAGTGTCTGAAGCCAGCGCCGACGTATTCCGTGACCCTGACACCGGATTTTCATTTTCTCAGAAGGACGTGGCGATCACGACGAACAACGAGTTCATCACGTTCCGCGTTGCTATCCCGAGCCCCGCGCCCGCCGGCCAGCCTTACGATGCCGTGATTCAGGTCGTTGCCCCTGTTGCTGCTGGTTGGGTAGGCGTCGCCTGGGGCGGCTCCATGACGAACAACCCCCTACTTATCAGTTGGGCTAATGGTGCGAGCGGCGTGGTATCTATTCGTCGAGCGACGTGAGTTGATGTTTTCTCAACATGCAAAGGCCCACATTCCCCCGCCCCCTTTCTCCAGCCTAGAACAAAGTATCCAATGATAAACACAGAAAACTAACGCATTGCAGCGCCCATACCGCTCCAGCAGTATACACAGGCGCCTCAGCGCAAGTCCTCTCAAAGGGCACCAAGAGTAACGGCACGCATTGGCAAGTAACATCCAAATGCACAGGATGTACACAATTCACCACTACAGGCACCACTACCAAGACCCTGAACCCGGCTGGTAGCAACCGCCTCGCCTTCGCGTACTCCAAGACTAAGCCCAGCCAGCCCGGGTCCAACAGCTCACCCATCAACGTGCATGATCTGTTCAACTACTGGGAACACGACTTCGCGTCCGCCGGCAACCCCGAGTTCCAGGATCTAGTCGATAGGAACTTGTGAGTTTGAGTTTAACTAGCTGGGGAGGTGAGGAGGTATTTAAAGGGGAGAGGGGGGCGGATTTCCTTAGAAAGAAACATGATGACGACGAAAAAATAAACCTATTTATCTTTATGTCTTGAGAACCCCTTCTAATACCATCTTTGCGTTAAGAAATACTTCGCTTGCGTACGTATCCGCGAGAAGCCCGAATCTGCGGAGAAGGGGCGGCGCTGTCGTGTAGTAAGGGCGCGTGTTGTTGTTATTGGTTTTTTTTTTCGATACAATATAGAAACGTGGTTTAATTTCTGCGCTGCGGGTGGGGGCCTTGTGGGCACGTTTTCTTAAGATAGGGGAGGACGAAACTGAGGAGGGAGGCGCTTGAGTGATTTATTCTACTGTCGTTTCCGCCGAAGATACTCTACTTAGCATATATAAAATCCGGGTTCGGTTTTATGCTTGCTATGGGCTTTTATCTGAGAGAGTAATGAATTACCCTCAAGTTCTGTGTGGTTCATTCAAAAGATGACGTCTTCGTCTGAGGCTCAAACACGTCCCAGGAAACTCAGTTGCTACTGTCGTATCGATCACAGAATCGTTATGTCTAGTCACATCTAGCTTAGGGTATTTATAGTTGAAGTATGTAGGTATTTATAGACGTATACACATACATATGCGTCCCAGACAGTGGGAGCTTCACCCGGCCCATTCAATCGTCTCACAAGATCACTTACAAACAAGATTAACGCGGCAGTAAATTCAAAACTGGAAGTATAAATTATATGAAAAAATGTCGATGATAACAGTTAACGTCTAACATATTTAACAATTTCAATAAGCACAAACACGAATGCGCATGCTAATGAATGTTTCCCTATCTCGCTAGTACAGAGGGTAAATCCCAGAGGCAAAGCTTCGTCGATGAGGCGATGGTATCTTGACTAAAACTAACTTTTCTCCAGCAGGATTCCCTCTGCCTATTAAGATTACCGCTGAAGTAATTCCGTCTAAGCCTTGATAGCCATCTCACCCATGGGGAGAGCCGCGAGCCCTGTGATTAGTTAGTAAGACATTCCCTTGCGCTCGGTAATTCCTCGGTAGTCCCAAAAAGGGGGAAGAAAAACTTACATCCGTCAACATCCTCAGGGGCTTGTTGCTCCTTGGTGCAAGCGCTGTATTGGTCGGATGTCTGGGCGTGGATACCAGCAGTAGCGCAGTCGGTGTTAAGACCGCATGAGCCAATGTTGTCCATGGCCTTCTGAAGAGTGTCACCCTCCCAGCCGAAGAGATAGTCACCGTGAGCAGCAGGGCCACTGTATAAAGTTAATTACCTATACAATAATAGTCTTTAAAAATAGGGATATTCCAGCTTACCCAAGGTTCATGGAGTAGACGTAGGGGTTGGAGCCATCAGTAGGGAAGTCGGCACTGTTAGCGAACTCGGTGACGTTCCACATCAGCTCGTACATGATCTGGGGCAACTTGACGGGATGCGTGGATGGGCAAGCACCACCGCCGGTAGCGCCGGAGCCGGAGCTGTAGGCGACGTGACTCTGGTGGTCGGGGCTGTCCAGGTTCTTTCCATCCCAGCAGCTATAAACTAGGTTAGCGGGTCTAGGCGAGAAGTAGTAAAGGTGTTTATAACTTACGTAGGGAAGATAATGGTCTGTCGGATCATCTTACAGCTCTTGGAGCTGGGGATATCAACAGTGTCAGAGCCAGTGCAAGGAGCACCACCGACAAAAGTGTTCTCGTTAGGCGACGTCCAGCATCGGTGGCAGATATTTGACTTCTGAACCTTGTTGGGGTCGGTGTTGGCGGCGTTACCAGCCAACATACGGAAACCCTAATGTTTCGGTTAGATTAATTATATCAAAGAATTTTTCTAGTTCTCCCATACCTTCTTGAAAGCGGTAGTCTTGCCGCTGGGGATGTAGTAAAGGTCGAGACCACCCTTGTTTATGAGCTTTCCTTGCGGGCCACCGTTGCCTACCTGGGGGACACGCTTGTAGGTCCCGTTCTTGGCCTTGTAAAACATGACGGCGGTCCAGTAGTTGGACTTGTCCTCCTTGAATGTGCACGATGTGCAGGTAGAGGAGGCTAGGTCGTGGATCTCGGGGTCCATGGTGACGTTCAGCGAGTTACCACCGACCAGTTGGTGAAGATGAGGAGTGTACTTCATGCCGGGGTTAACCAAGGGGTCGATTCGGTCAACGACCAGTTGGGAGCATGCGAATCGCAGCATACTGTTTCCAAACTGGGCGGCGGCATTTTGCGCAAGGAGCGCGGCGGCAGCGAGCGAAGTCAACTGCATCGTGACTGAGTTCGCCTAAGACGTTTGTCGATGAGCCTTAAGGGGGCGAGAATGAGTGAGACGTTGAGCGAGCAACGATTGTTTGCTGAGAAGAAGCAGCGAGATGCACGGTTGCAGAAGTAGAATCCGGGGATATAAAATCTGGGGAAGTTCGCGATGTCCGTCGTACTTGTATAATCCGTGAGAGGGCTCTCTCGCTGGCTTGCGCCCACGAACTGCCGAGCGCGAAGAACTTGTTCGAAGATTTCTTTCACTTGGACGCAGAAAAACTATTGGCTAGGATCATTTCCCAACTTGATTGGCATCGATTTCCGCATTCGGGGTCAAGGGCAGCCATGGCTCCGTGTGTTGATTGATCCCTGAGCCTTGCTTTCACCCCCTTCTGGCTGTATCGCATTTACCCGGTTATTTACACCTCCCAATTATAGAACCGCAATAAATGGCAACGTAGTAACAAGCCGCATCTATACTCGGAAATATGGGCCCTAAAAACTCGAATTCAATATTGGATGCGTCTTAGATGCCTCTTTGCCACTGACAGCCGTATGTATACTAACACGTGTAGTTGGGTTAGACCTGAATTAGGCTACCGAACATCATCTTCCATATCGCCTCGCCTGTGGAGGCGTACCATGGTTCTAGGCACGATCGAGAACCTTCACCGTCCAAAGTCTGCTATTCTGGTTATCGGGTTAGATGTTTTGGCTAGTCGACATCTTCCCACGCTACTATTGACGACTGATCGACACCCGTGGATAGCCTTATGGCCGAACATGCGGCGAGGGCTACCAGGATACGCAAGGAGCACCCGCTCCTCACTATATCCGGTCGAAATCTCGGCCCTAATGTAGAGAGGAGGAAGCAGTGCCAAGACACATTATAGGCCCTGGTCCGGCATCCATACCACAGGTATGATTGGGAACACATGCTAGTGTCGTCATACCCGAAGAGAGAATAGGGCCAGTTGCCTGCTTGATTCGTCCTGGCGGTAAGCATACTCATTGGTAGCACGCCTAGACATTTATCTTGGGCCACGGCATTGTCGTTAGTGCCTTGTGATGGGGCCGTGGGTGCGTATGTGCGTATGTGACCTGTAAGATTAAACATGTAGCCAACGAATACGTTCCTTCGATATTGCGGCTTCTTGTCACAAGCCTTCTCCCAGTTGAAGCTCCCAGGTAATAAATTCGGTTAACTGTGCCGTAGGGCATACTCCTGAGCGAGGATTACCACAGCGGAAAAAATGGGAATTCCAAATCATTCCGTCGTATAGGAGAAACGGAGTAACTCTCTTAGATGACTTTGCACCCATGGCCTCCTAGGCGAAAATATCAACTCGGATTAGACATGGCTCAAAGTAAGCCCGAGATAATATGATCGCCGATGGATGACTATTGAGCAAGATAGATAGTTCATGCCTTAGTCTATTGAGTCACAATGCAGTCTATAGGACTGCTTCAATCCGGGTTGACAGGACAAGAGGCTCGTAACATTTGGAATACTCGAGAACAATCATCGGTTAGATGGAATGATATTCCAATTCCTACTTTCCATTTGAGTGAACTTGTTAACTCACAATAAAACTTCTCGCTTCACAAAGAAAGACTTACTAGGTACCAAGTTGGCTCGTATATGCCCTGAGAATAAGACATGCGGCTTGTTTATCGAACCTCCCTATGGATAGCGGCGAATCATCAAGGTTGCCACAGGGATTCCCGAGCCTAATCCGCGTGTCGATGGAGCTTTCCCTTTCAGAGCCCGGAATTGATTGAGTCATAAGGACACTTAGAGTTCTTTGCTACTGACTCTAATGAGAAACATAGGTAGTTCTACACGAGAGGGGCATGCTTTGCTATCGATTGTAAACGTTAGCAATATCGGCTACTTCGGAGAGCATGAAGCGATTCGGCTGATAGAGGAAATTAAGCTTAAGCCAACAAGCTGCTCTCTTAAAGTTTGTTCTCCAATTCCCAGGACCGACGATGACCATGGATACCTACTTATTCTATACCTGATATCATCGTCAAGAACTAGCTACACTCTATAATACCACTTTCGATCTCAGCATCCGCTATATCTAGGTATCTAATAATAGCTGTTGCTTTTATTATTAGGTAGTCTAAGATTTAGAAATAGCGTACCTGGGAGTCCAACACGCTGGCTAGCGACTCCGCCAAAAACCTCGTTGGTGGCTATAGTTAGCCTTTTGGGCTTGGTATGCCATGTGAGTATGTGTTGTAACCGGGTCACCCGCGTATGAGATGAAAATTGATTAATTTTGCTGGGGATTAATATATTGGAGTTAATCTATAGAAGACAAGCAGTGGTGGGAGTAAAATTATTATAAAGGTTCAACAAGATATTAATTACCTATATGCGGTCGATGACAAATAATTCAAATTGTGTTTTACATATCTCCATCTACGTTGCGGATTCTCCGTATTCATACGATGGCAGTTAAATAAAATCTATCATAAGTTGAGTGAAGTTAGTATAGTCTTGCGCAATCCCCTCGCGATATCGGGACAATGTTCCAACCCCATGGGGACTCCGCGGGGTTTCGCGAAATCAGTAACCGAGACCAGCCAGCCCAATCATATTCGAGACCTGACATAGGTACGTGTTTCTTGATCCCGAACCAGGTCGTTATCATGCTTGCAGCAGATCTCGGGAGGTGCCTAAAACTGTCGGAATGCGACCCTGCCACGATCGGGTGCCGATCAGGCGGGTGAGGTGAGGACGGACCTAAGGGCCGGCGCGAAAAATACCTAAGCATCTATTCTGCTGGATTAGCAATCCTGATGTAAGGAAATTACGACGACAAGCAAGAAATACTAATGGCCATGATAAGGGGTAACGGCATTCTCATAGGCCTTTTTCTCCGTGCGACGGTCTTCACCGTAGGGTGCATTGGAAAACGGTTAGGATGGTCTGCATCGCAGGTATGGCGCATTTCATGTATTTGCCATGAGACTTCACTCCTAGAAAATAGTGCAGAAGTGTAGTATACTACTGTGCCGCTCAGGGGCGAGAATTGTTGTAGAACTAATGCTGTAAAAGTCTATCCCGCTTGACCTGTCGTCATTCTACAACAATAAAGCATTTGGCACATACCCAGGGGAGGCTTCTTTCGACACTCTAGGGCAATCTTATCCGGTGCCGGATCTAGATGAGCCCTACTATATCTCAAGAGATACAGGCATAGTATACTTGTTTCCAGGATATACCGGACCCGGCAAGCCTGACAATATTATATGCAATAGTCAAACTATAGCGGTACCCCTCGGGTCGTACTTCTCATCCTCGTTCCTCGTCTCCGAGGACAAGGAAGAGGAAATAGTTTCTGGAAATGTGACCTTTACGTATGCTGACAACACCACGTCGGTTTATGAACTGCGCTCTCTGGACTGGTACAGCTTCCTGACAATTAATCGCGGAGAGCTGATATTCTCTAGTCGCTTCACCGCGACCGGTGTGGATTACAACACCAGCCATATATTTGAGCGAACTGCGCATTTGGACCCTGGAAAACAACTCCGCGGTATCACCCTATCGGAACCAACCAGCGCCGACAATGGCCGGCTGCATGTGTTCGCTATTTCGTTATGGAAAGCCGCCGCGGAAGTAGACGTGCAATCGATTCGCCCAACTCAAAAACGGCTTAGCAGCGGTTCGCAAGCAGTTGAAGTTACGGTTAATCATGCCGGAACCGATTGTATTGCAGGAGATGGGCTAGCTCTATCGATCTTTGGTGAACAGCTTCGAACAATCGACACAGGGCATCTTAAGCGGTTATGCCCAGGAGACCAGAAGATCGTAACAATCGGTGTAGAATCGAACTCTACCAAACCACTCAACGCCTTAGTGATTATTGACGATGGCATTACTCAACGATCCCTTGAGTTCGAGAACGTCCAGTTTAGTCTAACCGAATGGACTACCGACCTAGATAACCTCGCAAGACACGAAAGCCCAGAATGGTTTAACAATGCCAAATACGGGATATTCATCCACTGGGGGCCATATTCCGTGACAGGATGGGGCAACTCGTCACCGCACGAGAGCTACGCAGAATGGTTCTGGTAAGCAATATCCCTCATCAATCCCTCCATATGCACACATAACTTCTAACCAAGACACCCAGGTGGTACTCAACACACCACCCCCAATCCGATCCCTCCGACTTCTTCGACTATCGTCTGCGCACCTACGGCAGAGACTGGGCCTACGACGACACCTTCGCCAACTTCACCGCATCTAGCTTCGACCCGAAAGCATGGGTTGACCTGATCGCTGACGCCGGAGCCAAGTACTTCGTCATCACGTCCAAGCACCACGATGGCTTCGCGCTTTTCGATACCGGGGACACCAGCAACCGCTCCGCATTGCACTACGGCCCGCACCGGGACCTGCTCGGCGAGCTCTTCGATGCAGCGACGCAGCACCAACCCCATCTCAAGCGCGGGACGTACTTCTCGTTACCGGAGTGGTTTAACCCGTCCTACGGCCCCTACGGCACGGATACCTGGCCCGGAATCCCCGCTACGAACCCGTATACCGGGGCCACGGAGCCATATATAGGCCACGTCCCCGTCCCGGACTTCCTCACGGATGTCATGCTCCCGCAAATGGAAACCCTAGCGTATACCTACCACACGGACATACTATGGTGCGACTGCGGCGCCGCCAACACAACCGCCGCATTCGCCGCGCACTGGTACAACGCGGCACGCGCCTCCAACCGACAAGTAACTACCAACAGCCGCTGCGGGGTCCCCCAAGCCGCCGACTTCGACACACCAGAATACCAGCAATTCGCATCCGCGCAGCGGCGCAAGTGGGAAAGTAACCGGGGCTTAGATCCGTACAGCTACGGGTACAACCGGGCTACGCCCGACTCCGCATACATGAACGCCAGTAGTATAATATACACGCTTGTAGATATCGTGTCGAAGAACGGGAATCTATTGCTAGATATTGGGCCTAAGGCGGATGGGACGCTGGTGCAGGCCGAGGTGGATAGCTTGTTAGAAGCTGGGAAGTGGATTAGTGGGCATGGAGAGGCGATTTTTGATACGACGTATTGGTTTGTGCAGAGCGAGATTGCTGAGGGGGTGGATGTGAGGTTTACGCAGACGGATGAGGCGTTCTATGTGCTGTTCTTAGAACGACCGGTACTTGAAAACGGCGTTGTTGATATTGCGGCACCGGTGCCGGTGGTAGAAGGCGATGAGGTTAGTTTGCTGGCTGTTGATGGCGGTAAGAACCTAACATGGAGAGTGACGGGGCACGGCAGCGAGACGGTACTCAAGATCGAGATTACTGAGACATTATTGGATAGAGAGGAGTTCTGCTGGGTGTTTAAGATCAAGTATGCATAATAACGCCACAGTCCATACCTGTTTAGAAACTACCCGCCTATGCTAAGATGCTATAATTCGAGGATGCTTTCGTTTGGGTATTGAGAAGGACGCAATTTACTGAAATCATTGAACACCATTAGTTAGTCCCCCCCAAAAGAATCTTTGCTTTCGTAATTCACATATCATAACTCTTCGTTATTCAAGCGTCATCCTTCTCAGATCCCTAGGATGATCAGGCGGGCTCTTTCCATTTCGGTATTGCCACAATCGACTTAGATCTTTCACTCTGACTTTGCCGTCATCAATTTCGTCTTTGTTTTCGTAAAAACTGCCGTGTACCACAACTTCGCCCTGAGCAATACTTCCCTTTCGGCCGGCACGCTCGATCAAGGACCAACTATTTTCAACAGCTTCGCGCAGGTCATCTTTTTCCGTGCCCTTTTCAGCCACTTCTATAACGCTGCTCATGAAATCATTGCGGTCAGCACAGCCCGTAAATTCTCCCTTGGCATTTCGTTTGAGAGGAAACATTTCGTTCAGATAGTGCTGAGAGAATTGATGTCCGCCCCGTGGAGAAGTGTGTTTGAACACGCGTCCAATATATCGAGGCATTTCCGGAGATGCGCGCTCGTTTGTTACGAAATGAAGAATTCCCCATAAAGCGACAAAATCGGTCGTATGGGCATAATGCTCGACATGAGCGATCGCGCGATCGGATGCCGGCACGGTATAAGCCGTCGCATGTGACGCGCTTGACTCCTTTGAGAGCGAAGTGAGCGTCGGGACCCGTCTATTAACTTCAAACGAAGTTCCACTACTGTTTGACGGTCGCCTCCTCAATGATAATGACTGGGCCTCGACTGGAGAGTCGGTGAGCGGGATTTCGGCAATGGTAGTGGGGATCTGTGTGCCTTCTTTTGAATCTTTCTTTTCCATATCCAAAGACAGGACATGTCGATGCGGATTGTTGAAATGATTAGAGGCATTCCCAAACGTATATACCTCAAGCTTTGATAAGAGATTTTGTGGTAGCTCTTGAAGTAGCCAGTCGAGGACCAAACCACCTTCTATTCCACCCTGCGAGTGCAAAATGAAAACTACTTTGGTGTATTGTGGGTTATATAGCTTTTCCTTGATGATCTTATAAGCCGCACGAATGTCGCTTGTAGCGTATCCGAAATTACGTTGTACTAGACACTCGACAACGTCAAATATGATGCCCGTAGTTCGGTTGTGAACACCAATAACTGGTCGCTTGAAAGTGAGAGCCAAACGATTGATGTTGCTCTTAAGCCAAGCTTCTCTGGTTGTTGGGGTTAGCGAGAACAAAAAAAAAAAAAAAAAAGTCACACATCGGATTGTCATGGGGTCACACATACCCGACAGCAACGCCATTTAGGAAAATCCATTGCTCATGTGCATGCTCTTCTAGAGCTGGTGCATATTTCGGGTCGGAAGTGAAGGTAATAGTTTTACCATTCAAACCCAGGCATATTAGCCAGTTCAAAGTAAAGAAGGCCGCCATTCCCACTGCCACCATCCAGACCGGAAATAAGACAGCCAAAGGCAGCGTTAATATGAATAATAACTGAAGGACCACAAGAATTGCATGTATGATCATACACCATATATTCTCCCAAGTAAACGAAAGCTCATCAAAATGGTCACCGTCACAGGGTCGGAGAGGCCAGATTACCCAAGGCAGAGCCCAAGCAAAGGTGAAGAAGTATCTCACATCCCACATCATTAACCGCCAGGGCATATCTGTATAGCTGTAGTTAATAACAGACTCGCCGCCGACCTGCGAGCCGACAAACTCTGTATGATCCATGATGGCTCCTGATTTCGCTCCATTTGATCTCGTGAAGATTCTTGAAAGGTAGAGAAGACCGCCAACCATAGCAACGAGGACGCAGCCGAAGTAGACAGAAAAGTCCATAGAAGAAAAGAGCGACCCCGGATGGGGAGTGCAGCATTCTTTTATAACCCCCAGGATGTCCATCTTCGTATCTTTTCGGCTATACTAACTAAGCCTTGTCTCCCAAACGTCGGTGGCACAGGGAAGAGATAAAGTGCACGGTGGTACCCATGGTGTCGGCAACGGCACGGAGTGGCTACTGGACCGTGACATCGTGGCTAGGGCCCCAGGTAGCGACATCCTGCAGGGCTGAGAAACTTCGCTTCTTGGCGACCATAATTGTATTTATAACCAATAAGCAGTAGTATACGAAGTGTGAGTTGGTCATAATTCGGGTCATCTGAGCTTAGACGCTGGAGCATTTTGAGTTGTGGAGGGTTGGAGAGATAAAATAAGAGGGAGTTCCTCTATAAAGGTGTCCCTTTTATTCTCACCATGCTCTTGATTCGTTAACAATCCCGAGGGGCTGTAATTAAGCTTTACCGAACAGTCATAAGCCATAAGCCATAAGCTATGTGTTACGTGTTTGCTTTTTATCCCAGGGGAGGCAGCATTACATCATATGAATGGTTTCAATCAGATATGTACACAAAGAGATACGTAGGTCTACTCATAGCAGGCAGCTGCCGCTATAAAATACAGGGCTTAGGGATGTGTTACAAAGTCAGGTCGCACTACATGGACAAACGAAGTGCCATGTGACCCGCTTCGGTCCGTGCTAGGTCAGGGCAGTCACCGTATTAGCGCTACTACTCAGTTAGGCAGGTGCCCTATGTAGGTCTCTGAGCTTTCTAATAAGCTTAGCTCGCGGTTACGTCAATTCTCTTTCGTTAACTTCAACCCAACTTGTTTAATTTCTTGACTCGTAATTCAACCGAATCGAAGTCGACATAAACCTAGAGAAATGGAAGAGATAATTGAAGAGCCGCAAATTACCTCACCGGGGACCTCGGTCGCAACACCCAAGGTTCTCATTATGATGGCCGACTATGGCCATGACCCTACGGGTGCGCCACCCCCAAAGGACGTCTATCTTACGTCCACTATGCATAGTTCGATCTATAACTTATCCCTCTTAGAAACCGCCGTACCTTACACCGCATTCAAGAACACGGGCTATGAAGTCCAGTTCGCGACCGAGAAGGGAAATCATCCGCGATGCGACAAGAAAATGCTGGAGGGGTTTACTCAAAAGCTACTCGTACGCCATGACGGCTCGTGACGGCTCATTAGATGTTTGAGCTAGCTATCCTAATATCCTAGCAGGGCGCAAAGAAGGAAGTTATACACTTGTATAAAAAGATGGCCGTGAGCGACGAGATGCGCCACCCGCTCTCATGGTCCGCTCCTGGCTTTTCCCTCGATCCCTTTGATATCGTCGTCTTCCCTGGAGGCCACGATAAGGGAATGAAGCAAATCATCGAGTCGCCCATCGTTCATAAACTTGTAGTAGATTATTTTCCCAGGACTAAGAAGCCGAGCAAGAAGATTATTGCTGCCGTGTGTCATGGCGTCATGGTCTTATCCGAGTCAAAAGATGCCAATGGCAATAGTGTCATACGGGATTGCATCACGACGGCATTGCCTGCGAAATTCGAACAAGCCGCATACTGGAGCACCCGGGCAGTCCTCGGCGACTACTACAAGACGTATGGTCATGGAAGCGAAGATGTTGAGCAATCGGTATGAAAGCTGCGCCTCCGCAAAACGACGTCGACGTAAGTATCTAACTAAACCAATTCATAGATTAAAAAGGTCCTTACCGACCCAGCTCAGTTCAAGGCCAGCTTAAACCCCGGCCCGTAAGTTATTTTTCACCGCTTAATTTTAAGGCTACGATTGTATTATAGCCAAATCTCCTTCGCTCACTATATACTTCTAGGTTTACCGTTGAAGATGAGCAGTATAATTACATCAGTGCTCGGTATCCAGGTGACGCGGAACTATTCGCCGAGGAGATCATCAAGCTCTTTGAGAGCTTCCATAAGATCGTGTAAATGCTCTTATTCCTGCGTTAGCGCAGTCTCTTGATACCAGATTGTCGATACCCGTCTTGGTGGGTATATAAGAACAGGTATATTTCACGAGAATGACCTAGTTACATACCTAGGTATATAGTCTAATACACTAATCCTTCAGGATTGAGGCGATTGCTTCATCAACTCCCGATGCTACGACTACAGGTGCGCGCTTTTCATCTAGCCGGTCTATCCAACCTTTACCAATTCGGTCGATAAATGCTGCTTTTAGTCCTGCTGCCCTTGAACCGACAATATCGAACGGGTTGGCGCTTACAACCCAAACATCGCTTGCTCTCCCCTGTTTTCCAACTTGTTCGACTAGATGATCATACACTCTCCTATCCGGTTTGAAACACTTTAAGCTGTCAACTGTAATTAACGATTTGAACCTCTCTGCGTGAGGTCCCAATTCCGGCGAGGTTTTGATCGAGTTCCCAACCATCTCATCAGTGCCATTAGAAAAGACGTAGGCATCCACCGAATCTTTATTATTTTCCAAGAGCTGCAACGCAGAGGGAATGTCGGGGAAAACATGCAATGCGTCATACGACTTCATAAGGGTATCCGCGTCTTTCGCCGAGAGTGTCAACCCATGCTCTGCTACCGCGTGGCCCAAAGCGTTGCGCGTTATCTCGCTGAATGACTTATATTCGCCTAATACCCCTTGTTAGATATTATTCGGCGTGGTTGTCGAGGCCAGAACGTAACAGCCCTACCCATGCTATTAATCCGCCACGTATATTCCAGCTGGTACCGCCGCCATAAGGCAGCCAATTGTTTAGCTTTATCTTCATCGTAGATCTTAGCTAGCTCGTGAGCTATCGACTCGGTGGATAGTAGCGTCCCGTATAGGTCAAACGCGATAACTGTCTTCTTAGCCACCATTTTGAACCACACCCTTTGGAAAGTTTCCCGGGGAATGAGTCAATTAGCAAGGGACGATGGTGCGCTCACCCCATATCTTCACCCGAGGTTTGTTGGTGAGATCTCATACGCTTTGTCATCGTCATGAATTGCCATGGGTTATATATTAGCCGGTTCATGCGGGGTAGCTAGATACTGAATTAGGATAGGTGAATCTATAGCTTTAAGTTATGTCTACCTTTTATTCTATTCTATATCTTCATCTTTATTAATTTAAGGTAAACTACCTAAGGTATATAAGAGTCAATAAATTGGGCATTGTTGTATGTATACTTCCGATCCATTATGCTAGCACTCTCTTACGTCACTTACATAGACATATCTCTATTTTAATTTATTGCACATGTATTATACAGATCTCAGGTTTATAAGTGAAGCATACCAAATAATTTAAGATAAAATGACAAGATGACATCCCTACCAGAAGACCAACAAAGAAACTACGAGATCTTCCGGGATTGTCTCTCAACCGCACTTATAGAGAAGATCTCACGACCCGAGCCAAAGCCAAAACGGAGATCCAAGTCTAAGAAACGCACTTCTTCTTCCCCAGCATCAACACAAGACACCGCAGACACAGATCTCAACAATGCAGACGATTTAGTCGATTTTGTAGACTACATCGCAACCGAAACTTTCCGCGCCCTCCCTAAAGAACTCAAGACCGTTGATTATCATGAATACACCAAAGACGCTACGCTCCAAGCGCGTTTCGCCCACCGCCTGCCTCTCACCGGCGCCGATACCCCAACCATCCTCCCAACCCTCGACCCCGCCATCGCCGATTCCCTCTCCACATACAGCATAACCAGCGAACCCACACAAGGCCCCGACGAATTCCTCGCTCCCATCCTAACCGCCTTCCTATCTTCCCTAGGGACCCCTCCCCGCGCCCCTCGCGCCACTCTCCTCGACGCAGATGGATGCGAGCTCTGCGGACGGGACTGGGTCCCGTTATCGTATCACCACTTGATCCCGCGGTTTGTGCACGACAAGGCCGTTAAGCGCGGGTGGCATCGGGCGGAGGACCTGGAGAATGTGGCGTGGCTGTGTGGGGCGTGTCATCGCTTTGTGCATCGGTTTGCGGGGCACGAGGAGTTGGCTAGACGGTATTATACGGTGGAGTTGCTGATGGGAGAGGAGGGAGTTAGGAGGTGGGTGGACTGGGTAGGGAGGTTGAGGTGGAAGGGGCGGTGATTTACACTCGGGAGGGCTTGGGCTTGAGGTGTTGTGTGGTAGGTGGGTATAGGATGCTTGCTTGTATATAGGGCGATGATGATGATGATGATGATACTAGAGACTCTTCAAGCCCTTGATTAGGGCTGGGGGATGGAGGTAGAACTGGAATCTGTTTTGTGGCTTGTATATACTAACGTCTAATATTGAACATATCGGGCGTAATATAGATTCCTACTTCATGGCAAAGAAAGGATACATGATGTACCTGTTGCTCAAGCACTGTTGAGAACCTATACGTGCGGCATACATGTAGACTAGAAGCTATATCATGGGAAAGTTTACCTCAACCACATTTAATTACTTACCTTTCGGGGAGCACACTATTCGCAAAGCTACGGTATTATCTACGATAGGTTTATTCTCGTACCAGAGTCTTACGACCCACGCAGATATCGGAAACGCACCTAAACAAAAATGTCCCCATAGCACCATTTAAGGCTGAAGAACATAATATGAGTAACGGGATAACCAGATACACTTCATAGAATAGTTATCTGATCACCATCTCTTCGGTGCCTCCGCAGTACCTGACGAAAATGTCCGACTCATAATATTCGCTCTCGATCTCTCCTTCTCAAGCTTCGCTAGTCCTGTCCTATCCGTGACGGGCGTGGCGTCGATAATATTATCGAAAGCGTCATCTCCCTCGTCGTCTGATCCGTTATCCGAGTCTGGTTCTGCGTCGGAGTCGATTTTATATCTTTGCGGTTGGAGTGGGGGCGGTATTGCCTGTGGCTTCGGCTTCCGGCCTATCTCATCTGCATTGGCGAACGGCTTTGACGCGAGGACCTTGCGTCGAATCTCCTCCATTTCGGCATCGTCATCAGTGTCGTCTGAAATATCAAATGGGTCTCTGCTAGCCTCTTCCTCTTGCGAGTCTTTTTTGCTTTCCCCTAGTTTTGGCCATTGAGTCGGCTTCTTACCCAGATAGATTCCGTCGACGCTATCGTTATCTCCGTCTTCACCTTCTTCCTCTTCATCGTCGTCTTCCTCTTCCTCTTCATCATCCGAGTCAACGACAATTCGCCGATTAACATTGCCACCTTTCCATAAATCGTCGTCATCTGCGTTTTCTCTGCTTTCGGCGTGCTCCCTCTCTAATCGTTCCATCCATTCCTTCTCGGTCTTTACGATCTCGTCCTCGTCTGCGCAAGCCGCATATTTCTTCAACAACTTCGAGTTGATAGCCAGAAAAGACTCCCCATAGTTAAATGGTCGTAGAACCTCCTCCGCCCAATCGGCATGTCCGCATATGTAGAACGAAGCAGCCAAAGCCTCTACACAGTTCAACCGCAGAGGCTTTCCGTAATTGACTGTATTTGCAGCGACTAAGTACGGCAGTAGTCGCTCGCATTTGCCGCCAACTTTGTTCCATTGAACTTCCTGCGTTCGCGCCCAGGAGCACTCAACGACAGCGGCGCCGTACTGATCCATGAGCTCCTTATCGGCGGGAGAAAGCTTGTGCTTCCCGTTAGGTGTGATAATAACACCATTGTGTCTTTGGCCTAGGTGAAGGTCTCGCATGAGGCCGAGTCGTATTAACTTCTTCCCTGAGCATCGTTTCGGATCGCAATGATTCAAATCCCAACAAGCAGCTTTAAAGGCAGGTTTAAAGGGAGCTGACCCCTGTTCTGAATCGTCTTCGGTAGTGCGCGGTCGAGGCCGGGCGTTTCCATGACCTTTTCCACCTCGAGATGAGAATTTGTCTTTCTTGTGGCGAACCATGTTTTTATGAGAGTTGTTTTCAGAATAGCAATAGTGGAATAAGGGAAGGGAAAACGGGTGGCAATCGTATATTGTAGCCTCGTAGTGTCTACCTTAGACTAGGTAGGGACTTAGTGAACATGTCTTAATTGCAGGGACTATTAAATTCTTCGAAATGATGTTGAATGACGAGGCGTGGGGCAGATATCTACCCTGCAGCCCTGGACTCCGAAATTGAAACTGGCTCGTGGCGGGGTTTACAGCAGTGGATCCATCCTGATAAGATCATTGATGTGGATCCATCTAAAATAAATAGCGGATAAACTTGATAGTCCGTTCGTATTGTACCTTTTTCTCGGGTTCCTTTGTCTTCTTCGCCGCGCCGCTGCCACAGCTCTGTGCCACAATACAAGGTTCAAATGGGATGGAAGTGGGATGCGACTCGGCAGCTCGGGAAGTTTGTACGAAGTACGAAGTAGCCAGCACTTCCAATTACATAGTGGGTTTAATGAATTTAGTGAGTTTAGTTTAGAGTATTGCTATTTCAGTAGTAATGGTATTTCAGTAGTAGTCACTTTTAGACCCACCTTTTTAATATATCCCGCATAATCGCATGAACAGCGGGATAGGCAGGTATCGCACAAGTATTACATGTATTTCCCATACAATTTACCTGGCCGCGCATGTATTTTTTATGATAATCCCGCTAAACCTGCTACTTTTATATACTAAGTTATTAAATAGCCTCGTATAATATAGCTGCTTGATTAGCTAGCCAGCCAGCCTTATACCTTTAAACCTTACATCGGGACCTTGTTTTTAGCCTTTTACCTCGTAATGATTGGATGTGACCGTATCTTTTTTAATTGATGCATGCGATCGATTTAAATCAATGTAATAAGACGTATAGGCCTTGCGTTGTAATTGAATTCAATTGATTGAATTAAATAAGAGGCTGTACGAGAGGGTGTAAGATAAGGGTATTACCAGACAATACAAGTGTACAGTAACGAATTTGTATGAGGGGCGAGGTACTTGGTGGTATATGATAGCCCCGTATACTGCTTATCTACCTAGTGTTGCTCTTAAAAGTGACTACTACTGAAATACCATTACTACTGAAATAGCAATACTCTTAGTTTAATGGGCGCCGCATTAACACCGTAACATCTTCTAGGTAGCATCTTAGTGAATGAACCCTTTTTGAGCTTCATCACTCACCAAAACATTATCGTTGCCAATGAATAAAAATACCAATCGTCGATCTCGCGCCACCTTATATCTATGGATGAGCTTATGGCCTTGAGCGCATTGCAATAAACCCAATTATATTGTCTTACATCAGTTCCCGCTTGTGACAACCCAATTTGAACCCGTCAAGATGGAGGCCGCCTCCGCTCGAGCGGCGGCCAGAGATCGTTGGAGCGAGATGGGCTTTCCAAGACCATCTCAGCTTCAACGATTCATAGCGAGCGCCTGCAGTCCCGAGAACTATGAACCGAACCTCGCGCTAAACCTCGAAATCTCGGATCTGATCAACAGCAAGAAAGGCAGCGCTCCACGCGAGGCAGCAGTCGCCATAGTCAACTATATCAACTCGCGCAACCCAAACGTCAGCCTCCTAGCCATCAGCCTTCTTGACATATGCGTCAAAAACTGCGGATACCCCTTTCATCTCCAGATCAGTACTAAGGAATTCTTAAACGAGCTTGTGAGAAGGTTTCCCGAGAGGCCTCCTATCCGTTATACCAAAGTCCAATCTAAGATCTTGGAAGCTATTGAAGAATGGAGGAGCACGATATGCGAAACCAGCCGGTACAAGGAAGACTTGGGCTTCATTCGGGATATGCACCGTTTGTTGAGTTACAAGGGTTACCATTTTCCCGAGGTCCGGAGGGATGACGCTGCCGTTTTGAATCCGAGTGACGTGAGTAGGCCACGGCGCCTTTTTGCTGTGTCGGTCGATCTAGCTAACCGTTTTAGAATCTTAAATCGGCTGAGGAAATGGAGGAGGAAGAGCGGGAAGCACAGTCCGCCAAGCTACAAGAACTAATACGTAGAGGTGCCCCAGAAGACTTACAAGAAGCAAACCGACTTATGAAGATTATGGCCGGCTACGACACAAGATCTAAGACGGACTATCGCGCGAAGGCAGCTGAGGAAGTCGGCAAGATCCAAGCCAAGGCGCGCCTGCTGGAGGAGAGGTTAGCGGCGTTTAAGCCGGGCGATTCCATGAAGGATGGCGATGTCTTCGAAGAATTGGCCTCGTCGCTACAAAGCGCGCAGCCCAAGATCCAGAAGATGTGCGAAGAAGAGTCCGACGACCACGAAGCCGTAGCCAAGTTATTCGAGATTAACGATAGTATACATAGGACAGTCGAGCGGTGGAAGCTCCTCAAGAAGGGCGATATAGAAGGCGCCAACAAGATAGCCGCGGGCGCGCCCGTCGCCACATCATCCGCGGCAGCTGGAAAGTCGACATCGGCCGCAGGCGAGCTGTCGTTAATCGACTTTGATGGAGATGCAGCAGCGAACGGTTCTGGTAACAATGCTGCCGGGTCGAGTTCGCAAGTTGGCGGTCTTGAGAACGATCTTCTTGGTCTCTCCCTAGGGGGTAGCAGTGACAGTTTCGGCCAAGGTGGCGGAATATCACTTGGCTTCGGGGCGAATCAGAGTATGTCAGATTTGGTTTCTGTTAGAATGAACAGTATCGCTGATCTTCATCTAGATGTTCCGGGGCCTGCCTTGCTGTCATCAGTAACCCAAAATAGCAGCGCAAGAGCGCCATCTCCTACCCCTCCACCGTTTTCTCCCTTTTCAGGATTCGCATCGAACCCCGCAGGATCCCAGTCGAACACTCCGCAACTAAATCTTTCCCAACAATCTTCTTTCTCCAGGCCACCCCAGAAGGCGCCCACCGCCAGCGATCCTTTCGCGGCTCTCGCTTCTCCCCAATTCTCATCTAAGCCAGCTACTCCCAAACCTGCAGCGCCTCCTGCGACAGCTGATGATGACGAATGGTCATTTTCTTCCGCGTTACCACCCGAACCTTCTCTTCCCAAAGAACTCCGAGTAAACGTTAAGGACGGCCCCTTGCAAATATACCTCAACGCAGCGAGGTCACGGACGCCAAACGCCCTTTCGTTAGTCTTCCTCTTCTCCAATACTACCGCCGCGCCTATAAGTAATCTTCACTTCCAACTGGCCGTAACAAAGGTGAGCTGGCTCCATTGCCCCTATCCCAATAAAAAAGTAACTAACAGCCGCAGGGCTTCGAGCTCCAACTCCAGCCGCAGACGGGCCGCGCCTTGCAGCCTAGGCAGACGGATGGCGTGTCACAGTCTGTCGAGGTGTTCCACGCGGGAGACCGGACTAAGAAGGTAGACAGCATCAAGCTCAGGTGGCGCGTTTCTTACACCCTGGGCGCTGAGAATAAGGCCGAGATGGGCGAGATACCCGAGTTTAGCATTGCGTGAGCTGGTGGCTATGATTTGACAACGATGAGGATAGATTAGGTAGGTGGTGATATAGGGGCAAGGAGGAGTGTGTGTAGGAAGAAGTGCAAATGCAAGTCGGAGTGGAATGGAAATAAATGCGGGGGTAATAGTAGATTCGAATGATCAATTCCGCGTTGACGCCCCTTCTACATATGATTCTACATTTTCCCCCCTACATGCTTGCTTAACTAGGTGAATCGTAAGGCGCGTGGAGCGTCGATCCGAGGCATTGGCTTTTAGAGACCTTACTGTTTTGCTGGTTTTATCTCTACACCATCGCCATCCTAGTTATATAGAAGAAGAGTATTGATGTCCGCCTAAGCATATTCTCTCTTCGTATCTATCTACCTAACTCACATCCCATTTCCTTCGCTTGATAAACAGCCGCCGAACTCTATATCAAACGGCTAGAAAAATGGTGTTTTACTTTAGAAGTATGTAAGGAAATTTCATGTTCATCAATCACAAGATTCGCTTATATCAAAGTCAATATCCCCCAGTACAAGAAGAATATGTATGCATACCAGGTAGGTAAGCAATTCTGCATTTCATCAAGGATATGTATTGGGGAGAGTTGACTAGGTAAACGACGATACCACATGTATATCTATATACATACCTACCTAGGTAAGCACCCGAGTACACAATGTCTAGATACATTACTCGGCCCAATAGAATACAACCGATGGGAAACGAGTACCGCCCCCAAGCCCCCATCATCCCTTGTCACCCTATCCATATGCTCATTTTTTCTACCGATATATATATATATGAACGTGACCAGCCCCCGATATGCAGTGCACCGTCCAGCTGTGTTCACATACACCCATATCATACAAGGCATCCCGTAGTTTACCTTCAGGTTAACCAGCTAGACAGTTAAATATCTCATGCAACCTCCCTCCAACCCTGAAAAGTCATCACTATAGCCGACCAGATTCGTCACCTATAAGCTGCGCTCAGTTCTAACCTCCTCGTAAGCCTGAATCAGATCGCCGACCTGGAAGTCTTGGAACTCTTCGAAGCCGATGCCACACTCGGTGCCCTTGCGCACCTCCGCCACGTCCTTCTTGACATGCTTTAGGGTTTCGAGTTTGCCTGCGAGGGGCGTTAGTACAAGAACTGAGAGGAAGGTATACATCCGCGCGGAAAGAACCGAAAGGAAAGGAGATGTTGAAGGAAATGGAATAAAAAATAAGAGGGCTCACCGTCATAGATCGTCTTCCCACCCCTGATAATACGGAAGAGATTATTCCTCGCCACCTGCCCGGTGCGCACCCTACACCCGGCAATATTCTTATACGTGCGGCCCTTAATATTAATCGGGAAGATTTGCAGCACCTCCGCCTCGCCTAGCACGCTGCTGGTGATCTCAGGCTCTAGATATTCACTTAGAGTGGCCTTGACGTCGTCCACCAAATGATAGATAACATTATGGTCCATGATCTTCACCCCTTTCCCCTCCGCCATCTGCTCGACGTATCCCGGCGTTGTCGTCGCGAAGTTAACAATCACCGAGTTCGACGCTGCCGCGTGCTCTACGTCGAACTCGCGGACAGGGCCCGTGCCTGACCTCAGGATGCGCGGTTGCACTTCGTGGTTACCTAACTCCTGTATCGCGGCGCATACTGCTTCCACGGAGCCGTGAAGATCGCCCTTAACTACGAAGTTGACCGTCTTCGGGCCGTTATCTTCTTCAGGTAAGGGCTCGACAACCGCTTCATCAGCCGCAGCAGCCTTCTCGCGAGCACGTTTTTCTTGGAGCGCTCTGCGGGCCTCGGATATGGCTGCCTGAGCAACAGCATCTTTCTCCCGCTCGAGAAGACCCTCGCGGTATTCTACCGCATCTTTAGCGCGGCCCTCATCAGGCGCCTGGATAACTTGGTCGCCGGCAGCAGGAAGATCTTTCCAGCCTAAAACTTCGACCGGAGTGCCAGGCGGCGCCTCGTCTATTTCAAGCCCAGCCTCGTTGCGCAGATGTCGGATCTTTGCCCATGTGACACCAGCTGCGATATAGTCACCGGGTCGCAGAGTACCTCGCTTAACAAGAACGGTAGCGGCTTTTCCTAAGGGCTTAAGGCTACTCTCGAGGACCCAACCTTCTGCGGGACCGTCGAGTTCGGCGCGATGGTCCAAGATTTCAGAGAGCGTAAGGATGTTTTCTTCCAAGTCTTCCATACCCTGACCCGTCTTGCCACTCACGCAGACAACTTGGACGTCTCCACCAAAGTCTTCAATCTCAACTCCTTCACGCGCAAGGTCATGCTTAACCTGATCTATACGGGCACCATCCGTATCAATTTTGCTTATAGCTACAATCATTGGCACCTTAGCCGCGCGTGCATGTTTAATAGCCTCAATAGTCTGCGGCTTAACGCTGTCATCCGCGGCTACGACCAAGACGACAATATCCGTCACATAGGCACCTCTTTGACGCATCGTAAGGAAAGCAGCGTGCCCGGGGGTGTCGAGGAAAGTGATAGGCATGCCGGAGGAGAGCTTCACAGAGAAGGCACCAATTCGCTGCGTGATACCGCCGTGCTCCTGAGCTGCTATAGATGATTTGCGAAGATAATCAAGTAAGGTTGTCTTTCCATGATCAACGTGACCCATAATTGTCACAACCGGCGGTCGTAGTGGCAGAACCGACGGATCTGCAGGTGGAGGGCGAGGTTTGAGGTCATGTTCCGCACCAGACTCGACTGTCGGCTCGTAGCCATACTCCTGCGCAACAAGTGCAGCCGTTTCTCCTGCCATAAGGCTGTCCAGTGTTACATCCTCGAAGCCTAACTCGCCAAGTTGAATTAAGAATAGATTAGGTTCCACTTTCAATGCCTCAGCCAATGCTGGGATGCTGATCAATTCTGGCAGCAAGATGGGCACCGCGCCGGCCCTTTCAGCTTCGCGTTCCGCTCTACGTTGTGCCTTTTGTCGACGTTTCTCTTGGTATTGGTCGTAGTCAAATCCTCCCTCGTCATCTCCATCGTCTCCGCGCCTAGAACTACGCCGTGAACGCCTATTACGACCTCCGCCTCTCTCCTCCTCATCAAACCGATCCGGTCGATTATCACGGCCACGGTTTCGATCCGGGCCCTGGAAGCCAACATCTATTTCAGGTGTAGCATATGGTTTTTTCTCTGCGTCTCCTTCGACTGAGGGTTCTTCCACCTTAGTTCTCCTTTTGGGTTTCGCATTATCAAACTCTTTGCCCCAATCGTCCAAATCGGATACTACTTCTTTTTTATCCGTGCTGCTCTGCATAGCAGCCCAAGGGTCCTTCTTGGGAGACTGTATCGAATTTAAGTCATTTTTGTCATCAAATGTTTTCGAAGCTTGCTCTGGAGCCGCGGGTTGTTCAGACTTAGGTCCTAGAAAGCCACCGGAACTCTTATTCATAATAGCCCAAAAGTCCTCACCATCAGATTTACTAGGTGTTTGCTTTCGCGCCAATAAGCCCCATCCCGAATTGATGTCCGGTTTAGGGGATGATTTAATAGTATTATCCGGAGTGGCTCGAGACGTCGGTTTTGGCGGCGGCTGTCGATCCTGCTCTGTACTAGGTGATTTCGACTCCTGACTCGTTGCCTGTACCGGCTCGGACCCATCATCGCGAGATAAAGATAGTATTCTCTGTAATGGCTGGCGACTAGGTGTGGTGGTCATTTGAGGCTTGTGCCATACTTTTCTTATTATGTTTCCTAGAGGTCCAGGATTTGACCCTCTATCCCCCTCCCTCCTGGAAGAATTTGACTCTGGCGAACGGGATGAATTAGGCCTTAAAGTGTTAGGGAAGTTGGGCTGAGCACTAGAGTTAGAAGCCGAGTTAGGCTGTAAAGGGGTCGATATAGTGCCTGAATTGAGCCCCAAAGACAAAAGACGCCTAGCCGGCCTTGCGCGATTCTCACTGGGCCTGGTGTCGCTTGTCCAAGAGGGAATTTTTTTTATAGTCACGCCATCTCTATTCAGGCTCTCCTCAATAGCTTCTTGCTTTTGTGCGTTCCATATAAATTTCGCTGAGGGGCCATTATTAGCTGGCTTCGGCTTCGGGGCTTCGGCAGCCTGCTGGGCTTTCTGTTTTGCAAGTAGCTGCTGGCGTGCTAGAAGTTCATGCGGGGAGAGAAAGTCATCCGGGTTAGACTGCGTTTGAGGCTTAACCTGGTTTCCCCATCCCGCACCCCATCCGTCATCGCCCCTTAAAATCGATGTGGTTGAAAAGAGTTTTTCGGTCCGCGGGGTCGCTGGCCGTAGCGAAAGGCGATGTCGACAGAAAGCGCATATTGAAGACTCCCGCTACATAACATATTAATTAGCTTAGTTACAACTAGACTCAAAGTAAATATGATTGGAATGAATCCAATGCGAATGAACTCACCCCTGATACTCTCGCTCTCAACATGGTGAAAGTGACTGCTTCATATCGCCATGCGACTTTTCGAAGCTAGAATAATCCTAGTCAAGGTTTATCGAGATAAAAAGTTCCGTATCGCGACGCACGTCAAATCGTCAAATCGGATACCAAAAACCTTTTAGTGGGACCAAAAGGATGAAGCCGCGGGGCCGTCAATGCCGAGACAAAACGGCGTCAAAATAAGTGCCTAACAAAAGGAATATTTTATAAAAGGTTCTTTCGGAATATATTGAACAGAACAATTACAAAAAATCATACTAATATAAAATGGGCTCTAAATTTCATTTTAATATAAGTCATAAAGATATTCTCGGGTATTTCGCTGAGTTATGTGGATAGGAGAGTGAGACTGGTGGTATGTTAGTACTTACAAAATCGGCACTTATTTTGACGCTGTTCTGTGAGACAACGGATCTATCAGCCACGATAAATGCAGGGGCAAGGGCCAGCAGGGGTAGCTTCAGCCACAATCCCTGTCATCTCAAGTTTTTGACAACTTTCATCCCCTATCTATCCTGTCCTTCATTTTAATCGTTAACTCGATTTTTCTATTCTTCTACATTTTTCAATACCATGGCTCGCCAAAGAGGTTCGGTGAAGTCCCCTTCCACTAAGAAGAAGGATACCGGCCCGCCGGCCCCCTTTAAGAGGCCCCCTGAGGTCCTGCAGCCTTTCATCGAGACGCTTGATGAGAAGTGCGTATATATCACACACATCGACAGCCACCAGCGGGACTTCAAGCGCAAGATCTTTATTGTCCCCGTGCTCATGAACATTGCCCTAACAGCCGCCCTGCTATATCGTATATGGTATATTGCGCCTTACTACCTACGGATCTTCGTCTCTATTCTAGGTTATTTCAATGAGACCACCATGGTTGTCGATGAGATGGAGTGGAACGAGATCATCCCCGAGGTCGCCAAGCGCGCCTTCTCTTTCATGCTGGACTTTCTGCTTTTCGTTTTTGTCTGGTCCTGGCCTATCGATTTTGTCATAGGTAACGAGCATGGAAGCCCTGTCATGTGGCGGTGGAACGTGGGGTTCAGAAACCAAGAGGTTGTCGTGCGAAGGAGTAGGAAGTGGGTCGAAGCTGCTGGCGACTTAGTCAACGATGAAGGGGCGAGAAGCCTCTTTATGTCGCGTATCAGTATAGCGACAGAACCCATGCTTATCAACGAAAAGACGGGCTATCTTCTTATGACTGCTGACTGGGACCTGGACTGGGCCGCCATGGTTGACGCTACTATGATGGTGGACGAGAAGATGGCCGCAATTGAAGCATTTAAGACAGTCATCCTGCTTTTCCACGAGGATTACGGATGGCTCTCTGTGGACACGGCAGTTGGTGAGAATGACGAGGGAGACGATAGGAGACGTCAGGTTTTCGCATTCCGAGATGCTCTTGCTGCTGTTGGCAAGGAAGCTCTATTTTATCGCTGGATCGAGATAATACAATTTGAATCAACAAGGCCTGGTGGTTTCACGCCAGATAGACAGGAAAAAACTGCGCAAGAAATCAGAGATTTGTTCATCAAGGAGGGCATCGACTTTGATAAATTCTGGGAGGAGAGTGTGGGCCAGAGTGGTCCAGCTACTCCCGGGATGTAATTGATATAGATAGAAATGTAGACGGGAGGGTTTAGAATAGATATATATACTACTATGCACATTATGCAGGTATTCGGTTTAGTTTAAGATCTGCCAATAAGTTCATCAATGCCAATTGATTTATTATTAAATTGCTAGCCTATGTACCGCATCACGGGGGAGACTGAGACTGGTTTGGCCGCATAATCCTGCAACATATGAAAATGAAAAACATTAATGCCCATCGGGCTAAACATGGCGCAAGTGAGTTTCACAAAGCAAGTAGACTCGACATGCCAGGGGAAACAGCCAGCATAATAGATCAGATCATTCACAACTGCGGACACACGACAAGTATCAGAGACAGTAACCTGCAAGGCAACGCAAGAGTGTTTGATTGATATGCAATATGAAGTGGCCCAAATGATTCAAGGCCATGCAGACTACGCCAACCACAGTTGATCGTGGATGGTCTTGTTCATTTAGTTGACTTTTTCTTTCCTCCAGCACTCTTACCCAAGGCAGCCTCGCGTTTCTTTGCTTCCTTAGCCTCAATTTCAGTTCTTCGGGCCTTTTCTTGTGCCTCTCTCTCTTCCTTCTCAGCCTAGATTCACATGTTAGTAGACTATAATTGCTTGTGTTAAACAATAATGATTACGAACCTGCTTTCTCGCAGCCTCGGCTTCTCGCTTCTCTCGGATCAGTCGTAAACGGGCCAGGTCAGCCTTGGCCTCGTCCGTCTTGCCAGCCTCGTGGAGTTTGCGGTACTTCTCCTTGGCTTGTTGGGCTTCTAGGGATTCTCGCTCCTTTCGGCTCATGGTTGTCAAGTTCTTGACACCCTCGGTAGCCTCTTCGACATCATTGTTTGATAAAGGGGCCTTGGTCATGTTTCGTGCAGCCTTGGAGTGGTTCGGGTTGGCAGGCATGTCGTCATCTTCCTCTTCCTCTTCGGAATCAGTGGGCAGATCGCCGACTTGAACAGTCTTGTTCTTCCTGGCAATAGCTGCCTCCTTCTGGGCCTTCTTAGCCTGTTTGCGCTCCTCTCGAGTTAACTCGGCCGTCTGTTGGGAAGGACCAGCATTATCATCGTCCTCTGAGTCTTCCTCTTCGGAGCTCTCATCCTCATCGTCGTCGTCTTCATCCCCTTTGGCATTTTCACTCCACATGCTGATCTCATTACCATCCGCGTCAAGGGGTCGGAGGTCACGAGAGAAATGCTTTCCGCCTGAAGAAAGGAAGATTAGTAACGGAGAGCTTATTAAAGAGAAAGGGAATTTTAATAGAGACATACCTCCTCGAGTGAACTTCCTGAACTTGCCTCCACGGCCACGAGAATTGCCGCCAGGTGCTCCACGTCCAGACATGATGACGGAGGTGAAGGATGGTGATAAAAGTGACGATTAGTGGGATGGCGGGGTAGATAAACCAGAATCGCGACTGGAAATAAAAACTGTACGGCGCAAGGCAGTCCAAGTCAATTCGAATACGGAATTAGAAGGATCCAAGGTTTTGGGCCTATTGTTCGCGAAACGTGAATAAATAGAAACAAGGAAAGCAAAAGAACGGGTTTAAAATAAAATAAGTTGTCGAGGTGAGTAAAAAGGTGTACCTGAGTCAAACGGCGTTGTTTGAAGAGGGGCAAAAAAACCACACGACAGGTGGTACTCCAACACAACGCGATAAAGCCTGGCTCTTGCCGTTACAGTTCACTATTAGCGCCGTTATTGTACTGCAGTCACTATTGCACAGGGGAGTCAAAGTCCCTAAGAAAAGGGCCTGAATGGCGGGGTAGGTAAGCTGTTAGCACGCCATGTATATTGACCGTCAATTATAAAGCCATTGATTGGCCAGTGTCCAATTAGCTTTAGATACCAGCACATGGCTAGCATGTACCTAGGTAGGTAAGCAAGTTACCCTCACGTTTATTCGACAAGATCAAATCCAATCAAAGACATCAAAATCAATGGAAAAATGTTATACCGCTAAGACGCAGACCCTAGCGTCTAGCCCCACTTTGCCAACCCAATAAAAAATGAAATTTCTTGCAGCAGCCTTTTCTTCTTTTTTCCTTTTTCTTTTCCTCATCATAAAACTACAATCCTTCATATTCACTCTGGCTTTCGTCGCTCTTCGGAGCTTTTCAATGGCAGGTCTTGGAGGGGAAATTGGAGGAGAGAGGAAATTACCTTCGATCACTTACCCTCTGGCCCGTTGTGGTTCCTTTGGAGCTGCTGTTAGGTACTGGAGAAATCATTGCATCGATACACGCATCTATATAATATAATATACAGGTACCCAGATAGGTTAAAAGCTTTATAGCATTTGTGATAGTTCACAACTCGTAATGAGATAAGCAGACCATGTTTAAGAGGTATATTTAAGTACCTAGGTAGTCATATCATTAGGAGTCTTAACTCCGGCGGGGAGCTCACCTCATAAACCCACTGTAGGTGTACATAGGTAACTACTCGAGATCGGCAATCAGACCGGGGTTCGCTACATACCTATGAGGTATCTACACTTCTACGAACATATTCGTCAAATTTTATGTATATATCGAGAAATGGGTTATCTTAGGGGTCACATGGTAGCCATCAAGTACGTAACATTTCCGGCCAAGTCCGATAAGTCTTGCGTTCATGCGTTCATGCGATGCGGAGTTTCGCGAATAGATTGGAGACCCGATTTCTGAATTCTTATGCCGTTGGATGTGTACTTGAATCTCGGATCGCCCGATAATCTAGATTGACAAGGCATCGTTTCCAGAATGGCGCAAACTTATCTCATGTGGGTTGCTGGGAACGAAGAGGTTGGCGAAGGGGAACTGTAAGTTGGCATCGCGCAGTAATTTTCTTGTTAGAGCGTATATTTTGTTGATGAACACAATAGATTACCAGTGGAAGACCCCGCCACTGGAGAGACCTTTGCGTTGTGAGTCTATCCATACGTGCCAATAGCTATGTATAACCTAATGGAGCTCTTTTATTTTTGACCAGTTGTCATACGGCATCCGCGTCAGATGTTGAACGCACTATTGCTCGTGCTGAGGCGGCCTTTCAGTCAGGCGTTTGGTCTAGATCCTCGCGTCACTACCGCGCTGACATCCTAGACAAATCTGCGGCGCTCCTCACAGCGTCGTTACCAAGCCTCATCGCGCTCGAGGTGCGACAGACTGGCCGCGCGATTCGCGAGATGAACGCCCAAGTTCCTTCACTGGTGCGCTGGTTTAAGTACTATGCTTCGCTTCTGCGTGTAGAGGAACAGCCTGTCTTACCAACAACGGGGAAGCTGCACAATTTCCTCCAACGTGTGCCGCTTGGTGTCGTTGTTCAGATCACTCCTTTTAACCATCCATTGCTTATTGCCGTAAAGAAGCTCGCACCCGCACTTGCCGCTGGAAATAGCATTATCCTAAAGCCGAGCGAGTTAACGCCATTATCGGCACTACTACTTGGTCGGATCTTGAAAGAAGCGGGTGTCCCCGATGGCGTTTTTAACGTTTTGCCCGGATACGGTGCCACGACCGGAAAGGCGCTCGTACAGCATCCCCTAGTAAAAAAAGTAGACGTTACAGGGGGAACAATAGCAGGGAGGGCAATCGGTGGAATCGTAGGCGGAAATCTAGCGAGATATACCGCAGAACTTGGGGGCAAGGCGCCGTTGATTGTATTTGATACGGCAGATGTTCAGGTTGCTGTTAATGGGATTGCATTTGGTAGTTTTATTGCCAGCGGTCAAACTTGCATTGCGAGTACGAGGATTATCGTGGACAATAAAATTTTGCCGCAGCTGCTAGAGAAGCTAAAGCTCAAGACGAATTCAATCCTGCAACGAATGGGTGCCCCTGACAACCTGGAGTCTACTATGGGTCCTTTGATCTCGGCAAAACAACTCAACCGCGTCGAGATGTTAGTTGACGACGCCGTGAATAGTGGCAAGGCAAAGGCAGTAGCAGGAGGAAGTAGGATGCATGGTTTTAGCCCCCTAGACGGGACCGACTTCTCTAAGGGTTACTTCTATGAGCCTACGATTCTTGTTTCGGGCGAGGAGGATAGCATCCTCGGGACACGCATTTGGCGCGAGGAGGCTTTTGGTCCTGTAATCGTGGTCGTGGGCTTTGATACGGAAAGTCAGGCCGTTAAACTGGCTAATGACAGCGAATTCGGCCTCGGAGCCGGAATCTGGACCTCAGACCTAGCGCAGGCTTTCCGAGTTTCAGAGCAACTCAACGCCGGTATCACCTGGGTAAACACACATCATCGAAATGATCCAAGTAGTCCGTGGGGTGGTGCTAAGCCATCGAGTGGTGTTGGAAGCGAAAACGGTATAGATGCTTATAATGCATACACAGCTATAAAGAGTACGATTATCAACTACGCTTCAACCGAGGAGTCACTCGTTACAGACGATTGGTTCAGCGACGGGACAGGGCCTATAAGATATGGCTGAATCTCGCAATAGACTAGGTACATATGCTAGGTGATGTTCGCTATGACACGAATATCCTTCACGCAATGAAGTTTCTTAACCACTCATACCCTTTACTACTGTTGAGTTTCAATATAGTAAGGGTAGGATGGATGCATCTACCATGACTACGATAGTAGCATCGTTATTATAGTATGATCTTCCGGCTTGAGGTGGATCGTAATAACGGCAAAGCTGGGTACCTTAGATACTCAGGACTCAAAAGAAACCGTCCCACTCCATACCAGAAAATCCCATGGACCAAAATTCGTTGACTTCACCAAGCCCCTCATCGCCTAAGTTTGGAAGGGTGTCCCAGGTAGTGGTCTCCGTACCAGCCATCACCCCGAGAATAGACTTAGCCTCGGCTAAGGCTACCCTCCCTTTAGCATCCATGGCTGGTTCAGGCGGGATGCCTTCCATTGCGGCTTCGATTCCAGCAAGTAACACGGTTATATAGACGATATCTTTAACATTATGATGACCAGCTTGGATGCGTTGTTTCGTCCATTTAGTTCCTTCTCGGAGCCACGTCAGCAGCTCGATATTGCGAAATTTGCTCCCATTTTGTTTTTGTTTGAAGGAGACTACACCAGTCCACGGAGATGTATCATGTGCTTCGTGCAGCGTCGCGGCTAGCTCCACGGCAATGATCATGACGGCCTGCCAGGGCACAGACCTAAATAGGGCCGAGCCGCAGATAAGCAGACGCTCATAGTCGCAGCAGTAGCTCTCGAAAGGGAGTATGTTATGCATCGCTATTAGAACAGGGTCATGACGCGAGGACGAGAGCGGAAAGAATGAGTGTGTCAATCTTAAAGCGGTGTCAATACAGATGGTTCGTGAGAAGTGGAACTGTGCAGGGTCTTTTAGAGCACGGGGAAGATAATGCAAATGAAGAGAAAATATATAACGGCTGAATATTAATTCGAAGTATCGCATTTGGAACGTTGTAGGTTGCGGATTCAAAGCATGTAGGTATTTCATTAAAGATCGGTATTCAGTCATCAAACCCGAGCCAATTCTTAATGTCTCACGATAGGAGCTATCAACCTTTATACCGTTCGAATATTTCGCAACCGAGAGTCGCATAGCAAAGGTCTGGCCTAAGCATATTTGAAGTGAGGAGTCGGTAAGTTCGGCCATATCATGGGAGGTGGGTTTGCTATCTTCGCCGAGATCTCCTAGCTCAGCATCGTTCAGGTTTAGGGGTAAAGAACAGTCATAGTCATCAGACGAGAACATCGGAGGTCCCGCAGCATCTACGCTAGATTCTAAAACCAGCTCGATAATTGTTGTCCATAGGCGCCGTCGCATTTCAACTTCAAAAACGGGCATTGTTGGTAATCTCGTTGGATCGCGATGTAAACCGACAGACATTGCGGCCCGAACTAAGGCGCCAGAAAAGGCCCAGACTTGGTTTTCTCGAAGGAATTGGGCCGTCTGCCGAGCCAGATGCAAGAGACACATTATTTGAATATCAAATACCGTCATTCGAAGTTTCCCCGGAGATTCAAGCCAGTTTTCGGCCTCGCGTATCCATTGATGCGCGTGAGGCCGAAGTGAGAAGACGTCGTCGTAGAAGCAAGCGCCGACAGCAAAACAAAGCTGTAATAAAACCACCTGCGCCGGGCTCGCTAGGCCGGGACTTTCCCATAGGGTATCATAAATACGCTTAGTAGTAGGGATGTGAATGATTCGATATATCGTCTCGAAAGTGCGTAGATACGCACCAAATAGAGCGTCTGCTATTCCCTTGGCTGGTAAATACGTCCCATAACGGCCCGGAGTCCACGAGAGGAGTCGTTTAGCTTTGATAGACCTTGCTAGCAATTTGCAAGTCATCATTTCTTGCCATATCTTCCCTTGTTTTCTCATCTGTTCATCAAGCCAATCTAATGCATGTGGTGACTACTAGCGAGGTTAATATAATGACTTTGAACCTATCTTGGATTTACTATCATACCAATGTCAATGAGAACATCCAATGAGTGGGAGATATGTAGCGTTTTTTGACTACCATGCCTCTTATTGGATAACTGTCTAAACACGTGGGGAGGTTGGGATGTGAGTGAAGGTCTCCAGTACTCGACCGTCCGCTATCACGCAGAGGAGTACCGCTCCCCGGCAGACAGGACGTGGCATCGAAATCAAGCCTGCTACCGGGAGGGATAGAGACCAAAACCGATCCCAACGCGCCTGAATGCCACACCTCACGACGAGTTGACTCGGTTTCTTCTGAACTTTGCCCCTCCTCTTTGCCGTTCGGTAAGTTTGGAGGGGACTTTCTAGTAGTCTCATCATCTCTAGAACCAACTTGCGTAGAGATAATGGCGGTAGAACCGTCCTTTGGACTTGGATAAGAGCATAGTTTACTCCTCGAACGCATGCAATTACTGCAGGGGTGTTGGTGGTCGCAACGGAGCTTTTTTTTCCGACAAGGTAAACAAGCGAGCGCTCTCCCGGGACGCGGATTTACTCGGGGAGTTTCATAATCCATACTTTAGATGTACTAGAAAGGCTACTCATGAGTTAGACTTGATGGACAATTAACCTAGAGTGATGTTGACACGAGTCAAAGGGGAACCAGCCCTTCGCCCATCCACATTTCGCTTGGATCCACACCAAAATCCGAGACGGACTCCGATCCCGATCCCGTGTTTCGTTCCGGAAAGATTACATATCATCTTTCGCCTTGAGCATTCTACCAGTATCCTTCAAATATCGATCGGATATAGTATTTATAAATTGTTAAGAAATACACTAATCTTATATGAATATAATGGCGATGAGACGTATTCGGATAACCCTACCACACGGATTGCTTGCGATTGCTTTCCATGTGGGTACTATCGTACGAATGCCATGGTGGCCGTGCGTGCTATCAATTAGCTGTGCTATATGAGGTTTAGAAACAGGCGGAGGAACTACAGTCCGACGACACGGGGCCGGCAGCCGTATAAACTAACCCGGCCTCTGGATCATAAAGAAAGTAGCCGCGTTTCAACGATATATAACACTTTCTAGGTGGAATATAAAACGCTAGAAGTATTACTGAAAAATCATACACCAGTATCATTGGAATAGACATTGCGAATCAATCTATAAATTTTAATATTCACCATCTACCATCTACTCCCGAATCAAGTGTCACCTATCGTCAGACTATGGCGACTAAATCTACAGTCCCAATCCCTGAGCCACCGCAACTCCCGTTCTTTGGGTATGTTACCGGCGTCGACCCTGAAAATACTCTCATATCGTTTGCTAGAATTTCGGAGAAGTATGGCGAGATCTTCCGAGCACGCGTGCCAGGAGCTAGCCTAGTATTTCTAAGCACACATGCATTGGTTGATGAGGTTTGCGATGAAAAGAGGTTTCAGAAGAAGCCCAATGATGTTTTAACACAACTCAGGGCAGGTCTTCACGACGGATTGTTTACGGCAACAAACGATGAGCCGAACTGGGGCATCGCCCATCGTGTTTTAATGCCAGCTTTTGGACCGAAAGGTATCCGCGACATGTTCGACGAGATGAAAGACATAGGTTCACAGCTTGCCTTGAAATGGGCCAGACACGGGCCATATGCAAGAATCAACGCACCCCAAGACTTCACACGCCTTACTCTCGACACAATCGCCCTTTGCTCTATGGGATTCCGATTCAATAGCTTCTACTCCGAGAATTTACACCCGTTCGTCAACTCCATGACGGAATTCCTTCTAGAGAGCGGACGCAGGTCCCAGCGACTACCGCTTCCTTCCTTCATTTATCGGACACAAGACAAGATATACGAATCCCATATTGCCGTCCTCGCCGAGACAGCCCAGGCCGTCTTAGACGAGCGCCTTGCGGATCCCGGGAACGAGCGGAAAGACCTGCTCTCAGCTATGCTTAAAGGACGAGACTCACTTAGTGGACAGAAAATGAGTGATGCTTCCATTATCAATAACCTGATCACATTTCTGGTTGCTGGGCACGAAACTACATCTGGGATGTTGTCATACGCTATGGTAAGTCTAGATTAATCCTGCATTTGTTGCTATCAATCAGTTCTTCCCCCGCTGGGTGAGTGATTCGTACTTGTCATAAGGTATCGGTTACTCACCTAAGATTAAAATGAATGATCAATACACTACCGATTCGAGCATCTGCTATACCTACTCGGATTTCATACTAACATTATGTGCTACATGTTATAGTATAGATTATTGAAGAACCCAGATACTTACCGCAAGGTGCAACAAGAAGTTGATCAAGTTATCGGCAAAGGTCCTGTGACGGTACAGCACATGCAAAAACTCCCATATATCACAGCAGTACGCTACACTCCCCACGAAAATTTGAACACGTAAGGCTTATAAAAATAGGTTCTCCGCGAAGCACTACGCTTAGATTCGCCAATCCCGATATTCTCAATAAGCCCCGTAGAGGATACATTGCTTGCTGGAAAATACCAAGTCCACAAAGGAGAATTTATCCAATGTCTTCTCAGCAAAGCACATCTCGATCCAACAGTGTTCGAAGATCCTATGGCCTTCAAACCAGAAAGGATGCTTGACGAGAACTTCAGTAAATTACCAAAGAATGCGTGGAAACCATTTGGTAACGGTGCTAGAGCCGTAAGAAACCCATCAAGCTTTTACCCCTTTTTTCTTTTCTCACTTTAAAGAGGTCTAGTGACAGCTAGCACTAACGAACAAGAACGATAGTGTATTGGTCGACCATTCGCGATGCAGGAGGCCATCCTTACTATGGCTATCCTCTTCCAGAATTTCAACTTCGTCCTAGCAGATGCAGACTATGAGTTGCGAAATAAACAGACTCTGACCATCAAACCCGATAATTTCTTCATACGAGCCATATTACGCGACAACTTAGATCCCGTTAAGCTTGAGCATCGACTTTCCGGGATCGCATCAGTGTCGGACAAGCCGAAGACAAGTACAAATGGCCTAGAACATAAGCATACGGGTCATGATCAGCAGCCCATTGCTATCCTGTACGGCTCCAACAGCGGCACTTGCGAGTCAATGGCTCAGCGGTTAGCTTTTGATGCTGCTTCCTATGGGTATAGAGTATCTACTCTGGACTGTATGGATGCTGCAGTAGAAAAGCTCCCAGAGAATCAGCCCATTATCTTTATAACAGCAAGTTATGAAGGACAACCTCCAGATAATGCGGCCCAATTTGTTTCTTGGATTGACGGCATCAAAGACAAGTCAGCTCTCCGCGGATCATCATACGCAGTCTTTGGATGTGGCCATCACGATTGGTCTCAGACATTCCACCGAATTCCTATACTCATAAATACAAGACTGGAAGACCTCGGTGCAACGAATATTGCGGAACTGGGCCTTGCGGATGTGGCCCGGGAAGATCCATTTGTTGCTTTTGAGACATGGGAAGATAATGTAAGCGTTCTGTCTAAACCACCATCCGGACCTGTTGAAAGCAGATACCGCTTATTCATAACTGATTTATTTTATGCTGACTTACGCAGGTGCTCTGGCCAGCCCTAAATATGTTGAGTGCCAGCAAGGGATCGGACGGGCGGCCGGGAATACACCATGCATCATTGACAGTGGATGTATCCAATACGCGCCCATCTATACTTAAACAGAGTGTAGAAGAGGGGCGTATACTCGCGGCCAAATTTCTAACTGCAGACGGCGAACCTGCAAAGAAACATGTGGAAATCCAGCTCCCGGCCGGCGTGACCTATATGCCTGGGGACTACTTGTCCGTCCTACCTATTAACCCCAAGGAAACGGTCCAAAGAGCCATGCGTAGACTTGGATTGCCGGTAACGTGGCCATTTTCTTTTGATATATACTACTAAATACGTCTTGCTTTCGACAAAGTCCTCGGAATCTCATCCCTTAAGTATTTACTAATCGTGTTCACCCTTCTATAGTGGGATACAAGCATCAGAATCTCGGGTACCGGTATAAGGCTACCTACCAACGAACTAGTACCTGCTAGTAGTATATTGAGCGACTTCGTAGAGCTCGCCCAGCCAGCCACCAAACGGAATATCCTCGCGTTGGCTGATGCAACCGATAGCGAGGACGACCGTAAAGTGCTGAAGAACTTAACCACCGAAAACTACGACGCGGAAGTACTTGCAAAGAGAGCATCGGTATTAGACTTACTAGAAATGTTTCCCTCTGTCAACTTAGGTCTGGGATCCTTTCTGGCGATGCTCCCACCGATGCGTCTTCGCCAATAGTAGGTTCTCTCCACTTCGTCTCAAGAAAAGGATGTAAAATAACAATAAAACCCAGCTCTATCTCGTCGTCGCCCCTAGAGGACCCTCTAAAGGTCTCTATTACTTTCTCTTTGGTCTCGGGACGCGCCAAATCTGGCCGAGGAAACTACATAGGCGTCGCGAGCTCCTACCTGGGAGGCCTTGAAACTAACGATAGACTCCGCGTGTCTGTGCGGCCGTCTCATATGGCTTTTCATCTGCCAGATACTCCGGAGAAGACGCCACTGATTCTCGTTGCAGCGGGAAGCGGCATAGCGCCTTTCCGTGGCTTCATTCAACATCGTGCTGTGATGATCAGATCAGGCCGTAAACTAGCCCCAGCTGTACTATATCATGGTTGTCGGGAACCGGGTAAGGATGACTTGTATTCCGCAGAGTTTACCGAGTGGGAAAAGGCTGGAGCTGTTATAATTAAGCGAGCGTTTAGTCGAACACCGGAGGAGTCGGGCGGATCCAAGTATGTGCAAGACATCGTATGGGCGGATCGACTCGGTTTTCTCCAATTGTGGCAAGAGGGTGCACAGCTCTACATTTGTGGCTCGCGGAAGGTCAGCCAGGGGGTTGAAAAGGTCATCAAAGATATACGCCAAGAAGAATCGAAGATAAAGGGCGAGTACCTGAGCGACGAGGACGCGAAAATATGGTGGGATGAGTTGAGAAATGTACGATACGCCACCGACGTGTTTGACTAAAGGGGGGTTACCACACTGTGCTAATGAGGCGTGAATCCGTCAAAAGCATTAGTACGCTCAGTTCGATGGAAGGTACCTACTATTAGATTGAAACCAGGTATATAGGTATATATAGATAGGTAGGTATGTATAATTTAATCATATCAAAAAAGATTACCAGTTTTCGGGTGAAGGTCCTGAAATAGTAATGGGCCGGGTGCCTAAACCGGACGCGTTTGCTCTGGACTGAAATGGCGTACTACGCTTATAAGACTCACCGACAAAGGGTTTAGAGCCTATTTTTGAAGGAGGAATCTTGTAGCGAATCTCGCCTTATAATACATCCCGTCAATACGGGCCGGTAGGGAGACGTTGACGAACAAACTGACGTTATTTCGCAACTTAGGATCGTAAAATTACAAGCGGAGTTACGTTTCTTCGGTATAGCACAATTATTCTCTTACTCGCGAGCAGAAGTGCACGTCTTACCACGCAACAAAGAAGCACGGATTCGAGAACCCCGCACATGTGAGCCCGTAGCTCATATCCCCTCACTCGAGACCAACTATGAACATGCGCCGGACCAGTGCCATTTTTCTTCATGACGAAAACGGGGAGATTAAAGGACAGTCGTATTTCTAATCTCCAAATACGTGTGATTAGGCTCAAACAGTAAACCATCTACGTGGGACAGGACGCTGGGACAAAACGGCAGGGATTATCGCTCGACGATCGCGAAACGCCTTCCACTTCCAATTCCTAATTAATATAGTCTTCTACAAGCATTTGGCTCCTTGACTTGCTTATTTAGAATATGGTTGTCTCGAATTCATTGGATAGATTACGCTGCTTGACTATAACGTAACTACGATATAAGACATAACGCTATTCTAGAGTGAAAATCGTGAAAATCTAACATTTATATATCAGAGGTACCTACTTAAGTTAAGGCGCTTCTGTCCAAAGTTATTCGGGTCTTAGGATCAGTAAAAACTATAAAAACCATTAAATTTTGACATTCAAGGCGTTTCGACTTTCTTGGGTTGCGATGATGGTATCCGTTGCTGGCATGCATGCACATGCGAGTTTGAGGCATGTCATGTTATCTGGTTTTGTTGCCTCTTTATATTTTGCGTCCGCGTCACCAGTATCAGCGGCCGCCGTCATAAGTCACCGGGACACAGCTGTCTCCGTAAACGACTGGGACCCCGTGCTTCAGGAAATTGAAGGCGCACAATGCGCCGACCTTGCGGTAATTTTCGCCCGCGGCACCTTTGATAAAGGGTAAGGGAATTAAGTCTTCGCTTGGGTCTGAGATGTGCTAATAAACTCAACTTGTAGAAACCTAGGACCCTGGGTTGGTGGTCCGTTCCGTGATGCCTTAGTTAGTGGGTCGACGGGCATCGATCTGGCAATCCAAGGCGTCAATACTGATAACTACCCGGCCGATTTGTCTGGTTACATTGAAGAAGGAGGGTCAAGCAGTTGCGCTACGAGCATCGGAGAGAGCGTACAGAAATACGTCTCGTATTGTCCGGATGTTAAAATTGCCATTTGGGGATGGAGGTAAGTCAAACTTATTAAATCCGTCTTTCTTCGAAACTAGCTATCGTTGCGAGACCCGGACTAATACGTTTGATAATAGCCAAGGCGCGCAGTGCGCACACAAAGCGTTAGATGAACTAGGCAGTGCAGTTACAAATGTTATCGCGTTGGGGGTATTCGGCGACCCGATAAGCGTTTGGCAAGACAGCGTAGATTACCCTGCGATACCAGAAGGCATCACGCTTCTATCGTATTGCGAAAAGACAACTCCGGACCCTCTTTGTACTGATCCGATGGAAGACTTTCCACAGAATCCCAAGGCGTTTATCGACAGGCTCAAGACTATCTGGGAAGAGGTAGATACGACGCACATGAACGATGCCCAGAAAGAAGCTGTTGGGGAGCTTCTAGTTGAGCTCCCTAAACAAGCCATAAAAGAACTCGGCCAGCTCGCGACGGATATCTCCCAAGGTCACCTACGACGCTGGATGCTGAGTCCGCAACATTTTTGGTACGGCATTGACGGGAAGGTTAAGACAGCCGTAGACGACCTTCTTCGTGTATATAATAGTCAAAAGTAGCCGAGGACTAAAGGAATATCAGAAATTAGGTATAGGTAATGTGAACTTTCATCGTTTAGTACGTGTAAGCCCCAACTCACCAAAACTTGGTTCTGCGCATGTGTCTTAGTTATTATCGATAACGATATGAAGTACCGATATATAACTCATTGGCCTGGCTTTTTAGTAAGCCTCCGTTTCTCTCCACATGCTCATCTGCAGATTGGACTTTGGATCAACTTACAACATCGTACAAGTACTTAACGCACATCCCCAATAAATGAACCTGCAAAGTTCAGTTTCGTAACGAGACGTCAAAAATATATTGTTGCGTCCAGGCTCTCGTGATGAAAGCTGTGATCGCTATCCCTGCGACGCTCGCCCTCGTTTACCGGGCGTATTCGCACAAGTCGCTTACGCCGCTCGGCATCTTGACTGCTGCGCTGACCGCTGCCGCCCATGCTGTTCACCCTTGGAATTTACCTTTCGTGCTTCTCTGCGTCTTTTTTCTAGCCGGGACTCGTGTCACCAAGATAAAGGCAAATGTCAAATCAGGCCTTACGTTGCACTCGCGGGGAAGTGCTGGCGGCGAGGGCCCAAGAACGCACGTCCAAGTGCTCGCAAATTCTCTAATGGCCTCTATCTTGACCCTTATGCACGCCTACCAGCTCCGCGCGCGGCGAGATACGGTAGTTACCCGTGGGGAGATTCCGGAGGGCTCATTCTGCTATAAATGGGGCGGAGATATATTAGTTCTCGGCATAATCGCCAATTATGCCGCCGTTTGCGCCGATACTTTCTCCTCCGAACTGGGCATCTTATCGCGCAGCTCCCCAAGATTGATCACGTCTTTCTCACTGCGAAAGGTTCCTCCTGGCACAAACGGAGGTGTCACATTATGGGGATCAGTCGCTGGCCTCTTAGGGTCCATGATCATCGTCGCTACAGCTCTAATGTTTCTTCCCTTTTGCGGCGAGGATACAAAGGGTAAGGTTGGCGGCGGCGAGAGCTGGACTACTGGCCAGAAAGCTACGCTGGCTTGGGCATTAAGCCTATGGGGTGCGCTGGGCAGTCTGTTGGATAGCTTTCTTGGAGGTTGGTTCCAGAGGAGCGTCCGAGACGTGCGTTCGGGAAAAATTGTCGAGGGCGAAGGCGGACTTCGCGTCTTGACGTCTCCATCGGATGCCGAACCTCATGCTCGCCAGGATACCGAACAGAACGTTACTACTAATATTAAGGCGAGCATACTTCATGGAGAAGGGGGTGACGCCGTCGAGAGCCGATTGGTCCCTCCTGAAGCCAGCGTAGACGACTTATCAAAGGATCCTTACGACCCAAAAGATAGACATCGGGGTTCTCATTTTGGCGACCGGAAGCCCACCCGAGTGGCTGAAAGCGGATTTGATTTGCTAGATAATAATGACGTTAACTTCTTAATGGCCTTTACAATGAGTGTCGGTGCAATCGTGCTCGCTGGTTGGTATTGGCAGGTACCTCTGGACGATATCCTGAAGTCCTGAATGCACAGGAAAAGAGAGAGTTTCTTGATGGTGGATTTACGTTGGCTAATAGTTGAATTCGTTCCAGACTAGGTACCTAATCAATTCTCATTTTGACATGAATATGACGATGCCACGTATTTATCCACATCATTGCAAGGCCATAAAAGTCTCCAGTAACTTTGGATAGTTTGGTGTCCCCGACCCACTCGTTGGATCCTACCCTTTTACAGCATTGAAACCTTCTATATCGCACATGGAGTTGTCGCCAGTTACAAGGTCATCGAACATTCCAGGATTAGCATAGAGGACGGGATTGACAAATCCCACAGTCGACTTGCCGACTGCAAGCCTCTCCTCGTTGATGCGGTTAAATATGGCGCCGACCAACGGAGTAGCGGCCGAGGTGCCATCGGCGACATCGAGCTCGCCTAGCACGGCAACAGCAACATTTTTATCAAGGGCCGAGATATCGGGGAGCCCACTACCAGAACTATTGTACATACTTGAGCGACCCGGGTTGTGTTCTGCGAAGTAGGCAGAAACGACAGATTATTGGTACGCTGGTGTTGGATAATACCACGAGAATCCGCCGGAGGAGGCCCAATTGGTATCTTTGGCCACGGTCTGGCTCCTATTTGACAGCAACATCGTGGCGCCGACTGATGTGACGTATGGACAACTATTCACTAAATTAGTCTCTAAGTCTCTTCAAGTAAATCAAGAAACCATGACTATGCATACCTTCCCGGATGAGAAGCGTAAAATGTACCAAAGTTAGACGGCATACATTGGCGGGTCGCAAGAGGGCCGCTATTTCCGGCTGAGCCTACGACGGTGACGCCTTGGAGGCCCAGTTTCATCCACCTACATACCACAGTTAGTTCCTTCTTTTGGCAAGTTGGGTGTGCCTTGAATGGCTGGCTCATTGCACTGCCGCATTTGGTAGTTGGTACTATAAGTTGACTCTGCTCTCGAATACGATATTGAGATGACGTGTGTCGGTTTGTATGTACCGCACATGTTGGGGTGTGCCTTATCAGCAGGTGGGATATCATGGAGTTTCGCGATGCATTCTGGTGTTCCTATTTCGGAGCAATTAGATTGTTGACGCCTCTCATTTCTATGGCGGGACATTGATCTCGTCTTTTTCTCCTGGGGTCTAGGCTGCCTCCTGTCCTTACGCGGCCCCTTAATCTCGGCCATGAAGATGTATCATTTCGAATTAACTATTCAAATAGTCGTCGTCATTGGTGGATTACGTAATTTCATCTTTACAACTTTACAATGCTAGTGGCTCCGCGCGTCAGGCATTGGTCTGTAATCGAGGAAACGATTGATAATAGACGATCAGACGATATTGTTTCAAAGGTTCTCAGACTGTGCTATGTACCTACCTAGGTAGATTGGGGGCGTGTCAGATTAGATGCAATCAGATCAGATTAGATTAGATTAGGTTGGACTCGATCTTGAAAATGTGTGACCTAATGTCGATACATTTCTTTCTTCAATGGGAAACCAGAACTGCACCAAGATGAATTATTATCTTTAACCAAGCATGATATGGTGAACTAACTACCCATACCTATCTACATAGTATTTCAATCATCGTATTCTCCATTTTAACGGCTAAGTACCTGGGTACAAAACCCCACCGGCTACTACGTCGATGCCCCAGCGTCTCCATCAGAGCATGGATAGGGCAAGTGAAGTTCTAAGGGACGCGCGGCTCATCATAACGGCATTGACATATCGTTAAGGATGGAGCATACTTTATATTAGGCGGGATGGCCCCTAATGCTTTTGCTTCCCTCCATCAGAATCCGTTCTCATAATCTGATGGCCTTTCGATACCAATCCGCATCAACACCTCACGCCTCTCTTTCAGTCTCGCGCTAATGATTTCCTTCCAGAAATTAATAGGCTTAAGTGCCTTGGTAGGTTCTGCGAGAGCTGTCTCGCTATCCGATTACTGTACGGCTACTTTTGCTACCAGCGTATTGCCAACTCAGGACCTCGGACTAGGTGTCACTCTCGACGTCTCGTCGGTGTCAGCTACTCTTGCGACTAACAAATCATTTACTTCCGAATGGTTTGGGACTGTCGCGATCGACTATTGCAATATCACGTTCGCCTATTCTCACGATGGAATTGCGAACGATGTCGTCCACGTGTCATATCTTGTCCCGCCACCGGACAAGTTTTTGAACCGATACGTCTCTACGGGAGGAGGCGGCTTTGCCATTAATTCGGGGTCATCGTTCAGTCCTGTTGGTATCATTTCTGGTGCTGTATCGGGCATTACGGATGGAGGTTTCGGTAACTTCAATACTGAGTTCGATGAAGTATTCCTCTTGGCGAATAACACGGTCAATTGGCAAGCAACATATATGTTTGGATATCAGGCGCACCACGAGCTTGCTACACTCGGAAAACAGCTTACCAGGAACTTTTTCAACGTATCCGATAGCCAAAAAATTTATTCTTACTATCAAGGGTGTTCCGAAGGTGGCCGTGAGGGATGGAGCCAAATCCAACGCTTCGCGGATCAATTTGACGGACTCGTAACTGGCGCGCCTGCTTTACGATTCAGCCATCAGCAGACGAATCATTTATCAGGCGGGGTCATAGAAAAAGCAATCGGTTACTTTCCGCCCCCTTGTGAGCTTGAGAAAATCGTTAACTTGACAATTGCTGCTTGTGATGGCTTGGACGGTAGGGTAGATGGCGTGGTTGCGCGTTCCGATCTCTGCAAGTTAACCTTTAACTACAATTCGACAATCGGTCAGCCATACTACTGTGCAGCATCTAATGGTGGACTCCCGGGTTCTAGCTCTACGCCCGAACAGAATGGTACCATCACTGCGGAGGGTGTGGCAGTAGCCTCCGCATTTACGAACGGTCTGATGGACTCCAAGGGGAAACGCATATACATAAACCCCCAACCCGGCTCCGCCTTTACTGACGCTACAACTCAATTCAATGAGGATTCAGGTGAATGGGAGCCCAATCTCTCGGGTATAGGAGCTCAGTGGATTGCACGCTATCTATATCTCCAACAAAAAGATTCGCTTGATAGTCTCGATAATGTGACTGCTGATACTCTGAGGGATTGGATGACATCCGGTATGCAAAAATACCAGGACTCACTTCAGACGACCTGGCCAGACCTGAGCCCCTTCAAGGCAGCCGGGGGCAAAGTCATCCATGTCCACGGAGAGGCGGATTCTTCAATCCCAGCTGGATCTTCGATTCATTATTACGACTCTGTTCGGAATTCCATGTACGACGACCTAAGTTACAACGACAGTATATCCGCAATGGATGACTTTTACCGCCTATATATTGTTCCTGGTGGAGAACATTGTGGAAGTAACCAAGATCAACCAGGCGGTGGCTGGCCTGCAACTACACTCCAAGCAGTTATCGAATGGGCCGAGAAAGGAACCGCGCCTGATAAACTTAATAACACGGGGGATATTGATGTCTTGTGCAAATGGCCTCTCCGCCCATTATGGTCCAACAATGGAAGTCATTTCGATTGCGTATATGACTCTAAGTCAACGGAGTCCTGGACTTACACCTTTGACGCCTTCAAATACCCGGTCTATTAGGTTACGAGAGCCTGGCACTTTACTTCTACTCTCCTATATTTTATTAGTACCGCCACAAATTTTCCAACCAATCAGATCCTTAAAATCGCCCCGCAGTTGGCGATATTCTCCTTTGCCATTCTATTCTATCGCATAACGTCTAAAACATATGCGAATAATATAGAAAGATTACGCAAAACAAGCTCTATCTAACTATATTAATTATCAAAAATTTTATATAATACTGAAATAATTCAATTGATTTTACAAAAAATTCATCGGACGTGCGTTAAGGTGTGGCTAGCCAATCAAAGGCTAGACTTTAGCTGTGGCGTTAGTTTTGCGCATGATCCCCCCCCCCCTTTTCTCCCCCTTTCCCCCGTACGCGCTTGCGCGGGCGGGCAACGCAGCTAGTATCTAAATATTTTAAGATGGAAAGTTCTGATGGCCATGTTCAAATATCCCGTGAGCACAGAATGTAGTAAATAACGTTGTATGCTAGTCCCTGTTAATCATATCTAAGGACGATGTCCCGTATGTTGAAGTGGTAAAACCTATATAATCAATTGAGGTATTGTGGTTGGCTTAGAAGTGAGGATCGGATTTATAAAGAAGCGAATGGTTGAAATTTTATCCACGTTCCTACCTAGCTATCTGGGGATATCAAATACGTATTTTAAAATCGCTCGACGAAGTTAGCAAACGGTGGTTCTAATACAAGGTCAAGTATACAGCGCCCGGGAACTTTTTATATCCCGCATTATTCTCTAACTACTCGAGTGTACATCTCTATTCCTTTGTATATCAATTATAATACGCCTTGACCCTTTGAATGAAATGATGAAAAAAATGATGTAGATGCTTCTATGCCTGTGTCAACCCATTCACGCTGCGGTCTTCGTACGGATTGACAGCTTTATGCAGTTACCCAGGCGATAGTTTACCTCAACCCAAAACCTCCAGGCTCGTGACAGAGATGCGTTCGTGTCCATCTCGATTAATTACCCTGCTAGGATGAAACCAGTTATAGGCAAGCGAAACGATAAGCATGGGGAGCGCATCTAAACAGTACAAATAGACCTCTTTCGATTGTAACTCCCCGTCGGACCCTAAGACGTACTCTGCTACACGATACACAGATCGGACCATGACCAGGGCACTGGATAGGTATAGAACCAAAATGAGAGTCTTCCACGGAGTAGGTAGTGCTAGGGCATTTCGAGTAGGGTTCTGCGTGATACGTCTGTGGAATACGAATGTAACAACCATAAAAAAGCCGAAAAAGACGATTTGTATGCAAAGGCCGCCAATTATGATGTTTTCGCCCCGGCGAACGTCATCCACAGATTTCGCTTGTGTTAGCATGCCGCCGCCTACGTAAACGGATATAAGTATGTGGATGAGTTCTGGATAACTTAGTAGGATTGCTCACCTCCGCCTTGAGCGAAAAAGGATAAGACATCACCCAGAACAAAAACTTTTGTTAACCATTGTGGCCTGATGAGTGAATATTTCTCTGCTTCAAGAAGGACAACTAAGCGTCCTAGAATCATGTAGATGGAGGCTGCAAAGAGAGTAGGTCCAAGGAGAAGGAGTATCGACTGAATAATGTATGGATTTTTAGTGAAGTTGGGATATTCCGGCGATGACATTGCTCTCCCGATGTAGCCGACGGTCTCAACTATGCAGAAACTGGTTAAAGATCCAATCTCATGTAGGCAAGGACGTAAATGAAGATACTATCCAGACAACTTACAGAGACATCCAACGACGAATGGAATAAAGTACCATATTCTTTTTTGGAAAAGTACTTTTACATGGAAAAGAGATGAAATGGCGAATAAAATGATGAATATCACAGCAGCGACCATAGATGGCTGATACCGATAGAACACGAAGGTAGGCGTCTCGTCAGCCATGTTGTAGATTATTGGTCTTAGATTTCGGATATTGGGGTATTGGATCGGGGACGGTTAGTTTGGACGGAAAATATTGTCTTCAACTAATGTATTCGATTTGTCGTGCTGCGGGCAAACCCTTATATTCACAGGAATCGAAATCTGCCTAACCGCTGAAACGCGTAAAATCCTAGATATATGGTTCTCTCATAAGGCGTAACATCGCAATTGGCATATCTGAGGCTCTGCGCTATATGGCTTTTACCCCTGCTCACCTACTTATGCCCTAAAACTCGTACTCGCACTCGGGCAGCCAAATCAATGACACCCCCCCTTTTCTACCTATACCTCTGCTCGTAAAGGAAACACATTCGCATTTTCGTACTTTAAGGAGAATAAATACGTATAGTCAATGTAGCCCTAATGCTTCGATACGGCACTGATGGTAAATAATTGTTACTTCTTGCTTAATATTAAATACGAATATATTGTTACAGGTACGTCCTAGATTAAAAGTGCGTAGATAGGTACACTTCATAGGATTTTATGTCTATGAACACTGGTAGTTATCCGACTGCCTCATGAGTCCAGCTTCTCAGGTAATGGGTTAATAGATACACCAGATACTCATTATTGGCGATCTATTTTATATAACCATTTATCATAGAGCTACTTGCGCCCTAGTAAGCGCATTGTAATGCATGACGTTGTCTCGTGTTGATACTACCTTAAGTCTGTACGGATCACTATATAGAAGAAACATCAGAAATTCTATGAACACTTTAAAGGAGTGGATCAGAGAATTTTGAGATTCACAGTACTGCCACATTTCAAGCTACGCTGTAAATCCTATTTTAAGAACCGGCTTGGAGACTTGTTGGGCAAGCTCAGCATTTCTGCCTTCGGTATGTCCCCACTTATACTTCGCACTTCGTAATTACACGTTCGTACAATGCGAGAGATACGAGCGTTTCGCGAACAACTTTCCCACTGGGCTTTTTTATCCTAGCGCCTTCAAACCCAACCGTGCGTAATAGCCAGCGGCGTACCGATTCAGAAAGCCGGCGTTGCTTTATAAAGTCAAACAATCAATTCGTAATTATTCGGGCTGAGTAGATCTAGGCCGGATTAGTATTGGTCTGGGACGTCTTGTCATTTCAGCTTCGTCAAATCACATACCTCCTTTAGCCACCAATTATATCATGCGAATACGTATGAAAGTGGGCATGGATGCCCTCATTTCAACTGACCTTTCAACAACCAAAAAACCGAACTTATCTTGATCTTCTAAAGATAGGGTCTTAGTAAGTTTACGCTAGATTAACATAAGTAAGGCCGGATAAATTACGCACGTCAGGATCGCTGGGGTAGGCAATTGGTCTTCATAAGACTACCAAGCCACCATCAGTGTTTTGAGGCTTCAGGACGTCATTTGATAGCTTCACTCGAAATTCAAGTTCATGTCTTTTGTGATTAGTAATGAACTCATTATAGGTAATAGTCAGGCTTGAGAACCAATTTCTTTTCTGGCACAATGGATCTTCGAGCTGGTGTTGTTAGGCGTGATGCTTTCTACGAGAACATTTCCTACTAAGACGTCTTAGACAAAAGGGGCAATACGTCCGCAGTTATAATTATTCAGTATTATAGAAAATATTATAATTTCGAGTTTCATTATTAGTTGTGTCAACGTCGCGTGCGTATTATTCATGGTCTTAAGGATCTAGATAGTAGAATTATAAGATCATGATATGCAATCTAGAGCAGCCTCCCCTGTGTTTTACCAAACCACTTGGTCTAATGCTACTTGCTGCAAGGGTCTTATCTCCGGGTATAAGAAGTATATGGGTAGTTGACTTATTCTGCTGTTATGAAAACACGTTCCCTCATTTTTCCACCGCTGATATTTTCGGAAGGAGAAAGCTAAACCAAAATACCAACATTATGCCTAAAAGAATACACATTAAAGCTATAAGCCCAATTTCGTCTCGGGGTTGGTCTTCTCGGGGTTGGTCTTGAGCTGTTATAGGAACGTTCTCTACAGGATTCTGAGGCTGCTGTGGCCTGTCTATATGCGCGCCAGGTTCAAAGCGCCTAGTTAACCATTCCTGAGATAACAACCGGCGTCCCTCTCCCTCCTCCGGTAACGCGCTGCCACGTATTGGAGATAGCTCTGTGAGTCTAACCTCGCCGTCTACCTGCCACTCCCAGTCTGCTGTTTCCGGCGGAATATAATCCTCATACGTAGTACGCCACGATGTTGTAAGCATCGATTCCCCATTGTGAAAGAGGTGAAAGACTATAGCTGCTCGCCTGCGTGAAGCATCATTCTCAACATTCTCGGTATTCTCGGTATTCTCGGTATTCTCAGTATTCTCAGTATTCTCGACATTCTCGACATTCTCGACATTCTCGACATTCTCAGCGCCCTCAGACTCTTTTTCCCTATTGTCGCCATTTTGCGTTTTCGAATTTCCAGATAACCTCGGGAAGTCGGGGTGTAGCGCGATAAGAATTGTCTGTTCTAGATTTTGGTCTGGATCTTCAGCGTGGTTGGGCCGCACACGCAATACAGCGGTGACCGTACTCGGATCCGAACCTGCTTCTGGCCCTACCTCATTCTCTTTCTCATCTTCATCCTTCTCCCCCTCGCTCCAGTCATTATTGGGGTCGTCATCATTATTTTCGGCCTTTTTTGAATCGTTGCTATTTTTCCCCGGGCGAAATTTACCCTCTTGGTCCTCTGTTTCGTCTTTTGGAACAATATTTGAATTAGAAACATTTGAGGGGCCGGCCATTTTAAGTACCTATATGTATTCAATCAAACAATAAGGGTTGAACAGGAATATATGTTAAGTGATCTTCAGCTAGTAAGTGGTAAGGATGTCTCCAAATATTATATTAAGTATAGTAGGTAATAGAATTTTGATATGAACAAATCTATCAACGTTCTTCGTTTACTACCCATATCTTCGCAGTGAAACTCTTTGTGTATTCTAGTATAGATGAGGCTCATTGTTGCTGTTAGATTGCTGTTTCCGGAATCGATGCTTACGGTTTAGACCACGACGAACAAACTAGCGATACATAATAAAGTTCACCGAATACCATAATCATCTCGCCCACGTTGATACTACTATTAGTCGAGAGTAATAATTGTTGGAATTTGAATAGGCCTGCGTGCGAACCGTTTAGAGATACCCTTTTTTTGAACGAGTCCGCAGTCTCTTTTTATCAATATAACACAACTTCAATTAGCATACCTTAAGTTTGGAAGATATAACGCATAGACTTCTCTCTGAGTATCTTGCGGCTAATACACTGGTTTCGCGATAATAAAGTACGACGATGAACCCCCCACCTTGGTCTCTCCTCCGTCTCCAGTTATCAGAGGGGGAGAGACAAGATATCATATTTGTTTACCATGGTAACGCTGAGGAGGACGTACGCTTCACACCATCCACAGGACCACTCTGCTTGAACTTAGGACGTGAAACCCGGTCGTGGCGTAGCGACGCCGGATTCGATTTGGGACGGTTGACAACCGCTGCTGAAGCAACCCGGGCTCGTCGACGCGTTGACGATCCAAACCTCTTACGGGCCCCATCCGTCAGAGATGGAATTGACCCGGTATCCCTAATCGGGCGAATCAGGAGGGTCGTTTCCCAACTTCCGTCTAATCGGCCTCCCCATCTCATCACCGTATTTCAATCTTTGACTATAATTGCCGGTATTTTTACTATGGTCATGTGGGCTACTGTAACTTTTAGTCCAAATACTATAGCCGCGTGCAAGAATGTATTTAGAAGTCGCTCAAGCACCCATTCAAAATTAAACCCAAATAGTATAGAGCCGACAACAGAGCCAACATCTGCTCGGCCCCATACTCTGATCAAAACTATCCCGATGGCAAGAAACTTAAGGGGGTTACTTCTCGAGCATCACAAGCCTTTGCATGACAGTTGGGCTGCCCTCGATGAGCAATTTGAGCTGGAGGTGGAGACAGCAATTAATAAATTGAACTTGCTCCTTACTCCGTCGTCAGCACTAAACCCACCAAGCAATGTTTACTCTGCCGGCGACTACGAAGCAAGTCCGGCAGAGATTCTCAATATGCTAAACGCTTTGCACAGTAACCTCCGGCGACATGGACAGTATAGGGAGTCTTGGGATAATGAGGCGTTAGCTAAGTGGATAAATATGGCAGCATGGTGGAGCTGGGGGGAGCCCGATTTTGACCCCTGGAACTACCTACCGGAATCAATCTCAGGCAACAATACCGCCACCATCCTCAATACTTTTACATCGGTCATCGAGCCGCAGAACTCTCGCGTTTATCACTTAGTAGACGAAGTTCTCTGTTCTGGCTACGACAGCTTACTTCCCTGGCAAGGCATGCGCTCTCACTACGCGCAAGCTCATGACAGCTTGGCCTTGCTTCTCCAAGATATTGGCGGTATTCTACCTCCACTGGCTCGTAGGGAAGAACAACGGTTTAGTAAGAAAGGAGAGATAGACAACCTCGTCGGGAAATTTTTATCGACTGCTCAATGGGCTTATAAGACGGCCCAGGTCGGGTTGAGCGCCGCGCAGACACTTGATGTAGAGATAGGGTCGATTTGCGCAACAATTACGCAAGCCGCCAAACTGGAATGGCGAGTTCTAGCTCGGGATAATAGCTTGTTATTTCACCAATTCGTGGCGGACAATAATATAGACAACTTGAGAGAAGTATGGCTCACATGGCCACCTACTACCGAAGCCGTTTCTGATCTCACAGATGCAACAAGTATTGTTTGGGGCAGCCGTTTCCGGAATCGCTGATGACGTTTAGGCGGTTCTCGTTATTCAGGAGGCGATAGTCACTAATTATACACTCAATATTTGTGAATTATAAAATAACTCCTAAGAGACGTGTATTTTGTCATAATTCAAGGAAACGAATAAGCTCTAGCGCTGGGGTGATTGACATCTTCTGGCTCCCGTCTAAAATTGAAATTTATGCTCCTTAATCGAGCTAATCTCTCTTTCCTCCTAATCACCTGCCCGGCATAGATTCCTCTCAGCCGCAAACTTCGTTAATAGCCACGTCCCTGCAGTTGTTGCCACCGTGTTGCCAGCATTGGGACTGAATACCATTGATTGCTGAGAATACGCTGAATAGGCAATCCTCGTAAGCGGATGAGCCTACACACTTTGGATTACACTTAGGGCAAGCATCGGCGTAAGGACCAGCCTGCTTTTCGCAGACTGACAAGTCTGGGGGTCCAGAAGGCGCCGGAGTGTCGCTGGCGGCTGGGGTAGATGTCTATTGTTAAGGTTAACACTTCGTTCGGGACGATTTTCCTGGGCACATACCTGAGCTAGTGCTACTGCTGGTAGTACCAGAGTGATGATTGATGCGAACTTCATATTGCTGGATAAATCCTATGGAAGTCTCGCGTAGCTAAGTATCGAATGGAAAGGATCAATGGAGAGTTATCTTTGAGAATGAAGCTAGTCCTGGTTTTTGAAGTTTATTTCACAGGAATTAGAGTCTACTTATACTTCATCCTTATGCTGCTCTCTACGTCGGACTTAGCATGATTGAAGTCGGTCCAGAGTATTTTGCTGATCATGGCGATTGATGCCTAGTCGGGTTCCATAATACTTCGTTACGGTGAAGAAACGAATCCATGCTTTTTTCTTCCAACGTAGTCCACCCCTAAACCTTGGCCCGCCTTCTCCATGCGTACATGACCAAACGTGATCGGACGGGAGGATTGTAATGATTGCTTTAAACGATACAATAGTGCTAATTGATGATAATAATACCCGGAGTTACCAGTGATTATTTCCATAGTAAAGACTATTTCAGTTGGGCTTCTTCGCGTTGTGTTACTATGTATGGGGTAGGGCTCAGAGACGGCGTTTGAGGAAAGCCTTGATTAAACGCCTACGTACGCTTTCACCGACTATTTACACACGCACAGCCCCTAACGAGCAAGGATTCGATTGGCGAGTGCACCAAGTCACCGAAATCCTTAAGCGCGGACGCCAGTATGGCACGGGAGTGTATTGAATATTAGTTTTACGCGAAAGCCGTAAAGGTAACATCTAATAAATATATTTGCCTTCGCTCTACGAAGTTACAGACTTAATAGGCCCCCCATAATGTAACAGGGCCCGATCAGCGCTGGTATATCAGTCTCGAAAGGTCAACAAACGATATGAGCGCCGGTAGATTGGATTAAGGAAAGCCTTCACGACGAATCGGAATATCCGTCCCTTGCAATTCGGATCTTCCTTATTACCTTGCGCCATTTACATACCGGGGAGGGAGGTGAGCCCTGAAAGACAGATCGTTAATATAAGACTTCTAGAAAAGGCACATGTGATAACTTACATCCGTCAATGTCTTCGTCGACTGTACTCTTCACCTGGCACTGGTTCATCTGGGTTACACCCTGAGACTTCAACGGATTCCCGTTCTCGCAGGCGTTGAACATGCAGGAAGAGTCCATGGCGCGCTGAAGCGCGTCGCCCTTCCAGCCAAATACGTAGTCCGCATGAGTACCATATCCCTTGTTGTCGCCGTAACTCAATGTGAAGGGCTGCGAGCCGTCGCTGGGCCACATGTTGTTAAACTGAGTCGTATCCCATAAGGTCTCGTAAGCTACCTGCGGGACACGGATAGGGTGAGACGCGGGGCAAGGTCCGGAGTTCTGGAACGCGTCCTTCACGGTATTGTACATGTGAGATTGGTGGTCAGGGCTGTCTAGGTTCTTGCCATCCCAGCACCTAAATATGGTCAGCGGGTAAGAATACGACGGCTCGGGAGGGTACTAACGCGGGGAAGTGGTGGACAGTCATGATGCCACCCGCACAGGGCTTCGTGGGGAAGTCGTCAAGCTCGGGGAATCTCGTTCCTTTGTTTTGAAGGCAGACAAATTTAAGACCGGGTCCGTATTTCGAGGTAGCCGTAGGAGTGCCCACGGTCATACGGAAACCCTTTTGTAGTTAGCATTTTATACCGAAGAAATATCACGCCCAACTTACCGGCTTGAAGGCGGTGATCTTTTGGTTGCCGTTCGACGAGAAGTCCTGCTGCGTGTAGTAGATGGTCATTCCACCGTTAATGCCGTTCGGCAGAGCAGTGTTCTGCATGATGGGTACACGCTTGTAAGTTCCGTTCGGGTGTTTAAAGAACATGACCGCAGTCCAGTAGTTGGAGAAGTCCTCAGAGAATGTGCACGTGGTGCACGTTCCTCTGTCACCGAGGTCATCACCCATAGTAGCATTGAAAGCATTCCCGCCGACAATCTGGTGAAGATGGGCCGACGGAACCTTGCCGGGCTCGACGAGGGGATCGAGACGTTGGATGCTTACGGTCGAGCATCCAAATCGAAGCGCGGCCTGAGAAGGCACGGCGAGTGCTAGAGTGAGAGATAGCCACTTCATCTTCGCGGTTAATTGTATACTTCAGCGATGAGCTTCGGCGACGACAGAGATGTCCCCAAGCATGGCGACGCGGTTCTACATGGCCGTAGATTATGTATTAGCCTCAGGGCCAGACGTTCCCCTGGCGTCGAGATCTGCCGACAGCCGGATACCCACGGCAGCATCCCAATAGATTGACTGATCGTCATTCTTTAATAGGTTCCTGGCATTTTCCCGTCTTGTTTAATTTAGGCGAGTTCTAAAATGTCCAACTCGGGAGATGCGCCCCCGCATTCTTTATATTGGTCGAACGCCGTATCGCTTCGGCATCGAATCAGACATGAAGGATCACGATGGCAAACTCGGATTTGGAATCATGACCTAAGCCGGACAAAGTATAATGAATTGATCTCGGTCTTGAATTTGGCACAAGGCGTTAACCGGCTGCGATACATGCGTCATCGCAATAAATTCGAGCCGGAGCCATCGGGCGATAGTGTCACGAATCGGGCCCACGTCGATGACAACGGGAAGAGTTCACGTTGCGAGGTAGTAGCGCCGAAGGCAGCCTAGTATATAGGTACCCAAGCCTTACAGCGTTCTAGCTTAAATCTGCCGGGTCGGCAAGTCATCGTAACATGCTTGCTACGTCTCACGGTGGTAAGCCTGATTTAAACTTTAAGGCTTGGCCAAAACTGTTTGGCCGAAGATATATTGAAGCAATTCCAAATTTTGCCCAACATATTTTAATCTTTCCGAAGGAATATTGCGCTCAAACTCTGGAAATTGATAAGGTAATTGATAAGGAATTTGTATGGGATTACATAAAAGTAGCCAGAAATTGACAAGATAGCGCGCGCGCGCGGGCGTTTCGATAAAATTTTAATCCTCTTTCCGCGACTGAGTTTTTTACTTCTAAAAATAGAGCGTGGAAATAAGAGCAAAAGCACTAGGTATTCGTATGATCGACACTGTACCACCGCCATTTCTTAACTTTATCCGCTACCTTATTTCAACATGCCTCAACTACCTGTGTAAGCATATACCTTATCTAGGAGTTTATCTCTGCCTTTGGAGGATACGCCTATGATAGCAGTTACAATTAACGGTGTTTAATCGTTTCTTAGACGCCTTTTTCGCAACGTACCTCGGTGGGAATTATAAGGGACCTTTAGGGCTTGCACGGGCCTTATAAGGCGGCACTGCTAGCAGTCCACTGGCCTGATAATTAACCCCGAGTTAAATGGGAGATTACTGTTACAAATGATCACCTTACGAAAATACGTGTTATGCGATAGATTCTTGTTTGCTGTTGCGGTATATCTCGTGCTTGCCGTACATGATAGGTACATATGGTTGTTTTAATTGAATTGTAAGGCCACAGGGGACCGCAAGGGATTATGTGTTCGCCATTAGGGGTGGTGAAACATGGATTTTAAATGACCTTGGGTGGTCATAGTGGCTTCAAGCATTAAGAGCACTAAGAACCCGTTGTAATGCAGTGTAATGTTTGTTGATGTATTGGACCACTGAATTTGTATGGTGAAATACTTGTACAAATGAATGTCGCATATAGGTACCTATTAAGTAATCACATTTATGTGATTACAAGATACTTTTTCGTCATGTGGTCAATTTGACAATAGGCTACCGGGGGAATGACGAAGTTGTAATAAGCTTTTGCTCTTATCTAACTAGGGAGTTAGGCTCATTCTCTCTTCCACATCTTCAAGTACATAAGAGCAAAACGGAATCATTTTTTGAGCAACGTTCAAAGCTATCAATACACACAATAATTTCGGTTTCGGCACGCGGAAATCAATGATCAAGGGACTACTCTTAAAGGAAGGTGACCACCAACACACTGCTTTAGAAACACGAACTATTAACTCCTAACCCCGCCACCACCGAAGTAAACCGTCATACAACTGTGGATATTAGCTACGCGGGACACAAATGAGCTTCACTTATAGCGGTGTAAAATACTGGTATGTATATCATTCGGTAAAGACCCACGATTAGGCTAGTCATTTTCCTCCAAATTCTTTAGAAGTGTTCAATTTCTCTCTTCTGTCATCTTTATACCCCATCACTCCCAGAATATTCAATTTCTCCACACCCAGATTGTACCCAGAGACCTTGTCCCGGGAACACGTTAGATTGAGTTTGGTACGTGAAGCCAAAATCACATGCCGGACCGCCGTCCGGGCTTCCGACGTAGTATAGCCCACAGAATCCTGAGATTCCCGCCATCATACCAACACACCCATCATTATCCTGACAGAGCTGACAGCAAACACCGGGATCGTTGAATCTTTCATCGGGAATGTAAATAACAGTAATATTATCCGCATACTTTCCTGACACGAGGCCAAACTCCCCAATACCCGCGATGACATTCGTTGGCGCACACTTAGCTGCAAATGTCGTAGTGGTTGAAGCCTCACACGCTGTGCTAGCGGTCACAATACTCGTGGCGACGCGGTACGATGTTGTGACGCTTGTAACCGTGGTTTCAAATTTGGTAGAGGTGTAATACGAGGCAGTGACCGTGGTAGTTGTGGTGGGAGCGATTACTGTACTTGTAGGCGTCACCGTCACCGTCGTCACCCCGGACGTCGTGGTTGGGACTAGATACGTGAACCACGTCACCCCAGTCCTACACACAACCTGCGAAGGATACGAAGCCGGCGCAGTAGTTACTTGACCCGAGATGGGAGTATAACTACCGCTGTACTCCGTCACGGTAGACGGAGTCACATCGTTAGTGCATATAGTAGTGGGCCACGAGGCTGTAGCCACTGTCGATTGAGCCCCCTGCCAGACGGTTGTCGTGGGTACGGTGACTGTCGATACGGTCCAAGTCCATGAGGTTTGCGTAAGTACCGTTGTCGTGACAACGTCGGTGGTAACCTTGGCCGTGGAAGGAACCGTTACCGCTTCACCCGTGAGGACCGACGAGACGGTGCTGATAGTTGTCGAAGTCGGGAGAGACATCGGTACTGTCCCTCCACTGCCCCATGCCGTCGAGCATTGTCCTTGGGTCTTGAAGGAATAGCTTGTGCCCGTAGACGCCCGAGCAAGCGTCCCGCAAATGGCAACAAAACATACGAATCGACTCAGCATGGTGAAAGTAGTAGCAACCTCGTCGGTCAGTTAAAATGAGCTGAAGGGTGGCTCTATAGCCTCATTAAGAGTAGATAGCGAGTTAGGCGTCGGGGTCGTATTTATAAAAGCATCCTCAACCCCTGTAGGAAACGGTAGCAAGGTGAGCGGGTGATCGTCGTGCATCGTGCTTCATCACTCAGCAGCCGCAGTAATGACCCAAGGAAACTAACCAAGCTTTGTCAGCTGGTATGAAGAGAGAGAAAACACGCCATGGCTCGAAAGAATGGGCAGGCCCAGAACTGGTCCCTTATAATAACCAGCCCGTTTAGGTTTCCGGTACTGGTTTAAGCTTACATGCATAATATTAATTAGAGAGAAAAAGGCAGGAGGAATTAGGAGAATGAACCAATCCTAAATTAAGCAACCCGCATATAAGCAGTACAACCGAGGCAGTGATGCTAGAGTGACACAGCTTGTAAAGATGCACGAGACCATATAAAGCCTTAGATCTAATGCATCCGATAGGATTGCATGAGCAACTGCTACATCGGGTCTCCGATTGAATTGCTTCGACCGGAATTATTCCCGATTCGCTGGGTCGTACCTACATAACTTACCTGGACACACATTTTAATTAGTACGACTTGATTAACAAGAAGTGAATACGGGATCAATGCTCAAACGGCATTGGTTAACCAGAGTAGTATCGCAAATAAAGTAACTAGTAGTAGACAAGTATCAACAAAGATCTTTCGTATCTAGCTCGCACTCGATGAGGCTTTCGACTCCGTTATCGACAGTCCACTATAGCACATAGGGTTAGGATCATTTTATGAGGGAATGGGTGTATACGGTATCTTACAATGTTACAGATACGTAGTCCAGACGCCCCGAGTAGATCTTCCCACTCACGTTTCGTCCTCTCTCTAGATGAAAATCCAGTCATCATAAGGATATCCAGAGCCGTGGTTTCCCAGTACGCATGACGTGGCGGGATCACGTTTTCATTGACGAGCAGCTTGCTATATCCTGGTTCCATGGACTCGGAAAGCTGACTTAGAATTTTTAGGCATTGTTCATCAGACCAGTCGTGTAAGATGGAGTGCATGTAATAAGCCCTGCTACCTGAATAGAAAATACAGAGAAGTTAGTAATAATCAACCGCGACGCAGGATTATCGGGGCAGTTACCTTTCACAGGTTGTTCGTCGAAGAAATCATGCTCCATCCGCTCTATTCGCTCATCTAGGGTGGTGATTTGTTGAAGTACAGCTAGTAAATCTTGTAATACAAGACGGCCGGGTACAGATGGATGTTTCGTTAGAAATTCCTCCATATCATGTCCAATTGAGCCCCCGATATCGACCAAGAATACGGCTTCCTTACTCTGGTTTGCCCCATCAATGAGCTTCTCCTGAACTGGGAAGAATTGAGGGTCCATCCAACTTGCTCGCCCCTGGCGATATGCGGCCATATGAAGGTTGAATAAATCGCCGTAGGGAGGATTGGCTTGAAGATGCTCGAATACGTGCTTGTCTGTGCCATACGCATATTGATAAGGCCCGGAAAGCATGCTGCTCGGAACCACATACCCAGTCTTTTTCATATACTCGTGGAATTTGATATTCGAAGCGAGGAAACCGCCCGACCTTTCGTACACGTCAATAACTTTCCCGATCCTATTATATTCAAAATAGGATTCTTACAATAGGGGGTAACCAGCACTTATTGCAGGTATGCATAGGGATCTTGTAAAGTTAGTTGGCGCATACTCGTCGGCACCGGTCTCTTCTACATATCCCATGGCGCTTAGATGACGGAGTAACCGGGCTAAGTAGATCAGCCTAGAACATATATGATTCATTATTAGGTACACTTACCTACAAGAGCAGAATCCGCACCGACGGCGCGAGCAAGCTCTGCGGACGTTGTACTATGGCTGTCGCCGTTCACCATGACCTCGAACAATCCTAAATCAACACAGGTCGTGATAGCAGTCATAGCAGAAGGCTAAACAGAAATCAAAATCATCCTCTTCCAAAACGCGAAAGCTTGTATACCTGTGCCCAACAATGCTTTATCATCGTCTCCCGCGGAGTTTCTAGGGCTCGTACTAAGCGTCTGGCAGCTTCCGCTAGTTCGAGTCTTGTATTATTATCATCAGGAGAAGAGGCGGTTGCTAGCTTGTTGATTTTTTCCACGTGCGTTCCGACGCTAGCGAGGTCGCACGGCCTAGATGCTATGCTGGGATCTGGTGTTTGTATATCCGGACGAGAATTCCCGTTTGGATGTTGTTCATCAGACATCATTAGGCGTAGTATAGGGGGTTGAATACTAGAGTAAACGAGGTGGATGAAATAAAGAACAAGGCGAGAGGTCGAGTTGCAATATTAACATAAACACTGAGTTATTGATAAGGATAAGAAGGAAACGATGTAATTCATTCTTGAAGTATTACTTCGGACCTTGCTTACCTTTTGACGTATTCCTTAACATAATTCGCGCACTTCATACTGACGTATGACATAGAGGGTTGGTAGTATTCTGTATTGGGCTCGGAAATACTTACCAATCATCCCTTCATCCGATAAGAGCAAGCAGCGTTGGGAATGCTACATACCCACGAAAGCATGCTCTTTGACGTTGTGATAGGTACATCAGTTAAGCCAATAATATAATCATACAAGGTCGTATTACCATGTTAACAATCAAGTACTTGCATATGACGACTTGCCTTGCTTATCTTCAACGAGACCGTAATCTTACAATCTGTCCTTTTTAAGTAGTTGGGTCCGGCATTACAGGTTTGGTATTAAGAGGTAATAGGACGAAAGTTCCCATCTTACAACCATTCTATCATGGGGTAGACCCGGAAGATACAGAAACAGCTTTGATAACCCCTTGGGAACCCCGGCCTTGGCTACAGGGGCTGGTGACAACTGACAAGGTGAGAAAGTATTTTACTCTGTATATTTTATCTCGAAGTTGTTCCTGAAAGACCCTACCCCTAAAAAGGGAATCTCGTGGCTAATGTATATACTGGAAGCGTCTTTTCCCCTAGACTTAGCGTTTATAATCTCAAAGTCATTTAAGCTTTTCGACTTCGTGGCCGTCATAGCATATAACACATCAGCCTTATAAATAATCTCGTATAGCAAACAGATCGGGATTCCATAAGTCTATCGTTAATTATTAACGAGGCCCCACGTATGGCCAAAACGACTCGCCCGCAAAGCTATCGCTGTCATCGCTACCGTCGCCCCATTTGCTTTTTAGGCGGATATATTCTCTTCGACTGTCACAAAGTGATTTCACAGCTTCGGTAGCCTTATCATACGCATAACTACGTCGCAGATAATATAAAAGCATCCGGGAGTAATCCCACAGGCGCATCTAACGCCTGTTAAGTATCAGCTTAAGCTCGCGCCTTTCTTTTATCTCTTTACTCCACGCTTTGAGGTCTTTTTCCTCCCTCACGGTAAAAGGGCTGTATGTATAAGGGAAATTCCGGAGCACGAACCGGGTGAAGTCCTGAGTCACCTAGCGCATCTCCCTGGGGCAATATGTGGTATGCTTGGCTTTTTATTGAGGCGCTCAACTATTTTCTCTCTAATAGAGCCGCCATTCCCAAGATCCAGCGCCGGACTAAGAACGAAGAGACATAAGTGATTCCGATCTTGCCGAATCTCGCTTGCCGTATCTACGACGACTCCCTGGACGAGGATTGTGTTATTTATGCCACGGCATTCGTAGTTATCTCCATATACATGGATGAGAGATGGGGAAGTGATTTCTTTCTGCTATCTTCGAGTGCTTGGATGATACTGGAACGACTCTTAGAGCATCTGCCGCAAGAATAGGCATGGTCATTTGATTCGCCCAAAGAGACAAATTTACTTGGTCTCCTTGTAAACGAGCGGTTAGACGTCCTGCGGCAGTACCTAAAAAGCCACGATTCTTTCTCCGTCTGTTTTTGATCGATGAACACTTCGTATCATATACGTCCTTTCCCACCCGACCCTAAATATTGCGCGAGAGATACGGGTTCCCATGGCTTCGACGGCTGGTTGCGGACGCATTTAGAATATTCTCCGACTACGTGACCTATTTGAGAATGGTGTTGACTGCGAAAGGCAAACAAAAAAGACTGTAGCTCCTTGTCGTTTGGAGCGGAACTCGGACATATCGAAAAATGACTACTTGAAATCGAAGCTTGGGGGTTTTTCAAGCCAGAATCCGATAAAAGACACTCTATAGCTTCATACAGTGACGTACTGGGGCATGTATTTGGCACATTTTGCAATCCCCTAGCACCGCGATCACTTTTAGGATGACCGCATTCCTGCAGAACGCGAAAACCAGGTAAGCTCCTTGACGATATCCCAAGAGGGGCTCATGAAGCAAGAATATTCGATGATGACCTATATCTCGATGTCAGATGCCGTACAGAAAGGCGAGTTAGTCTTCCGCATTTCTTCAGTCCACATAAATTCAATCTCGTCCAAAGTATGTTGGGTGGTGACAATTAGCTCCGTGCAGGAATGTAGAATGTAGTTTACCTTCCAGCTGCTTCGCATGCGTGGAACTCATGGAGACCTTAGCATCGGGCCCTTGACCGATAATTAATAAACTCTCTATATTATCTTCTGTGAGGATCAGGCTGTTGAAGTAATACTTTACACGTGAAGCGGATCGGAATGAGCCAATTTCAGTGTTAGGCAAACCCTACATGAAATCGACCTTATCCGCCAAATGGACAGGGCCAACCTCGTCTACCGGCTCTGGTTCCTCGGCGATGGTCTCTAAATTCTCCTCGCGCTCGAACTTTTCAGCCGCAGGCCCGATCCAGTCGGATACTCAATCGCGTACAGCATAGACGTCGCTTTCGAAGCCTATACTAACTTCATCATAGCCTTTCCCAAACGCTAAAGATTTCAGCTGCCGCAGGATAGAAGGCCGGTATATATCTCTTGCCTAGTTTATGATGTAATTAACAATGAGAATAAGCTGCAAAGCCCGTTTTAAGTTATTAAGTCGCCACCCCACAAAGGATAAATGTTTTAATTTAACGTAAATACTTGATTTAATAAAAAAAGTTAATTTAATTACTTATATATCGAGGTTTATCACCCGTTTTATTTATATTATAATCGTACACTTTTTATTCGCTTTTTTTATATAATAATATTTTATAAAATTATATTTATTAATTAATTATTTATTATATTATATATAAAAAAAGCTTAATTTTTTTTTAAATTTAATAAAAGGTAAATGTTAATAATATTTTAAAATATATATTATATAAATTATTTATTAATTAAATTTTATTATTTATATTATTATATTTTATTATTAAAAGTTTATTTATATTATTATATATTTTTTTAATTATTTTATATTTAATTTAATAAACGGTTAATTTAAAAATCGGTAAAATTATTTTATATTTTTATTTTTTATATATTTAATTATTTTTAATTATATTATTACTTTTTTTTAATTAATAATAATTATTTATTTATTTACGTATATATTTACGAAATTATAAATAATAAAATTTAAAAAAACGCATATATTTATAAACTCGCGTAAACGTTTTTACGTGCTCGTAAACTCGCACGTAAAAATCCGTTAAAAACATTAAATCTTTTATTAATTTTTTTATCATTTATTAATAAATTATTTATTAATTATTTATCATTTTTTTATTATTTTTTTATTATTTTTTTATTAATTTCGCATAATAATTTTTAAAAGTTTTAACGTAAAAAATGTTTTTAACGAATTATATTAATAAATTTATTATTATTATATTTAATATTATATTATTATTTAATTTTTTTTTAAATTATTATTTTATAATAAGTTTTTTATATAAATTATACGAAAATTTAATAATTAATATTATTATTTTTATTAAAACAATTAATTTTTTTATTTTAAAAAAACGTGCGTATAATTATTATAATAAAAAATTTATTATTATTTAATTTTTTTATTTTAAAAAGTTTATTTAATTTTTTAAAATAAATAACATTTATAAAATAATTATAAATAAAAAATTAAAGTTATTTTTCGGGTTTTAAATAATTAATTTTAAGAATTTAAGTTTTATTAAAGTTATTTTTATTATATTAATTATAAAATTATTTAAAATTTTTTTATTTTTATTTATATATACGGTTTAATTTTTAATATAAAAGAAATTATATAATAAATGTTATTAAATTTTATTATATAATTTTATAATATTAATAATATGTTTTAAAAATAATTTTTAAACGTAAAATTTAAAAATAAAAATATTTATAATTATCGATGATATTTTTAATAAAAATAATTAAACGGTTATATTTTTATTTAAATATTTATTTATTAATTTAAAAAAAAAAAAATTTTATATTTTATTTATAAAAATTTAATTAATATAAATTATATTATTAATTATTTATGGTTTAATTTATAATATATTAAAATATAATAAATATATTTTATTATATTTTTATTTAATATTATATATAAAATTAATAAATTTAAAATATTATTTTTTATTAATATAATTATTATTTTAAT